TGTACATTTGTACATGTATTAGTGCTACAAGTACCGGTAGCAGTGCTGTGTACATGTACATGTACACTGTACATACAGTATACATGTACATGTATATTTACATGTACATGTAGGTCCTGAACTTTCTTTGTGTTGATTCCTTTTGTATGTAAAATAGTGTGCACATGATACTGGTAGTCACAGAGTCAGGTCTACCCTGTGTACACCTGTCCATATGAATCTGGTGGAATCTTGCACATAAATTACGATATTTACATGCATACGTGTATTCCATGTATTGTACAGTGTACAGAGGAATTACTTGTCCGTAGACAACAGCGGATAGATATTGGGTGCATAAAGTGTGATTGACATCGTAATGGCTCTAGCATCAATACAAAAAGAAGTGGGGGGGGGGGCAAACTGGAGGTGTAACCTGAAGATACGAGCAGAATTTTATTCATCCAGGTGAAAACATCTGTATCTGAAGTAGCAGTACTTAACAGTAGACTATGCGAGACACATCAAACAAGATAGCAAATGCCAAAAACAAAACTTAAATTTCTTCAGGAAAATGGGAAAACTTGGAGGAGGGGGCAGAGTGGCTTCACTCCTGTTGATGGACTACTTCATTGCGCACATACATGTACAGTTATGTACAGATACATGTACACATGTACATACATGCTTACATGTACCGGTATGCATGTACATGATGACATGTTTGGCATGTTAGTGTTAACCACAGACTTCCATATGTACATGTACATGCGGCTGTAACAGGTACGGTACTCATTACACATGTAAACTCTGCAGTAATTTTAGTCATTGATTTACAAACCCCTGCTTTGAAAGCAGTTACATGTCAATGCTTTGACAGATGGCTAGGTTCCATTTAGGTGTGAGTTAAACAAAGGCTTAGGAAGCAGGATATCAAACATTTTGAAAAGAGGAGGAGTGACTTGTAGTTAACTCTTGTTGTTTACTCATATATGCAAAACAGCACATCACACTAACAGCTTCTCATCTGAAAAAAAAGGATTTAAGAAAAGCTTCAGAATTGAAATTCTATATAAATCTGAGCTTGTCTCTTATTATTATATGTACATGTTTACGTGTACAGGTAGCATCCTCACTTTTTAATATCTAGATGTAAATTATTTCAAATTTAGTAATAAAATTTATGTACCAAATATTGAATAATCACTGTGTTCTGCATGTACAATGTGGATGTCTTTGTGATGTTAACTGCATTTTTAAAGTTTGTGTTTATAAGATGCGATATGCTGATGAAGGAGAAACCCTCCATGAAAAAAACTTGTGTTAAACTTAAAGTTTGAAAAATGTTGGTACTTTTTTTTTTTGTACTTGCAAAAAATTTTTTATTAGACACGTTCATTGTAAACACAGGAAATGATTTTGTTTACTCTTATTCTGGAGTTGTTTGGCCACAGGGCATTGTTTTCATTTAAACCAAATTATTAAAATGGAATATTTGGCATGCCACATACATGTAAATCAAAACATGCATATTTGTACAGTTGACTTGTTTGGTTAGATTTCCCAGTAGTACATGTAGAAGTACCATGGATCATTCTCTCTTGAGTTTGCAAAGAATTTTATTTATTGATGGCATTGAGTGCCAGTTCATATTAAAACCCTGTTCTGATTGTTCCACACAATTCATCTGGGTGAAGTGTTGAGATGATCCCTGATTGGGTTACCGCAGGAATCAAGCCAGTCCATTTTCCACGCAATTTTGGAGTTAAGTTAAGGGATAAATCATTCATGGGGCACCAGGCCACAGTGTTTCCAGTTGCTGTAATGGTTTAGGGCCAGATATTTAACTGCCCTAATATTTCATGCCTGGCTTGAATCCATTGGTACCTGTGAGTATGTGGAATGCATAGCATGAACTCGCATGTACGTGCATACATGTACATGTACGTATGTACTATGTACACTGTACATGTAGATTGGTTTATTTATCTTCTGCGTGGACTGTTTTACTGTTATTTTATATGAATTTGTTCTTGTCTGGAATGTTTAAACCTTGACCTACAGGTTACTTAAGTTCTGTTAAAATCCTTTTGAGTGTTGACATGCACAAGCAGGGGAAAGTAATAATTTTATCAAATTTTTAACCTCTTTTTGAAAACTACATGTACATGTACAATGTACATGTACTTTGCTGTACATTTTCCAAGCTAGAATTTTGGGGATGGAAGGCCACCCAACTAAAACTATACGCTGCTACATAACTACATGTGCATGTAGGTCAAGTTCTACTGCCCTGTTAAAATTTGAACTTCAACTTTTTTCACATTACATTATTTACTTCTCATATTTAACTTACTCTACAACGGAGAATATGATGAAAAATGACAAGATTTAAACAAAGCAGTGCTGCTAATGATGGGTGAACAACAAATCTGTGGTCTCTAAAGGGGAGTACTGTAGGCCTACCGGTATACATGTACATGTATGTAGAATGCTTACTACGGTACATCAGAGAGAGAGTAGAAAATACTACATGATTTAAAAAGTACACTTTTCAATGTAAAGCAGATATCAGTTTTTATGCATTTAAGAATTGTAGAAAGTTGTACCAATACCGGCATGCATCCTGTGTGTACATGTATCTGATAAATTCCTTATTTCTAATGTACACAAAACAGTGGGAAAAACTCAATTACTCAAAAAGGTCCTACAACATACTGTAAATGTAGGGGGGCAGAATGCAGTGACTTGTGCCGTACTGTACATGTATACGTACATGTAATGGAGACTAAGGTGTTAACTGTTGAACAAGAGCTACCCTATAGGGCCCCCGTACATGTACATTTTGTATGTACCGTATTGTGGAATAAATTTGTGAAGACAGATTTTTGTCCTGACAGATTTTTGCCCCAATTCAGTCCCCAATATGTACGTGATGTACCAGTTTGTATGCACAGGTTACATTACATGTAGTAATTGGCATGTCTTTCAGTTTGACCCCCTCAAAAAAGGTTCTCTGTGCCTCGGCCGAGCAGTTCTCATATCAGGCCTGTCACTTGGTTCATTGGCATTTCATTTTGTGCTGCCCAAGTCACACAGATGGCAATGAGGATGACTCACTTGCCAACTATAGTTCATGTCAAGAGACAATAATGGGATGCTGTGGGTTTCCTGTACATTGTTGGGTTACTGTGAACATGTAGTCTTTTAAACTACGGTAGTACTTGGGTTTCATTTGTACATGTGCATATTTACACATGTACATGTATTGATGATCATTATTGCACTCATTGTACGTATGCATATGTACATGTATATGTTCATGTACATGAAGGCGTGACTACATGTACCCCACTCTATATTGTATGTGCTTGTACACATGTACATGTACATGTTTGAGTTACCATATTACTGTGTATGCCTGTGAATTCAAAGCTTGACATACATGTACGTCATGTACATGTACATTGTATGCAACCATGTGTGCCAGTCAATCTACTCTATGGTGAAACCTAGGGTACAATGTACAGCTACTGAATGCTATGATGTCCACATGGATGCATATGTACATGTACACAAGGAAATTATGCCAAAATCACCGCCAGAGGAATAATCAATGAGCACAGAGCAGTGTCATTGTACCACACAGTAACTTTGGAGGAGTTCTCAAATCCTTTTATGTACCGGTACTTGTATTCATGGAAAAGCTCCCATCATTTGAGTACAAAAAGAAAATGTGTTTTGAAATGAATAGAAAGGTGAAAGGTGCTGCCGCTATCGGACGGTACATGTACAGTGTACATGTGTACAATGTGTCATACAGTACCAGTTTGACATGTACTTGTACATTGACACAGTCTACAACAGTCAAAGAGCAAACATGTACATGTACATGTACATGTACATGTACCGGTACTCTGTACAGTGCGACCAGTGAAATGTACATGTATTTAGAAAAGGAAGGAAAGGGTAGTTATTATGATGTACATGTATTTAAGGAAGGAATCAAAATGATGTACATGTGTACTCCATTCACAGATCCATGGATAGATTTTAAACATACCAGTGTACATGTACATTTACTGCACATAAAGTACTTGTAATGCAGTAGAGTTTTTTTTTTTAAATATGGACAACATTCAATCTTTTATAACCCTGGATAAGTTAATTGGAGGGGGAAAATGAAATTTTAAAGTTTCATTTTTTTTACCTTTTATCTGTCCTCCAACCCAGCAAAACTTCAAGCTTCATGTATGCTCATACATGTATGTAATGCAAATGCAATAAATAAGAAAAGTGCCGGCCTTGCATACCGGGCTACCATGTACAGTACATGCATGTATGCATTTGCACGTTTATATCATTAGTGATATGCGTAGTTCATTTGTGCATAGTACATGTATGGTACATGAAATACTGCACATGCACTGTATTTTTCACATTCTACATGTAATTGGACATACTTGTACAAGCATGGAAGTCAGCATACATGTGCACACATGTACACTGTACATGTAATGTACGTTACAGTACATATGTACTTGCAATATTAATTTACATGGAGCAATGTACATGTACATACGCCCATTGTAAAACTTACAGTAAACCGGTATATGCATGTACAGTGTAAATATCACGCATTGTTGCATCACTCACTTTAAAATTGAAGTCTGCACAATGCTTGTACACATCGTAAGTTTACATACTTGAATGGGATGTTGTTAACACTGGTAGATGGTTGATTTCCTGTCCTAGTTATATTGTTCATTTACAAGTAAATGACAACTTAATCCAAAAGACATTTTTGTGCTTGGATTCAATTCTCACATTTATTGCAGTAACAAAGTGAACAGAAGATTTGGAAATGGTCCTGGGTATGTACACACGTGTAATGAAGCCTCAATTATTTTTAAATGATGTTTGTCCCTGTTTCATACTGGACTCCATATAGAGAAAACAAACCCATGTGCATCTTTGATAAATCCCTCTTTCATGCACTTCTGTGCCTCTTTGTATTTCAGTGACTGGTCCCCTGACAGAAGAGCAGATTGCTTATGTGTGCCAGGAGACACTGCACGGGCTGAACTACCTCCACACACTCAACATGATGCACAGAGACATCAAGGTATGATTGGCGTGCCAGACATTTTCGCGTAATGATGTGAACAGGCGAGCGTGTGGGACTATCATTGTTTTAGCTGCACATTCGTAAGTTGATGCGCCTGCCTGTTGCACAGATTGACCAGGCCTGTCAGTCGGAAGCATGACACATGGTTTACATGCTAACTGCCGGAAAAACACTGCCAGGATTCATTGTGGTCAGTGTTGCTTTGTGCATCCAATTCATATATAGGAAAGATTTACGGTACAGTGTACATGTATGGTACATGTAATTGTATGTTAACTTCAGGTAAGCACTCTATAAGTTCACGATACCCACATTTTGTATACATGTAGATACTGTTCATTATTTTTGTGTATGTTTTACTTAGCAAGCAGCATGTATTCGTGATTCAGACACAACTTCATCTTTATTTTGGGGGCATATTCTGTAAAGTATATTAAAATACATGTATTTAGAAAATGAGTATCTAAAGCCAAGCAACTAAGTTTTGAAATAATTTTTTTGGCATGCTTTATCACAACAGGAAGATTTATTCATAGAAATAAAAGAACATTTACATGTACATGAATGTTCATAATTACCTACAACTTTCTGAGGAAAAACTGGTAGTAGTTGTGTTAGTGCATACAATACCAGTACAGTGTTCAGTAAACTCTTGATAACTCAAAGTTTGTTAACTCAAAATTCCGCTTACCTGGAAGACATTCTTCCTTTCTGCCAAAAGAATAGGCTTTTACATGTAAAAAAGTATGTACAAAAATACCTCCGTAACTTGAAATACCCACACCACCACTCTGCTTAACTCAAAGTATTTGAAGGGCCGATCCAAAGAGACCATGCCAAATTACTGACATTGAGTGGAAAAAGAACGTGGAGACTTTAATTATGAGTCATTTCTGCAATTTGCACATCGTCTTTTTTGCGTGAGCGTACTTGCTGCCAGTGCCGTTGTAATCCACTCATCGGACCACAGCCTAAACAAATCCCGGCTTTCAAGCATGCCTGATTGCCATTGCGGCCCAAATGTACATGTAGCTACTGAGGGGGCAAATACATGTAGGGTTACTTGTGCATTGAGCGTGTATGTGTGGGCAAGACTCAGGAACTTTCATTTGCTTGAAATCCGGATAACTCAAATTTTTTATCCATTCCCCTGAGGTTTGAGTTATCGATTACTGTTCATGGACCTGTATAGCAAAGTAAGCGAATAGTAGAAAGATGAAAGCTGATCGGTAGAGCAAGTGGTGCGATTCCTCAAAAAGAGTTTTTTACTCTTCAGGATTTTTGACCCCAAAATGATGACTTGTAGAAGTTTGATCTATCATCTGTCTACATGTATCTATCATCTATCTATCTACATCTATCAACAGATCTATCATCTTGATTCCGCTTCGTCATGGCCATTGGGAGAGAACTCTTTCCTTAATAGGCATTAGAAGTCTCAAAAACTCATAATAATTTTCAATGTTAATTAATTTTTGTTGCAAATGGGACACATTCCATATCCATGTGTCACATGAACACAGGGAAGTGTCCAGCTGTCTCACTGTGCAAACAAATTCTTCTTAAACTGGCAGCTCTTCTGAAGACACAATCTGCAGTTCTCAAGGCTGTTGCACTTGTTGGTAATCCCTTTCCCCCCCTGGGGAGGTCTCCCCTGACAGGCAGTTGTTTTTCCCTCGCCATCCTGGTCTAGCTATTGGGATCAGTCCAGTCCATGGCTGGCAAGTCAAGCAGAATGGGGTTAGTGGGTTTATCATCCTGGGGCAGTCTGGTCTGTGTCTGGCAAAGGGACCTTTGCATGATAATGCACTTGTACATGGTACATGTACATTGTAGCTACATGTAACTTCACTACAGTATCTCTCTAGAGGTTTCATTTTCAGTTTATAGTCATAAAAGAGTACAAGTTTGTTTACATTTACTACAAAGGCAGTCAAATCAATGATTGTGTACAGTATATGTACCAAATTCTGAGTTCCACAAGTGCTACCATTACGTGTACAGTACATGTACATGAATGGTACATTTACAATGTACGTGCACATGTTGTTCGGATTTATTTTAAGCAAAGGAAAAGTGTTTTATCCCTCATAATGGCACTTTTTTATATTTTATGGTTCTCATATCTTTTTTCAATTAAGGGAAGGTCAGTCGGTAGAGAAAAAGAAAATTCCCCCCCCCCAAAAAAAAATTAATACTGTTGCCATATACATGTACATGTACATGTAGATGACTAAATAAACCAAAGTACACTGCGTGTACATGTACGTGTACATGTACTTGTACTTGTACAAGGTACAATGTACTTGTCTGAACTTGTTTTATATTGAGTACTGTGAGCGTCTTTGTTTCAAGCTGAGTACAGAGAAATATACCTCGTTAGGGTCAGTGTCAAGACATCGACGGTGTTCTTGTAACCATTGTGTATGTACATGTACATAGAACATGTATGTTTTTGTTTTTCCTAAGGGGCTCTGTACATTGTTTGTAGTGCATTGGGAATGGTACGGTACTGGTCAATCTGGTATTGATGCTGTACCATGGATTTTAACTTTCGCTGTGTTGATGTTCAGGCAAAATCATATCGCACATGTTCCGGTACATTTTCAGTGGTTTTTTAAAAGGCCATCACATCCTACTTTTTTGTAGGCAAGGTCCTCATAGTAGGGTCGGTAGATAAAAAGCTTTTAAGGTTGGGAGCCAAAAATAGGGTCGGTCGCAATGACAACCATAGAATTTAAAGGGTGTCCTTATTTGAGAGTCATGCAAAGTTACTTCTAGACTTTTCAACCGAAATGGAAACGTTGACCGGTACGCGGGTACACGTACAACGCCATGTACCAGTACATGTCCGTACATACCGTATGCACTTTGTACATGCACATTCTGCTACCGCAGCACATATTTTTTAGTTTACTCAATTTGTGTCTTCCAAAGTGTTGCTGTTTGCTTTGGCGAACGAAATTGATCAACGGCGCAGTACAGGTGCAACAGAAAATAAATGGATATTGAAGTAATGAATGAATGTCACCTCGCTAGTACCCAAAATGCAATATGGGGATACATGTACACTATATCTGTCCTGCCAACAGGGAGAATAATTTTACCTAGACCTAACCCAGCATGCAAGTACCAGTATACATGTATTTTTGTAACCTGTAGCTACATGTAAATTTCATCCGGGATCATAGTTTGTATATTGTTTGGGTTTGAATGTTTATTTTGCACAAGGAGTACAACTTTGTTCTCAATTCTCAATCCTTGTTTTGTGTTGCTGAAAAGCAAACAGACAGACTCTCAATTCTGTACAGTTTAAGCTGTCAGTCCTGTTGTTGTTCCTGTTTATTGCACAGGGAGCCAATATCCTATTGACTGACGATGGGGACTGCAAGCTTGGTAAGTTGAGACTGGCTTTTGTGGCTGGATATTTTTTTTAACCTCACATATACATATACATGAACTGACCTGGAATATCAAGACCCAATGTAACTTTTTGTATATTTTTGTATATATTTTGTATGACTGTATGTACATGTTGCATGGTATTTGTTGCTTTTGTAATGTATGATTTCAATGTCATCAACACCCAAAATCATCAGACTGTATGTACTGGTATTACATGTTTCTTCAGTCTTAGGGATCAGACAGAATAAAAACAAAAGCCACAAAACTGAGAAACTCATCAACCAGATAATTTTGTGGCTACATGTACATATATGTAGGTAATAGTTACAGTGTCACTTTGGCACATGTACATGTATGTTAGTAAATGGGCCTCAAATAAGTAGACTTGGTGGAGGAAACAAAATCACTGTGCAAACTTGGCCTCGACCTATTCACACTGCTTGGGCAACAGTTTTTACAGGGTGTCAAGTAGCTAATATTCTGTATCAGTGGGCCCACAAGGTCAAACGTGTCTGCTTACTGGTACAACCAAAGGGTAAAAGATATTGACATTGCTAAGGTTGAAATCACAGTGTGGTTACAACAAACAAGGAAGGAGCAAAAATGCCCGTGATCCAGGCTAATTAGATTGGGGTGCGTTTATATCTTCATTTGACACAAATGCAGCCCATTTAGTCAGTTGCAGCATTAAAAAAATTCAAAGCCAGTTTAAAAAAATTGATATTGATTGAACTGTGTGAACATTTCTTGGAATCTGTTTTTGCAGCTGATTTTGGCGTGTCTGCTCAGATCACTCAGACGACTATGAAAAGGAAGTCCTTCATCGGTACTCCATACTGGATGGCTCCTGAGGTTGCAGCTGTGGAGCGAACTGGGGGCTATAACTCACAAGTAAAGGGTCCAATTTCTCTTGTTGTGTGTGCACAACAAACCAAACCAAAACAAAACAGGATGTGGGTCATTAATCCCTTTTCACTTGAATTTTTTTGAATTAGTTGAGCTACGATCACACTGAATCATATTTGTGATCCAGAATGAGGAATCAAAAGGACTGCGTTACCGTCCTTGGAGGGATGTTTTTATTTCCCCATGGTATTATACACAACATGTGCATTGAAATCACCATGTACTGAAAGTTGGAAAACTGCAGCAACATTATTTAGATCTTTGTAAGCTACGGGAAGTAGTGGTAAAGTGTTTTTAAACTAGACAGAACAGATCATGCCGTTATACTTAAACTTTGAAAGAGGGAAAAAAAGCTCATAAGTTCCTTGCTTTTGATACCAACTTTGACTGAAAATGCTTTGTAAGCATGCAGCATTATTTTGTCATGAGCCTTTGGAGGCAAGCTTTTTGAAACTCTACCATGTTTTATAATAGTTGAAGTGATTTCAAACCTATTAAAGCCATGTCAGTACTTTGCAAATTGTCACCAGTAAAAGAACTTCTGCTTTTAAACTGCTGTTTACCGATTTATTGGGGGGGAGGAAATATACACGGAGACATGTACTGTACAACATCAAAGAATGTACCTGTGCTGTGATATAACAGAGCTTATCCCACAAATAGAAATTGCTGTATGGACATTGTTACGTGATCTAAAGTGTTTTGTGTTGGCTCTGTGGTGTTTTTTTTTCAGTGTGACATTTGGGCTGTTGGAATCACAGCTATTGAGCTAGCAGAACTCCAGCCACCCATGTTTGACCTCCATCCAATGAGGTGAACTTTCAGTCTTTTTGAGTATTCGTGGTCCAGACTTTCACCCATGCCTGTGGCCTAGGGCCATTGTGGTGAGAATGTGAGTGGGGGAGGGGGTTCATTTGTGGGTAGAAACTGTGTAGAGGTTTTGTGCAAAACACCATGCACAGCTTGGTACTGGTTCAGGTTGTTGGTAGTTGGTGTTTCAGCAGTGCTACTAAGTTTGTTAATTGGGAGGGAAACAGGCTACTATTGCACAGGCCTCATGCAAAACAGGAAATTGTTCAGTCTTACTACTGGTTTAAAATTTCTAACTAAATTTCAACCTAGGTCTGGATATGGGTTCTGTGTGTGGATGTAAATCATGTCCCCCGGGACTGACACACCATGTAAGCACGTATTTGTTAACACGCATTTTGTGCACAGTACACACTATACATGCATGAACCCTCAGCATCTGAGATGGCTTGACATAAGGGCTGTATACACTTATGTAACTCTGGATGCTGCAGGGTGCAAGGAAAGGTTCCTTGTGCGTCACATTGTGTGAATGATAAACGTTTACGTTTCTGCTGTCTTGAAATATCCATGTGATGCAAGATTGTACTCCCAGTCCAGTGTTGTAGTCGAGACCACTTAAGACCTTCACAAGACCACACGAGACCAGCACAAGACCTCCAGTCTGCATTCAAGTCACAAGCTATTCAAATGAACTGCAACAAAAGTATTCCTTTGTCATTGTTCAACCTGTTACTTGTGCATGGTCTTGCACATGGTCTTGTGTCTGGTCTTGTGAAGGTCTCGACTACAACACTGTCCCAGTCTAAATGAGAGTGCACTCTTGCTTACCCAGGAGTCACTCCTGGTGTTTGTGCACTCAGGAACATGCTCATGTTAATCTTAATTGCCAGCTTCTCGTTTTGATACCTGCTAGGGTGTGCTTTTTCACAGAGCCCTGCATACAGCATTCATTTCATTAACAGCCGTCATTTTGATCACATTGTTTCGCCCTCCATGTCTCCCTTCTGCAGGGCGCTGTATCTCATGTCCAAGAAGAACTTTGTGCCACCCAAGCTGAAGGAGCAGACCAAGTGGTCAGGCAATTTCCACGGGTTCCTCAAGAGCGCCCTCACGAAGAATCCCAAGAAGAGGCCGCTGGCAGAGAAGCTTCTACGGGTGAGTGGAGTGACAGAAAAAAATCAAACAGGCCACAAGGAGCCAGTCATTGTGTTACTGTTCATGTGTCAAGAGAAACTCTCTGCTGCGAAGATGGCATTTGGTTATAAGAGCACTTCACCCTGTAGCTCCAAAACCCATGACGAACAAAATCTGGTTTAAACCTGTGGCAGTATACGTGTAACCTGCTCTTATTCCCCAACATACATGTGCCTGTGGGGCAGAAGTTGTTGAAAAAAGCAAACCTGTTCAGGTAAAATTTCAGTCTACCCTTCCCTCCAGGAATAAAAAATGTGAAGATTTTGACTACGTGAAGGGTTGTTGCAGACGACAGTAGAGTCCAGAGTCCCAGAGTGAATGTTTGACACAGGCATTTACGTTTGTGCATCTTCTTGTCTCTGCAGCACCCATTCTTCACTGATACTCCTGGCCTGGGTCAGCACCTCATGAGGCAGTTACTGGACAAGGCCCACAACATCAACAGCACTCCAACCTATCTACCGATGGACGACGAAGAGGAGGACATTCTGGAAGTAGTGAGTCAACGTGCTGGAGACACGATTCGTCATTTTCTGTAGTTTTTTTTTTCCCCCTTGTGTTGCTGTTGTAATCTCAGCGCAACCAGCCAGAGCTCTCAACTCGTGGTCCACGGTGGAAGCACTTATTAGTTTTGACCACCAAAAAATGCACCCCACAAATAGCCTTGATTACGTCGAAGTTGATTGTTTAAAATACTTGTAGGTTGGAAAAACACAGTTAAGTAGAGTGTACTTTGGGCTGAGAAAAAAACCCTGACACTTGGTCTGTTTTCCAGAGTGCGGCTAACGCCAGAAAACGGGTCCCTTCAAGAAGGACAGAAAAGAGCAGAGATAGGCCACAGTCTGAAATAAATGGTGAGTTGTTATCTCTTTTCCCTGTAAGACTCCATGCCGGGCCCCGAGTATGGGTGTGATTGCATGTGATCAAGAGTGATCAATATCCCAGAGTCTGAAGGTGTCTGCCCCAATACCTAAATCTGTGTAAATATCCCAAGGAAACGCTGACTTAGGGAAAGAATTTTGTCGTTTGGGTGGCAAGGCCACTTTGGCCTCAGAGAACCCATTTCTTTTTAAGGCACCGCGGCCTGTGATGAGGGCACTGAAGCCAATAGGATTTGTATGGAAAAGGGCATGACTGCCAGTAAACAAACAAACAAACAAACACACATACTAATATTAGGCCTTAGCATTCCAGCAGCCACTCACTTTTATTTGTGACTGCATGAAAATATGTTGCATCTTCCAGTTTCCTGGATCGTTTCATGCAATCCTTATGAGGCATTGCTGACTGATCACAGTGCTCTGTGGACGGACAATTGTGTATTATCAACAATTGATTTACAAAACTCCAGGCTGTGATGAAGAAAATGCGTAAGAAAACCAGTGTAAATTATACGATGTCTGTTCGTTGAACTAAGGTGGTATATCCACGCACAGCGCCCATGTCTTGCATTTGTGTAGCACACGTATTAGTCGCTGATATTACTCCCTCTGGATTACAACGTACAGCTCATGTCCAAACAGGGGGTTTGCACAATTGAAACAACTTCTTGAGTCACTGATAATTTCGTAGCCTTTAGTCAAGGTGTGCCTGTCACTGGTGCTCCATGGCAACACGCACTTGAAAAGACCAGTGCGAGTGGCACTCACATTGCGCTGGTGGTCTTTGTCATGCCAGCAACCGAAGTGTGCGTCGCCCCTTGAGTAAGGGCTGGTAATTTTGTGTGCCCTATGCACCGTACGTGTGCATGTACTTTGGCAGACCATGCCCGAATGTACATGTCCACTGTACAGTCAGCGCGGTCATCGTACTGCGTTGCATGTTTTGGAATCATACGGTCGTTGTCATGGCAAGGGGAAGGTTGGGCACCAGGCAAATAATACACATGTGCTGCAATATTTTTACACTGGCTGTCGGTCGTGAGCAGAGAGCACTGTTGACAACGTAGATGAACAAAAATAAGCTTTTAATTCCTTTTCTCCCATGAAAAGGGCGCTGCAGCCTAAGTTTTGAAAGGGCACAGCAAAGCTGGCCGTGGAAACTGCCCTTGTCCATAGGGCATCATGGGAATTAAAAGGGCATCAGTGACAGTGGCCGCCGTGACCATCGTGAAATTCCTTCCCTGCTGACCTTAATCCTGTGAAATGCAACAGCGATCCACTCTGGTCAAAGCTTGTGCGCCGTTGGAAGCAGTCACAGGTGGTAGGGCACACCATTGGTCATTGTAGACGCAGTTCTACAAAATCCACACTTGCTACAATTATCCAGGCTCAGTGTCATCTGTGTTGGGTTTTTTTTGCATTCACCAGGGTTTCTAGGGAAGAAAAAACTTGATCAAGGTTAGGTACAGAAAGTTCAAACATCACTGCCGGAGCCCTGTACAGAATCAAGGGGGTACATGTATTTGTCTGTGCACTTGTGAAGAGATGCTTTCTGGAGAATGTGATTTGGAACAGTTATCTTGTGAATAAGGCTTGTTACTGTGCCGTGGACCAGGGTGACATTTAACAAATTCAGTATTTAAAATACTTTGCAGTCATTGCAATAATGTATTCCCTCATTTTTACCGTGACTAGCTGAGAATGTCAAGTACGCAGTTGAGATCACGCCCCAAAATAGCGTACCGCCCAAGGCCAAGCAGGAGGATGACGACATGGACAGCATGGGCGACCCAGACTATCAGATGTCCTCGGACTGGGCACCAGCCCGACGGGAACCACCCAAGGAGCCCGCTCGAGAGAATTTCCGGCGGCCGGTCCCCCGGCCCAGAGACCCCCAGCGGTTACCGTCCAGTCCGCCGGCCCCCAGCAACAACGACAATGATGTGGACAACAGAAAGTAAGTTGCCGTGGCATTGCCCCCATGACTGCTGTACGTTAGTCTCTCTCTGTTTGCCTGCCTGCATGCCCTCGCTGCATGTAAAAACCCACACCAGTTGGACACTTCCTTGTCTGTCAGTTTCAAACACTGTGTCACTTGGAAGACTGGAGATATTCATTACAGTCACTCATGCCAACCAGAATGAATCTATGGTCATTCACCAAAATTGCAAATAATGCTATAGAAGCTGTTATTTCATGGAAATGTTGGTACAGTGTGCACACAAGTTTGTCAGCCCATCGCTATTTCAAGAGATTGAGAAACACTGCTGCAGTTTCAAGATTAAAATCAATGTGATGGGCAGTGTGCACTTACATTTACATGTATCCAGTTTTTGGGGCTACACTTGTAAGAGCCCAGGGTCATCTCTGAGGACAGTCAAAGGTGTCTTCTCTTAGAAGAAGCAAATATAGATAGAGAGTTAATTAAACTCATTGTTTTTTAGATGAGTTTCTGTCCAAAGCAAGATCTCTTTGAGACGGGCATGACATTTTTCCTATTTGAATGTGTAGTCATTACACTTTTGGGGTCTACTGGGAATTTTTCCTTTTTTCCCCTTCAGAGTCAAATATCTCTGACAAAACTGAATGCTTAACAAATAAAGTTGAGTATAGAGACACACTGAGAAGCAGTCGACAAGGAATTGCCCTAACCGTCTTGCCTGCTTATGTTGTTCACTGTATGGGCATGTAACCCTCCCCCTACTTTGCTGTCAAAAAGCCCAGTTCCTAGCAACCCAGTTCCTGGCAGCATTGTAATATCGGAGTTTAAGGCGTGAGGCACACTTGTAAGAAAAGGCCAGGTGCTGGACACAGGCTCCCCAAATAGAAGAAATGACCCCTGTGTTCGAACACTGGCTGTTAGCCAGTGGCACGGATTCATCCTGAATATCCAACCAGGCCTACTGGCTGATTGCCAAACCGTTTGGTGTTTTCATTTAGCCAGTACATACCTTCCTCACGTCTGTACATGCATCTCCACATTCTGGGGGTAAAAATCAAAACAAATAAGAATGTGCCCATCCCTTCCAGGATTAATTGCATCAAGTCCCTTCATTTCTCAATATTAAGCACTCAACAGCTTGTGTAACTCATGCAGGTTGCATCTGCCTCTGTGGTCAGGAATGTGCAGTCCCATAATAGATTGTTGCTAAACATCACAGATATCCAGTGTCACTATCAGAATGTCACTAAGGAATGCTTTGCTTTGGTTTTTTACTTTTTTTTTCTTTACCCTGCAAAATGACATTGCAAATTTAATTTGCTCCAATGGCTACAGATTTATAAACTGAAAACTGAAAATCGCATGTGGAGAACTTCTCTGGCAAAAGCGTGTTTCAGCTTTGGAATGTTTTCATTACGTTTTGCATTTCTTAAGACTTTTCATGTTAGTTCTAATACTGGAGATGTGATTTTTGTTTTTATGGAATTCTTACTCATGCCTTTTCATGTAAGTTATTGAAAGATATTGGCTTGTCCACGAGGAGTCCTTTGATAGTGCCTGTGCATATGACAAAGCCTGTGTAGCATTCTGACTACACATGAGCATACCAAAGTTTTCTGATTTGGCTTTGAGATAATTGTACGTACATGTAAGGGGTGTGCAAGTTTGCACTTCCCACTCTAAAGTGTTGCAAGGCAGTCACAGACATATGTAAAAAACCTGGACTTGCAACGCCTTTGTGGGAAGAAGAAGCCAACCAGCGGCCATTTAACCGAGCCGAATACAAATGCGTGGGTTGGCTCCCCTCTACTGACGTCAGGAAAAACAAAGGCGGGCATTGCCAGGAAAGCTTTGTATTCAGCTCGGTAAAATGGCCGCGAGTGGATTCAGTGATCTCTATAAGCTGATTAAGGGCATTGCGAATCCACATTTTATTATACACGTCCGTGAAGGCAGTGTGCACGAGGTACGGTGGAATTCAATCTCGGATAACTGGAAACTCTATTGAACTTGGAGTAATGCATTATTCCTGTCAAAAGAATAGGATTTCGTTTGCATGAATAGCCCTGTACCGTGAAACGTCTCAAGCAGTATCTCTGTTAAGCTCCAAAGTTTTGTTTGGTCAGTCCAACAGAAATTGCTTCTTAAAACAATTCACAAAGAAGTCTTAAGCGATTGCAGAAAGTTTTCTTTGAGTTGCTGCTACAAAATATACCGGTAATGCATTTCTTTCTGTCACATTGTGATACACCATATGCTACCACTGTGATTGGAGTAGTCACAGTAACCAGCCTAAAAAAGGCAGCAAATTTTGGCGTTTTGAATCAAGCCCAATCTCTGCTGCAGGCCCAATTGTGTCCCACATGTAGGTAGTCTGGTCACTTGCTTTTTCTTGTGACCATGTGACCACATTATTAGAAACCCGTTAGCATGCACTCCCTTGGGCGTCTGAGCCGGCCCGAGTATTACCAGCGGCCCAGTTGCAAACTGTAGCCTTTTTTCTCCATTCTATGAGGTTTGACTTAACAAGATTAACTGTAAGTTACGGTACCTGCAACGCAGTCTAGTACATACAGGGGTGTGAGAATTCAGCTTTTTATTGTTCAGATGTTGACCCCAAATTTCAGCTTGTTTATCCACCTGTTCTGTACAAAAGTATGGGAACTTTTTACGTTCACCTTTTTGCTAGCTGTTTTCAGCTTTAATTTTAAGTGGCCACTCACACCCCTGCGCACATCAGGTAATTTGTACACACTGCTGCATACATGTACAAGTGTATGAGGTAATTTGCTTACAACAAAGAGTACATGTATATGAGGCAACCGGTTGTATTTTGGACAAGAGAGAATGACTGTTCTGGAGCAGTGAAACTCTTTTCCCACAAGACATGATAAGAACACATGTACAAAGTGCACATGCATTACATTGCATTAACCCTCTCTGCCATCTCTGGACCTGTCTATTTCTCTTTCCCTAAGGAGTTTACTGAAATCAGTGGCAGAGGAGCTGCAGAAACGGTATGCATACTGGTGGCCCCCTCATTTTCTGCATATTGCCTGTCCCTAAACACTGTCACGGTTGCTCATTTTAAGGGAGGAAGGCAGAACTGACAACCAAAGGTTCTCAGTGTTTTATATATTTCCCAGTGTGGAAGAATTGTGGATGTATACTTTGAAATCAGACTCGTTCATGCATGGGTGTGTGTGTTAATCTCTTCCACTCTGACAAATTATACAAGTCTGTCCCAGTTGAGCTCAGTTGACTTGCTGTGACTGTTTATGCCTGATACAGCCAAGCATGCGCAATTGTGAGCATTACAGCAAGTCTTGAGGCTTTTCTTGTCACAGCGAATGCACGGATCGAATGTGACTAGTCACATCGTGTGTTTTCTGGCCCCTGGTGACTTGCCTATAGTTAAGTATCACGTTGGAAAGTACTATGAACTTTTGACCATCTGTCCGCACCCAGTCTAATTATTCGACGATTCGTGCATACACGCTGGACTTCACCTCTGATGAAACACAGAAGCTGCTGATTGGGCAAGGAAAGTCAAGTTGAAACTCACTAAGCAGTCACAGTGTCTTCCACAAACCTCTGGGGCAATTCTGAACTCCTCCCTCAACCCTCACCCTTGTTCCTGCTGAGATGATGTTGCATGGTGTTTCTCCATTCTTGGAGTGCATGCTTATTAGTCCAGCATCCCACTCGTTCTTTCTACCCAGTAGTCTTTCATTTCTCCCCCCCCCACTCATCCTTAGATCATTATCCTCGGTTCACTGTCCTCCAGAATCTTTGTGTGCATGCATGTTTTGCTTTCATGCATACCTTCTAATTTGTTGCCAGCACTGGAGTGGCTGAAATTGTGACGGTGCTTTTGTTTTAATTTGGGAAAGTTTAACATAACCAGGGGTTGTGACAGAATTCACTTCAAATCTTGCCATTATTCCTGCCTTGTAAATCTGATGCTGTATTTAATGGAATCCAGGCATGTGACTTCCCCTCGGTAGCAGATTTTTTTGTTTTTCACTTCAAGCACGTGCCACTCAAAATTGAAAACATTGTACAGAGTCTCGTAAAGATTAGAATTTCCTCTTTTTTCATCAAAGCCCAAGTTGCATGCCCGTGCATCTTAACAGGAGCCGCATGGTTACAGAAGCATGTCTTGCAAGGGGTTGCTGCATTTATCATGGGCTTCATGATGGCCACAACGATGTTTATTAATTCAAGGCACCAAAAATAGTCTGATGCTCAGGATTTGTCATCTCCCCTTGTACCTTTTTGGAAGGCTGCAAGGAAATGAATAATCTCATTTAAGAAGTCCACTGTGACTGCCAAAGAAGAAAAAAAATGACCAACAAATGTAACCACTGAGCTGCAAACAGAAACTAAAGAACATCTGAAAGTTTATTTTTGGGTGTGTTATATTTTCCACAGTGTTGTTCAAAGCCTGAGAAGTTTGAGGGAATAAAAAGCTTTTAAGTTTTTGAGAAAAGCTTGATTTTTCTCAAAATTTCAAGAGTCAAAACTCTGCACTTTTCATTAGACCCCCTTCAATAGTCATGACTAATTTCAAGCCAAATAGCTCCAAAGGTAAAACATTTATTATGAACTCGCAATTACCACCTTTTTGAGTTTGTGGTAACTGTGAGCCTGGGTCTTATCAAAATGCAAATTCCTACCGGTATTTATGGAGTTCAGTTGCACCTGCAGAAATGTATAATTGGTGGCATTTTTTGAGGACCCTTGACCTTTGTTGCCATGGATATAATGACGTGCATCATTGTCATAGTTGAAAGTGAAATCCATTAAAAAGGAAAACGAGAAAATTCTGATGTCAGGTACTAGAAGGCAGAGCAATTGATATGGATTCCCTGATGGACCAGCTGACTCACCCCTTAGTCCCACTCAACTCTGGTGGTCGAAATACACAGCCTCACTAGGCACGGTAGCCAGAAAGCCGCCTTTCCATCCTGGCATTGTCTGTATAATTTGCAAAGGTACTGGCAGTCTTTTGGTCTCTAAGAAACCTAAATATGCAATGAGCACTAAACAGATTGAACAGGCATTCATGAAAAGATGGCTTTACCATCACAGTAGTTGGATGTAAGATGCTTTCCAGTAGTCTTTATATCAGCATTAGCTTCCTGTCCCTCGACGGGATTTGAACCCAGATTGTCACAACCTCAATTTTTGAAATGCCAAAACAGTCTCCCTTTACCGGTATTTTCTGCCCTTAGTAACACATTCCTATCCCTTTGCCTGTCTTATTTTTGGCAACGTTGACAATCCCTGCCAAGGAAAGAGCAAGAAGCTTGAAGCGAGGGGGGAGTGTCTGTGAACTTTGACCCCCTTTGCATGTCCTCCTTACTACACGTACAGTCCATTGGCACCATCTCCGTCTATACCTCTTGGTCTTCACCAACCATTTCTTCTAACATTTTGTTTTTAGTGCATGCCAGAATGGCACGTTGTTACTAATCGTTCCTCCTGTGTTGAACAATGTACATTACAGTGTGCTGTGTGACAGTGTTTCTTACATGTCCAAACTAGCTTTGCACGGTTGAAGATTTTAAACTCAGTTTCCTCTTTTCCCATCTCCTCCCCTATTTCTTTCAACCTCACATGTATAAAATTTCCCTTCATTAATATTGGATGTATGGGCACGTGCTTGTTGCTCAAATTCTCATATAATTTTGTTGAAGTGAGTTTCGTAATTTGTGTGGCAGCTAGAAGACAGCAAAACAAAGGCAAAGAAAGCCAAGACGAGAAAGAAGTAGAACCAAAAAAAACAAAAACAAGCTAAGATAACAATTCCAAAGTTGTAGAAATCTGTTCGTGCCTGAGAATTGTGCTCAATAGTCTTCAGGTGAATTAATTGCAGTGTTTGAGAGTAACTGATACCCAAGGTAATTTTACACGTACATTGACTCTTGAGGAATTTAGACCCTTAAAGTATTGTTCCTTGCTTTTGCTACTAATCTTCCCCATTGGTGTTAAATCACTCGTTTCAATTTTTCAGTTATCCATATTATTTGCATAACCACTAATGACGCTTTGCACGTTTGCTTGCCTGACACACAGGGGTCACGAGACTAACAACTTTTCTGAGCTCGAGACCCAGTACGAACATGGCAAAAAGTGAGTACCTTCTTGTTCTCTGACCATTTCTTTCAATGAGTTGCTCCCTTTATTTTTGGATTGACTCTGGTGTGTGTGGTTCTTTCACACAAGAGTTGGCATTCAATCCTCATACTGCACTATTTAATGCATGTGTACTTCTTAGCATGTCTGTTGATACTAAGATGTTACATGATATTAATGTAAATACGACTTGTAAGGAAATGATAATGAGAGGTGAATGATCAAATTGATTGGAAGTTTCACAACAGTCTTGAGGCAGATGCCTTAATTCTCAAACTCTCCACCTCACTGCTTGGTCCATATGTTGGTCCTCACCTGCTTGTTTGAAATAGTTTTATATTTATAAATGCCTGTTCCTCAAAGTTTGTTCACTTTGTAGCTTATTGCATTCAGCTGCTCTTTCCAAAACCATATGGGTCACATTTTCGCCTCTTAAATACACTCCAGCCTTCATTTGTGGGGGATTTTTTTAGTGACCTAATCAAGCTTGCTTCCTTTTAAAAACATTTTGTCTGTTCACCAACGACCCGTACCAAGCCTCCTGCACTGTTCCCTGAGCCTGTTTCCAACTTTTATTTGCATTGGTTCATGTGTTTTTTTCCTCCCCCCGGGCTGTTGTGCTTTATGTTTTGCCTTGCCTGTTCTACCTTGCTCTTCTCGACCCAGATCGGAGAGACTGGCGATGGAGAATGCAACCAAAGAGGGGCCCCCCAGGTAAAAGAACAGCCTCAGATGGGTTCTCTCAGGGAGGGTGGTTGGTGGACATTCTAGTGCCAGACAGTTACTTCGATCAAGCAACGGTGTCCATGATATACATGCTTGTGGAAAATAAGATGGCACCGTGGTGCATTACCCGTTTTCAAACACCACAGCAGAGATTTCATTTCAGAGTCACCTGTGTTGTGTTTCCTTATTTAAGGAGCACTTCAAACCCACCTTTAAGCTGTATTTCTTTCACTTGCATGTGTTTGATTGTAGCTCATCCGCATAGCTCTGATTTTGAGAGTAATTTGCCACCAGCAAAGTTCCAATCCAAAGAAGCAGTTATCATTTCATCCCCTTTTCCATACCACCTTGTAATTCCCTTATTTTTAAAAATCTTTTTCCTTGTTTTCCTGTTCGCTCCCTCTGGTCTTTCCCAGTCAAAATCCCTTTCCCACTCTTTTCTCCATCCAGCTTTCCGTGACCTTTCCTGTTCCTGCCATTCCTATGTTTCCCACTCCCATACCTTTTCCCATACATCCTAAGCGTGTCCCGGGCCTCCAGACACAGCAGCCAAAGAAGCCACCAAAGGAAATGGAGAAATCAAATCAATTTAACACGTTGAACTGAGATATTTAGTTTACATTGAATTCCATTCGTACCTTTCTGCTGTTCATCAAAAGGAATTTTTCTCCCCCCCCCAGGAAAACAATGCCACAGTCTGAGGAGGGTCCGCCACTCCCACCAAAGGTCAGCACATTATAAGTAATTTTGTTCCAGTACACAGTAATATTTTTCTACTGTTCAAGGTTTTAGGTTTCAGTCACCACCCTTGCTAAGTGCCAAATATTTACAAGCTCTAGCTGTAATCCTAGAAGGCAAGAAAGAATTGTATTTTAGTACCATACAAATGAGATTCATGTAAGCAGCTGATAAATATGCATTGAGCTTAAACTTTGGCTGTTTATTCATAAAACTTTGCCTGCTGGGCCTCCGCAGCTGAGCACTATCAGCAATGAAAATGAAACAAAATGATTCCAAACTGTTTTAGGGCATTTTCATTCATAGCATATCTACTGTAAGTAACCATGTTTGAGAGTCTGAGACAGTGATTTTGCCCCAGTTTTCGACCAGCATCAGGGCCTATTCACATAAGAGAATAGTAGTGGCATGCAGGGAGGGAAAGTGAAATTTTGCATAGAATTGAACATATGTACCGTGGGTGGAATAATATGTTGTTAGTTACAGAACTGTGTAATGGTGATTGAATGGCCTGGGCGAAATTGGCAAGCTCCATTTTGGAATATCTTCCTGTCCCTTCCAGGCGATCTGGTGCAGTAAATTCAATAAGTGTCTAAATAAGCTGCCCTACTGTGTATGGGCATTCTAATCTAGCCTGTTAAATATCAGCAAGTCCTAAGTTTTCCCATCCAGAGTCCAGTCTCCACACTTTTCAGGCCAGTGTTTATCTCTGGTTTTAATAGCAATGAGACCAGTGTGGATTTACAGCTTGCTCTATCGCAGATGCCAGTGACCACTTGTACTCTTTGGTTAAGAGAGGTAAATGGAAGTGAAGTGGCTTGCCCAAGGACACAGCATATGGCCAGCAGCTGATTGGGGAACCCCTCTACTATCTGGTCATGAGTCCGTAATGCTAACCACTAGCTTTTCTTTGAGAATCTGCCCAGCCACTGGCATGGCATTCTTCAGAACACCCTCAAGTAATCCTTTCCAACTGCGACTTTGTTTACAGCAGAAATCAGTCCACTTCAGGGAGGCCAGCAACAACAACTCAGTCCCTACTCCGCCTTCCTCCCAACGAGCCAGTCCCCCACCCCGGGTCCCGCCCCCAGTGGCCCCCCGCCCCAATGGCCGGGCACCCACCACCAACGGTGAGAACATGGACCTGGAGTCAAATTCAGAGAGCAGTCCGCCTGTGGTGCCACCCCGCAGGAATCGCTTCCCTGACTTCCTGGTCCCCAAGAATACGGAGACTGGCCACGGTGTCGTGCAAACGCCCCAAGTGCCTGTAAGTAGTGTAAAGGTTTTACTGAAATCGTGACACTTCAAGTTCCATGTGGGTTTCCCTTTGGCTTACTTTCCTGTGACCACTTACAGCTAATTTGATCTACCCAGTTAGTAACTGGTCATTTCAAATCATTGCAGTGTCCTCTTTTTTCCGGATCAGTAAAGAATTCTCGTGTCTTGGTTGCTTACGAGTAGAATGCCTCACATTAATAAGCCGTGAGTTTTTTATGAGCTGGGTGTGGTTTGACACAGCTTGTCGGTTTGATGGGGGATTGATTTTTTTTTCCTTATTCAGATGGGGGCATGTTTCTCCAAAGTGTTCAACGAGTGTCCACTCATTGTCTACAGCTCAACTAGCTGGGTTCACCCAGAGACAAAAGGCAAGTTTCATTCTGTAAAAGAACCATTTGGACTAACAAAAGCCACATCAGCGCTCAAATCTAACTTTCAGAAGTAGGAAAGTGAATCTCTTGTTGTTTTTTTAAAACTTTTTGCGATTATTTAGAATATGGAAGAAGTTGTATTCTTTAATTTCAGTTGGAGAAACTGTGCTCTTGCTTCACTGACATGTTTTTTGGGAAATGTTTGATTTCAGTGAACAAGTTATTTTTACTTCACTTTTTTAGATCAGTACATAATCTTTGCCTGTGAAGAGGGCATCTACACATTCAACTTAAACCAGATTCATGAAGGAGTCATGGACCAGGTAACGGGAGGGATTCCAGAATTCCAGTGCCGTTGGAATTTCAGACCTGCCAACCTGTCTTACTCCTTCCTGAGGTCAGGCATTACCACACCATAGATCAAAAGGTATTGAAATGAGCCCTCAGTTCATTTAAAATTCTAATCTATTATGTGGTGATGCCTGACCTCAGGAAGGAGTGCGACAGGTTTGCAGGTATGGATTGTACATATTGCTTTGTCTTAAGCTCCCACGGGACCAGAAATCCAGTGACTGGACTGGTTTGCTCTGAAGGGAATGTTTCAAAATTTTTAACGCTTTGGGCCCCACTGAAATGTTGTTGTTTGGAACGTGACGTTGGTTTGCTGTATTCCTTTTAGGATACATGCCCTTAGTGAGCCAGCACAAAGAACACTGACCATTTGGGAACGTGCATTGTTGTCGGTATCAGCAGCAGAATTTCCTGATTAGGACAAGCAATATTCTAATTGGAGATGTTCCCTATGTCGCTATTTCATACCAACCCTCGGAGCTGATTTATTGGTTTATTCTTTGCGTGCTCATTAACTTACCAAAGTTGTGGAACATTTTGACAAAAATGTAGATTTATGTTGAGGGATGTAGAGATGCAAGACATTGTCTCAAGTTAAATTTTAAATTTCATTTCAAGACCCCTTGACCCCTGATAAGAATTTGATATGTTTCAACACATTTGTGATATCTGATCTCTTTGTTTAAAACAGATTTTCCCAAGAAGAACAACGTACGTTTATGTCATCAACAACGTGATGATGTCATTAACAGGTTGGTAAATATTAAAAGCTCCCTCTATAGCTTATCTCCATTTTTGTTCTTCTGTAAACCTTCTTGTTGGTTGAGACAGGTAGGTCCATTGCTGAATGTATTCCAAATCTGAAGCAACAGAAGCGTTTTAAAATGGACTAAATTGAAGGCATGGGAGTACGGGCGATTCGTAATAGTGCGCCTCCAAGAGTTTGAAATGCGTTGACCAATCACTGAGCGCGAAATCTGTCGACCCTTTCCAAATGCACATTGGGTCGACAGATTTCACACACTGTGATTGGCCAACGTGTTGCAAACTCTTGGAGGCGCACTATTGTGAAACTCCCATATTCTATGGGTTTTTGAAAGAATATCTTTACAGCAAGTGTTTCAAAGATACAGATCGGTCAAGAAAAGAAATATTGAAGTTTTAATTTGCCGGAAACAGGGAAGACACCAAGCCTCTATCAGCACAACCTCCTAGCACTGATCGACAAGAACTTTCACCGCTTCCACATACCCAGCAAGCTCGGGGACCGGCTGCAGCGCATCCCAGACAAGCTGGTGCCCAGGAAGTTTGCCGTCAGCCACAAAGTCCCCGACACCAAGGGCTGCACTCGATGCTGCATTGGTAAGGGATTTTCACCATTGCCCCCTGTCTCTCTCTTTCAGTTACATGTACCTTCTAATTATCTGTCAATTCACATGACCATGACCCCTTACATGTGACATTTCTATGTTAAAGCTACAAATATCTAAATCCATTGTTAAAGTGTCCCTAATATTTTAATAAGGGAATAAATATGTGCTTGGCCAGTCTTAAACGTACATTTAAGACCGACAGAGGAGAATGGACGCAACTGCGGCTTGGGCATTATCAGCACGTTTATTCCCATTCACAAATACCTTTTTTAGTCAGAGAGTCAAAAAAAGTCAATATATGATGGATTTTCAGGGCTTTTCTCCTAGAATTTTGCGCGCCCCAATCTTTCCATCCACTCACTTTGTCACATGAAACCTTGCAGAAGTTCTTACCATCCGTGAACACCACCCAGGCAGCATCACCAACAGTTTACGAGAAACTCAGTCTTCCAGAATTACCACTTGCTAAATCCTCAGTACTTGATCATATGTCCATACAGTCTGTCTTCTGCTGAAACCCACTGTCAGAATGTCAGATCTGACCACTGAAGGTTATTTTTCTCTTTTCCACCCCAGTTCGCAATCCGTTTGATGGTCACAAGTACCTGTGTGGAGCTCTACCCAATGGAGTTGTCCTTCTACAGTGGTACGAGCCCATGAACAAATTCCTACAAGTAAAGGTAAGATGGCATTTGAAGCCTGATACACGTAGTCTCACTTCTGTGGCACGGGAGAGCCTACAGTGAACCAGTTGGGTATCTTATTGAAGCAAGGAAACTTTGATCTTTCTTGTGTTTACGAGTTTGTGTACGGTGGCCCTGATGGGTCCCTATGTATTTATTCTGTGTAGGAATATCAAATTGGTTTCTTGGTGTTTTGTACAGGAGGGCAATAAGACAAGTTTGTCAAATGGCATCAACAACTCATATAGTGTCAAATGGTTTCCATACTAGAATACGCTTAGTTAATATGACGTTAGCACAATGCTATTGGAGTTGTTGAAATTACTGTTGAAATATATATATTTGGCCCTCAGCAAGATTCTTAACTTCTTTTTATTCACGTTTTGTATAGTTCTATCGAGTACATTTTCTGGTGCTTTGCAAATATAAATTGTCAGAAGTTCATGTAACCAGTGGCCACCTTTTACCAGAACCAAAGGAAGTTTACAAATGGCCTAGAAGGGCATGGAAAAAGGCATCAACAGGGTCTCTGGCCACCCTGGAAATCAGGGAAAACCTGGAAAATGAGGTGTCCTTTTTTCAGTCAGGAAATTTGAGAATGCCTTAAATTGGGGAAAAGTCAAGGAATTTTATTGGCCCAAAGAGAAAATGGGTACCCTCTCGTATATTTTCCCACGTCCAAACTGTGTATCCACTGCCTCTCGTATATTTTCCCACGTCCAAACTGTGTATCCACTGCCTTATTGGTTGTGATGATGCTTAATGGAAATAGGTCGAAGACATTATGCCAAAATTTTGAAACGTCACCAGGGAAAACTCTGGGAAAAGTCGCAATATAGTTTTTGTGAAATGCCAGGAACCTTGAACAAGCACCTTGCACACTTTCATGTCAGGGTATCAAAGAGATTGCAGCAATCTCTCTCCTTTACGTGCATTTCTTTTTTTCTTTTTTAATTCCAATTTTATTCACTCCTTCATCTGTGTCTTTTGTTTGTTGCAGGTTTTTGACTGTCCTCTTCCTCCAGAGATCAAAGTCTTTGAGATGCTGATCAAACACGATTCTGAGTTCCCGATAGTCTGTGTTGGAGTTGCTAGGGGGTAGGTGAACTGTTTCTCTCTTTCTCTCTTTCTCTCTCTTTCACCTTGTTTAACTTTTGAATAAGATTTTTTATTTCCTTTGTAAACAGAAGACACAGAAAGTATCTGACAAGCTGGAGTGGGCATTTTGCAGATTAACTTTACCGGACAGTTTGGTTCAGGTGCTTTCGTGATTGATGTGAATTGTTTAGCCTCAAGGGACAAATCCAAAAAGTGCATAGTCATGAATTATTTCACCTTGGAGGACAAGGCATTGCATTTTCCTTTGTTTCCATGACATAACTCGCTCCCATAAACTAAGCACCTAACATACTTTCAAGGACTGGTGTTCAACCAAAGATTGAGGGCTTGTCCGTTTCACACCAATCTGGATTATAATCAGTGATCCCATCGCTGGTTTGCTCCATCCATTAGGCAGGTTCTGGAGTCAGTGAACCAACAACAGATCGTTGATCGTGATTGGATCTGCGTGAATTAAACAGGCCCCAACTGTTGAAGACAGGAAGAATCCTTTTGTTCCATTTATGCATTCTCTCATTTAAAGCGGTTGAAGCCCATAGAAGCTGGGACTTGGATACAGTTTGCACCTGTCCATTGCTCTTTTTGAGTTTGTATGCTCTCGGTGTCTGAATGGAATCAGGCATGTTACTACTTGCCCACAATGTCCAAGCATGCAACTTTTCCTTGGATCGGCTGATTTCCTCATTTTTCACTTGACACCTATGCCAATGAAAATTGAAAAATGCTGCACAAAGTCTTGCGAAGATAGGAATTTCCTCTTTTTTGCCAAAGTCCAAGTTGCATGCCTGCAGTATCTCTTACATGCTCAGCATACGTTAATGCATGCGTGTAGCTGTCCAGACCCCTCTGGGCGCTCCTATAGGCTCCTTGTGTTGGTGAAAGATACACAGCAAACGTGGTGTCTGAGTACCGTCTTCATCATGGTTAATGTTATCTTTTTCACTCCCTCTCTGACCTCTCCTTTCCTGTCTTCATCCAGAACTGACAGGAAGCACCTCTCCTTTGACCTGATCAACCTGAACACAACGTCCAGCTGGTTTGTTGGTCACCCGCCGGAGGACAAGCTCCTAGATGTTGTCCATATCTCCCAGCTGGAGAAGGACACAGTGCTGGTCTGCTTTGACAGTATGTCCCATGATATACCTGACACAGTTTTGCAATTGACAATCTAATCCCACAAACTATTTCTGTTTTTTTTTCAGCAATTTCGTTTTAGTTTGTATTAGATAGAGCAAACTGAGTGCTTTTGTGTGATATATCGCTCAGTCTGTCATCCTGATAAAAGTGGACATAATCCAGATGAACATTGTTAAGGTTTCCTGTTAATTTACAGTGTGCAAGATTGCCTCTAAATGCCTTAAAGTGAAGTGTGCACTCTGATGACTTCACTGATTTTGTTTGGTCGGGTCTCAATTCGGGTACCTGATTCAAAAGAGCGCAGCGCGTAGAGGCCCTAGGGAGTGCAATAAGATAATCTCAGCATCATTTCCGAGATCTCAGGTTGACAGCTTGTCATGTTGTAATATCGTCAAGAACAGGGAAGAGGGTCTGTGAAAGTTGGAAGATTCTCTAACCCCCCCCCATAAAATAAAATAAAACCTGTGGAAGTGAATCCTTGGTTATCCAACCTTTTTGCAGGAGAAGTCAAGGTGGTCAACCTGAACGGCAAGCCCAAATCCAACCGCAAGCTGTCGGCAGAGCTGCACTTTGACTTTGCAGTAGAGGACCTGGTGGTTCTGCAGGACAGCGTCTTGGCGTTCCACAAGCATGGCATGCAGGGGCGGAGCTTCAGGTCCAATGAGGTGTGTTTCTGGATGTGGGGGAGGGGGGCAACCATCCTCTCCAAATGAGGACGTTACACGTATGATGTTAGAAAGGGTTGTGGCATTGGTGCCTTAGTTACACCAGTGCCATGCTGGAAAGAGACTAGCGTTCTTTATGGTTCTTATGGTGTTCTGATGGTTTAGAATGCCATTCCCGTAATGAAAAGCTAGATCAAGAATGCATGAGTGAACCACCCCCTGCTATTACCAGTTCTGCATAGAACCCCAAGTACATGTAACATGGTTGGATGGTCTGTATGAACTACCAAGGTATTTTTTTAAGTTAACAAATTTTTTTCAGCAAGGAAAGCTTCAGCTTTGTGGTGTTCCACCTCACATGATGAAAATTCTGTTGAGTTGACCAACAGATCGGCAGAATAGCTACTGCACTTGTACCATCCTCTATTGAAGTAATTGAGTATTGGGTAATACTCGCATACCCACTTTACTCAGTGCAGTAGCTCCATTGCTCAGCCAATGACAGTTGTACCGGTATGTAGTTCCGGTATGGTCCTTGCTAGAAAACTGTTTCCCAAGATTGAATATTCTTCCATTATTGTTGCTGTGCTTGAAGATCAGTCTTCATTACTGAAAGATTTTTGGTTTTGATTTCTCGTGACCTCAGGTGACTCAGGAGATCTGCGACAAGAGCAAGCTGTTCACGTTGCTTGGCGCGGAGAAGCTAATCATTCTCAAGAGTCACCCTACAGACAACCCCCAGGCACCCAGCAATATCTACATGCTGACAGGTCACGCTAACACCTTGTGAGACTTCCCCTCCAAAAAAAAGTCCTGCTCTTTGAAAAAGCAAGGGGAAAAATAATAGTAATAATGACAACAATCGTCCGTTGTATCTGAGCAATCTTGCTGATAGTCTGGCCATGATGGATGTCTAGTGGACTGTTGTACAACGTGAGCAGTTCTGGGATTCGGCGAGGTCCCTTTTTTTTTGTGTGTTGGTTTGAGGCCCCAGCATTTTGAAGTCTGCCCAAAGATTTTGTTGTCAGTTCGGATGCTGTGCCAGAATTTAGAGTAAGATGCTCTACTAAATGAAAGTAATCATACTGGACTTGATTCGTACACTTTTACGACAGAGTTTTTGTTTTTTGTGTGGTTTTGTCAAAGGGCAGTCAGTTTGGTATTGTTTTATTGGGTTTTTTTTGTTGATCTCTCACTAATGCTTTTTCTCTGACCCTCGTAATTGGCCAGGTGCTGCATTTTGGTCAGGACCTACATAATGTCAGTACAGTCTGATTAATACAGTGTGTCTCGTACTGGTGAAGCTTCTTAAGAGCAGCCGTTGTTTTGTCGGCATGGTATTAAAATACTTCATTTTGATACCTGTACATATGGAGGTTTGGGCCCATTTTGGTTGCTGTCTGTAAATCGTCCAATTGGATCGTTGGAACTGGTCTTGATATAGGAAGGTACAAACAGCTTAAATTTGGCATTGTTAATTTTGGTTATCTTTTGAGCAAGAGGACGGTGCCGTTCTGCAGTTGACTTGACCTTTCCTCAGAGTATCTGAGGATGATGCTGGTAAACCATTCTAACCATGCAGTCTACACTCAGGCTGTGGATCTCCTCACTTTTTTTGATGATACTTGCACTAAGATCATGTTGAAATGTCGAATAAGTAATATTTGTACACAGTTTAGAAACCGCTCTTTTTCTTCCCTCAGGCAATGGTTTCAGCATCTGCTTGTGTTTGTTGGCAATTTTTTAGTTGTGTGTACATATTTTTTAACCTAAGAAATTGTCTTGAATTAAAAATGCAGTGTTTCTTACAATCTGCAGGTTAGAAATTGTTTAGATAAAAAAAAAATTCACATTGAAAAAAAAGGGGGTATCATGCCCTCATTTGTGGTTCTGAATGTTTAACCGGAGTATTTACAACTGCTGGTGGTTTGTGTGTCGTTCCTGCAATCAAATCCTTCCCTCCAGACACAGGAAAAACAAAACGGAACACGAAGCCGTGTGTCCACCACCGATGTGGAACTGCGTAACTGTACATTAGTTGTAGATATATGTATGTAGACAATCATGAGTCCAAGAGAATCTTGTCAAGTAAGTGAAGATTTAAAAAAAAAAAAGGAAGTTTACCAGGCCGGCTGCACTTGGAGCAGAATGTTCTACCGTACTAATTTGTTACAAGAAAAAGAAAAAAAATGAAAGGAACTCGGCCTGTTTTTAAATGCGTACTACTCTGGAGATTGTTCCATATATCTGTATAAAAAGGTATAGAAACTGTAGCATGAATGAATGTAGGCGTTATCATTGTACAGTAGGTGATGACATTTTGTTCACTCGTAGAGGTACATAGGTTGCACCGTTGAGTGGTGCTGCTTGGGTCGTCAGCCCAGGTCTATTTATTTTGGGGGGCGATGCTTGCAAAAATGGACTGAGTGGAACCAGAAACACAGTAGTATAGCAGGCAGCTTATTACTACACTCATAGCCAAAAATTGCTCATAGTGTAAAGGTCAGTGGATGCTGAAATCGATCCCCCTTTCTCCCCTCCCCATACGAGGCAGTCATTCATTTTTACTCAGGTCGACACAGTGGTGTCGGTTGACTGTGAATGTTTTCTGAGGAGCTCTGTGTATATACGTGTAAGCACCAGATGTCTCACATATAGACATCTCTCTTGCTCTGCCCAGTAGTGGTTACCTGACTTTGGCTATCAGTTCAAAAACAAGTGCTGAAAAAAATCTTGCGCAACTATTAATATGCCATGTAATAAACAGTATATTGGTGGTTGAGAGCTGATTTCCCACTGGTCCATTCACCGTTGCATGCCAGTCGCCTATCTCTGCTATGTAGCAGGCACGCATGCCGGGATCTCATCCACAAGTCAAATAAATCTGCTCGGTAAACTGTAGCATGGCTAATGTGTGGAACTACATGAGCGCTGGTTGAAGCAATCATGTAATTGTTTGCCGCAGGGGTAGTACACAAATGGCAACATCACCCCTGACAAAAAGGTTGCTGCACATGTCAGATATTTTCAGCAGTGATTTCCTACTAAGCACTGAATGAAAGGCCTCCCTCTCATTCAGCATAGATCTCTCTCATGATATTACTTTTTGCAGATCGCCACATGAATCGGCAGTTTAGATGTAAAATTATCGTCTGCGCCACATTTCAAAGAAATTCAGATCAGCACGCAGCTGTGTACAGAACACATGCACACTGCACACACATGGCATTGGCACTGGGGCATTGAAAACGCAGTCTCATAATTTTCCTCCTAAGATGGTGTCCTGTGAGACAGACCCATCAGAACAAATGTACGTTCTTAAGGCGGAAGGCGTTGCCCATCAAGGATGGAATTTTTGCAGACCTAGGTTGTCCACAATAAAGTTGTAGAGAACAATTACAAACAAGAGAGAGGTCTGTTAGTGAGGAATTAATATGCTGCAGGTTTTGCTGTTGGCACTTGTCGTTGTACATGTAATTGGCTGTGGTGCATGCAGCACCAAGTGAATGGATCTTCTCTGTACATACATGTAATTTGTGCGGCCTGGCCTCCGAGCTGGCATTTTTTTGGTTCTTTTTTTATACGAAGCTCGTTGAGATGCAGACCAAATGGAGTTTTATAGCGAGGGGTTTATGTTAATTTATGGATCGATATTGTCATTTCTCTGTGCAACGTTGAGTGACATTAGTAGAAGTATATTCACTTCAATCAGTGACCATTCATCAACCACTCGTCAAGTTTGACTGGTACCCAGGATGTTCTTTTATGCTGAGGTGACCAGGTGGATCAAAATCAGCCTTGAATTTAAGCAATCCATGACACGGGAAAGTGTTGTAGAGATATTTAAGATACGGATTGTGCTCCTAAAATTCTACCATGGACTTGGCAGTTGACCCTTTATGATTTTAGAAGCACCCCCCCATGACTGAATGACTAGAAGACTGGGCAGACTGCCTAGTTTGTGAGGTACACATCAAAATAAAGTGTCCAGTTTGTACTTTCTAATGTAAACTATACCCTAATTACTGAATAAACCCTCAAGATGCATTTTGTCCGACGAGGTCACACTGAAGGAATAAGTAATAATGAACAAAGTTGTGGTTGTTGGCGCTGAAAAAAATGCAAAACGTTAAAGGTTTCAGTGATACTAAACCTGGGCATTTACAATCACAAGACAGTGTTACCAGGTTTTTACAATTATGAACTCTCCTTTTTTTGGATGGTACATGTACATATAAAGATGGGCATAGTGGCTTACCTGAGGTGACAAAACAGGTTTGAATCAAATCCCTTGTGATTCTTTCATCAAAACAAGCCACACATTGCCAATAAACCTTTTTTTTGTAAACTGTGACATGTCCTGTCGAGTTGGAGGCCATATTTCGATATTTTAAATGCTTTCACTGGATGTATTTATAGATCAATATTGATTTCTTGTGTTCTGCAAAAAGAAAAAAAAATCCACGAGTGTCGTCCTGGGTTTTTAATTCAGTTTGAAGGCGTTTGATACTACTACTTATTATATATATATATATATAATACATTTGTACATTATGCATCTATAATTAAGTCTAATAATAAAAATTCTTTTCTCTACACTTGATTTCTGGCAACAGGAATTAATTAGTTTACAGAAATTATGTTGCACTTGTTGAATATTAAAAAATGAGAAAAAAGATTTGTTACCATCACTTTAGTAACTTTATTCCATTCAGTATTTGTGTTGTTTGATTCTGGTAGTAGTTTTTTTCCCCTCAACTCCATTTCTTAATTTTTGAATATGAAGATATTTCAGATGTGGGGGTAGGCGATTCACTAGAAAAACAACAATGGTAGAAAAGCTTTTGATCTAATTAAATCTTCTGTCATATTTATTTCAAGCCTACATATCTTCCTTTGTACAATACATGCAACTTGTCCAATCAGAATAAGCTACAATTAAGAAAACCTTTTTTTTTTTTTTAGATCATGATACAGGTATTTATAATCTTCATGAAATAGAGACAAACAAAACTAGCGGGGAAAAAAACACACATATGAATACACACTCGAAAGGCAAGTACTGAAAGAAATGTGTATGCCTGCAACATGGCCCTTTTGGAAACTACATGTAAATACCCAAATCCCACAGATAATCGTTTTCCCTTCCATCTCCACATGCTTTGTGGGGTTAACACACCTCCACTTCCCCCATTCTCCTGCAATTCTGACGAAACCCTTAGAAAATCCTGATTATAATTTTCAGAAGAGCAATGGAAGGTCAGTTTTGCTTAAGATTCTTGGGGGACAATTCCAATAACAAACTAAATACACTGGAGTGACAGCCACACCATGAATAGCATGAGACGCTACTAGGGCATTTTTACAACGATGTGCAAACCCAGGGAAAATGTGCAGATCCATTCTAGAATACACTACTCAAAAAAAAGTTAAGGACCACTTTTTTCTTAACTGGTAACTATTTTCCAAGCAATGAGTGGGGTCTAGTTCATTTTTCATCGAAATGGTGTTTTCATTGGAATAAAATTTTTTTAAATGTTTCAAAACACCAAATGCACATTTTCAGCAGTAAAATATCTCATATAAGAATAAAAGAAAATAAAAAGTGGTCCTTAACTTCTTGAGTAGTGTACAAAATACGAGCAAAGTAAGTCTGCTTGCATCACCAAGCAATGATATCCTAAAATCTAAAACCGCAATACTTTCAAAATATGTTTGCTAAAAGAGAGAAAAAAACCGTTATTTGAATTCCTACAGAATATTAGGTACTTTACAGAAATAAACACAATTGTCTTAGTCTACTTAAAATTATAAATAAATGTGTAGGTATATATTACTTCTCCAAATCACACACCAACATTGTGATGGGGTCTGTGGTTTGCCGTCATACACCTCAACTATTAAAAAGTGCACCGCTAGAATCAAATGTTTCAGGTTTTGAAATTTACACATAAAAATTCAACACAGGTTTTCTTCACGGTGCTTCGACAAGCAACTGGTAGCCAGTAGTAGTAGTAGCCAGTGTGCTTTTCATGGAAGTTAAGCCCACCTATGTAATCATAGTAGATGAAACAACTTGAAATCAATGAAAATAGATTACTAATGCTATGCAGGCTAGACCAGATTCTTGCCAAAGCAACTCTGGGTACTGAGCACAGGTAGACTGTCATATACAGACGCCAGCAATTATTCTTGACAGTGACCTATTAGCCGTCAGACAGCAAAAACACGTCCAGAAAAGTTCAATTTAGGAGGGAAAAACCAAGTCGTTTACTTGAAAACCACTTAGAATTTTTCTGACGAGTCTCAGAGGGTTTGTGCACAGGGTGTCAAGCGGCGTCTGTATATGGAACTCTTTCCCTGAGCACAGAACACAAGAGCAAAGTACATGCAAGCCTTGAAATAAAGTTCACTTCATAAAACAATAAGACGCTCTGGGGAGGAGGGGGGCTTGCAAAGCAATTTGAGTATGCCTCAGCCATAAAGTCTAACTTCCAAGGTGAAATAGAAAGTTCATCAAGGATCTTTTGCATTAAGCATGGTAATAGGGTTAATGCCTCCACGATCACAGTTCTAACAATTAGATATTCCTGATTTCACAAACCATCATGAAATCTTAACGTACAGTCTCCCTTGAAAATAATCCCAGACTTGCAGACACAACTCTAGAAGATCAGACTGTATCTAAACAAAAAATCGTAGGGTGCCGAGTAGCTGCGCAAGATGGAGAACTTCCTCGTGAATATGCGTAAAACGTAATCGCCTGGGCACCATTTGAGCAAGCAATATGCCTGTACAGTGCACGCGCAGGCGCCATTTGAGAAAGCAATATGCCTGCACAGTGCACGTGCAGGCGCCGCACCAGGCATGCATACCTGGTATGTGTGTGTGCATGCCTGTGCAGGCTTATCACTTGTACGAATGGCACCCACAGTTACATATATTACACCTTTTTGGCAGAGTTCGCCATCTTTGATCTAAACTACCAGTACTTGGTGATAGTGGGTGCACCCATGAAAGCCAGTGGCTCGCAGCTTGACTAGCTCACTACCAGCCATAGCCGGAGCATTTATGCAGACGAGCTATAAATCAGAGTGTTGATGGAAAGTGATATGCCCCTTGCACTCAAGCTTAAAACCTGCCTAGTCAGCAAATAATCACGTTACTGGCATTCCACAGTGAAGATAGCCCACCACAGAAAGAACAAAAGACACCAACAGGGAAGCGTTTGACCGTGTCAGTGCTGTCATGTTGAAAGAAATGGCTGATTGGCCAGAACACATACACTGTCTCAGTAAGGAATCTCCGCAAAAATCGCTCAGGTTTCAGAACACAGAGTTCATCACCCCACTGTGTGGTTAGTTCACTCTCAGTGCAAACAGTCGTACAGGAAACCCAATTTGTTTCATATTGTTTACTGTGCAAACTTCCGTTATAGCTTGTCTGCATAAACCCTCAAACCTGCTATTAAGTACACTGTGGAAATGGGCCAAGTTGACCAGACTGCCACCTTACAGTGAACAAACCAGAAAAACTGGCCTCAAGCTATATCTACTCACATCATGTATATAATCTACATATTCAGAGTCTACTACAAAAGCCTGCTCGGGTATCATACATTTTGGTCACAGTGTTTCTGGTGGGTCTCCTGGATAAGTATTGCTTTCTTTTGAGCAAACATCCATGGTCAAAGTGTGTAATGACCAGTCATCCAGCCTGTTATCACACACATGTATACTTTAACAATTTTGTTATTTAAGCATGATCCCATTCCTACAAAATACTTGTACTTAGTTGTTTAAAAAAAACCCAAATCCTCTCACCTCCAATAAGCATATAATGGTTTCTGTAATAACAAGCTTTCAATACACAACATATACACCTTGTTACAGAAAATACCACAAAGACAGAAAGATTATGTACAGTTATTTTTTATATTTGGCATTTAGAAGTGTTCTTTTTCCCGTCGTGTGCTTACAGGACAGGCCAGGCCAGGGGCCGAGTTTACATCAAAGATGTTTGAACCATGGAAATTCTTATAGGCCAAGCAGTCATTGTGTTTCCTTTTTTTAAAATTGATATTGAAGAACATTTCACAGAGTAATTGAGTATGTTGTACCACCCTAACTGATGTCAGCCATAAAGTCTATCATACCAATAGGAGCCTAACTTTACAGGGTCCGGGGGCTGAAATCTTGCCCTGCAAATTTTATCAAGCACAATAGGCAAAATCTGAAATCCATTCAGCCAGTAGTTGTCACATTTGTAGCCCCCCCCAAGAAGCAGAACCCCTGAAGTGACATGCCAAGCATGGAATTCTAATTTCCTAGGCTCAATTACTTAGTGAAAAAACTGAATCCTTTGCAAAAATAAATACCTACATTATGTTACACAGTGACTAAGTCAAATAAGAATTTGCACAGTTGGCAAACCTCTTTAATGGAAACGATTAGTTTCAGATTAAAAAGACAGACACACAATCTGGCGCATGGGGACTTGAAGCAGACTTGCCTTCATGCGTGCACATGAATGCGTGCAAGTGGGGCTGAAGTCTACTGCCGTAAGCAAAGTGACAAAATGGTTTTTACTAGGAATCCAGTTAGACATTTGATATTGAATGCGGAAGAGTACCTTTCAATTGGAAACAATTCCTACAAACATGAGAAACACAGCACTGGACAGTACCGAGTACTGGACTGGACGAGTACTGGACGGTAGTACTGGACATCAGGAGGGGTTCAAAGTCCAGCTGTCATACACGTGTACATTGAGTGCAATGATGATGAGGTATTAGTAAATTTTACACTGAACACAGGTTTCCGACTTTCCAGATTTTTTTTAGACTTTTCAATTAAATAGAAAAACAGTGTGACAATTTAGAGGAATTTTGTTGAATGCAGTGTTTACATACATGTACATGTAGAGAAAGCTGGCTTCATGGAACACTAACATATCCCGATGTTACTTTTTCTGCAGCACATGTAATAATCGTATTTGTTTTCAACATGCAACTTTTCCCTTGATAATATGGCTTTCTAGCTTCCACTGAAGATTTGGTGAAAGAGTAAAGGGTGCTTTCACGAATTTTTTTTCCAAGAGTGAACTCAGTGCAAATCATGGTACTAGAAAAACTTTCATACGAGTTGCCATCATTTTAAAACATTTTCTCGACGACTGTTTTCCAAAAAAGAAAATTTTCAATTTCCACCCTGATTTTCATCTCTGCTCATTTAAAAGACATTTTAACGTTTTAAAAGAATCTGGACATTGATGGGAAGAATGACCTGAATATTTGGAGGGTACAAAGCACTCCTTTTTTGTCACCTTTTGAATTGCCTGCTAGTAACTCCACCTTCAAGCTTGGGCAAAGAGGCTCGAGAAGCACGAGTGTTCAACCATGACTTAGTGTCCTCAGGTTTACTCTCTAACCCTCCGGAGACGTCCGACCCGGCTGTGGGCAGCGTGCCTCGCTCCTCCAGCAGTTGAATAGTGGAGGCTGGTGAGTAGCTGCGATCGCTGCGACTGTCCAGCCGCCTCGTCATCTCATTGCTCATCTTCTTCAGGAGTTTGGGATTGGTGGGAAAGTCATTGGGAGAGTCCGAGCTCTGCTCGCTGCGGCTGTCCTTCCTGAGGTGATCCCCGACGGAGATGGGTGCCTGCATGGGTAGGGCGTCCCCCTGGGACTGGGAAGGGTAGTGGTGGTGGTAGTGGTGGTGAGGGTGATGGTGGGGGGGCTGGTGGTGGGAATTGGGGTAGGGGTAGTGGCCTTGCTGCGGCGAGTCTGAGGCTGACTGGTGGATGTCAGGATTCTTCAAATAGCCTGCCTTCCCTACATGCTTGTCTTTGGACCAGACGGGAGACTCGGAGCAGAGTTTGGGCGGTCGCTTCTCCCACTGAGGGTGGGACGACTCGCTGGCATTGTCCCGGAGGCCGGGCTGGGGGGCGTGCGCCCAGTTGGCCCTCTTCTGCTGGGAGGGCGGGGGCAGGGGATTGGACTGGGGCAAAGGGGCAGCCCCACCTGGGGGCCCCTGGCCTGACCACACACTTCAGAAGTTGGAGATATTTGGGAGGTGCCGGTATTCGGGCTTGTCCGGCTTGTGCTTGTCCGCCTTGTGCTTGTCCAGCTTGTGCTTGTCGGCCTTGTCTTTAGTGACAGCCTTGGGGTCAGCTGGAGAGGCTGCCAGCGTCGCATTCATGGTGATGTTGCTGTTGGTCAGCTGGGGCAGGTTGTAGAAGTGATTCTGTTGGCATGGAGAAGAAAAACATTGCCCTGTTAAACCCATCTTAGTACCATTGTGGTAGTTCCAGCGTTAGGACTACCCAAACATCACTACACACCAACGCATAGCACACTGAATCCCATGGGGAACATCTGCGAAGCACAGTCCACTTTCTCAAACTAAAATATATTGTTTCATTTCACACACAATGCAACCCTGACATTCAAATGAGCAGACTCATACAATCATGGAATAAATGTGACCAGTTTAGAGCCAACAATTTTCCAGGATTGCAGAAAACGGATAGAATTCGTGGAATCAACACTTTTGAAACGGAACCCACTGCTTGAACGGAACTTGCTAAATTTCTAACTTAGAATGGCTTAAAAAGTAAAGGAAACTTTCTGCAAAGATCCCTACAGTAAATGCCTACCAAACCCTTTTTAAGTGCTTGCTTTTAATGAATGAATTAGGCTGGAAACATGCTTCAAAATGAAGGGGTGGGGGATGCTGTATTTATTGTGTGGATTTTTTCAATTTTCACTACAAAAATTGTAAAAAAAATTGGAAACATTGCAGAGTATTTCCAAATAATATTTGTTTCCTTTTTTTGGGGGGGGTATGATTGGGCAAATGGTTTCCATGCATAGTTTAAACTTGCTCTCCTACTTCGTGCTGACGAAGGTCCTGAAACGGAATTTGAATTTCTGAAACGGAATCTGGGATTTGGCAAAATGGAAAATACCCATTTTTGAAACGGAAAATCATTGGCTCTATACATTTAAGTTGTGGCAATTGGGGAGAGACTTTAAATGACTCGCAAAACTTTGAATTTCAGCATAAACCTACCAACCTAATTTATCCTAATTTAATATAAAAACATGTACATGTACAGAATGCCATAAAAATAAAGCGGTCTGAAATCACGCCGAGATCATTTGATCACAAAAAAGCAAAAAAGGAAACTATGTGTACTTGATGAAATCTACTTAAGAGTTTCCCTTCTGGACTTAAAATGGAAGACCTGTTTGAAGAAATGATAGACAGCAATGGCAAAGGTACGTCAGGACACATAAAAGAGAAACAGCACTGCGGGCAACTCTCAACTAATGATATTCAAATATAACTGCATGAGTCGAGTAGAAAGCTGCAAAGTACGTGTACATGTACATGGACAACCATTAAAAATTGGCTTAGCAAAAAAAAAAAGAAATTCTGACTAGAAAACAGGTTACCAAGCAAAGAGGTTAACATTGATATGTAGCGTACTGCTCCTGAAATTTTTTTTTTAAAGTTCTGGTAACAAAGCATCTGCCTGGATTGAACATGTGTCGCAAACACTGGCTGGAAACAAGTCGAATGACCCAATCAGAAGCCATTTACCGAGGTGGTAAAGATGGTGCACACCGGCTGTGCGTGCTGCATACTCGGTGCCACTACAACTGACGGGATCATCCAAATGAATGGCACTTGAATTTGACAGATTGTTTTACATGTACCATATATGAAACGGTTTAGTCTGTAGACTGAATCAGGAGATGAGTTTTGGCTGGTGCCAGAACACTCACATGTACCAAGTAGAGGCCCAGGTGCATGGTGGTGAGTCACCCTACTGGTCAAAGAGGTATCCAACCAGATTATGCCACTGCAGTAATGGCTTCTACTTTTTGTCGCCTGGTTGGTGTACATATATGACTTGTTGTAACATAGGGAAAGCCAGTACACAGTCAACTTTTGTGAGTTACACAAGGAGATAATGCAGACGCGCACGTGTGCTCAGACATGTTTGTAGGAAATTGGGTTGTTTTACTTACATGTGTGCATGCACACTGCTCGTGGCATTTGCAATTTCAAAAAGCCTGAAATCCTGTAACTGCTTGAAAATGTACATCCCTGGTAAATGGCAAAACACTGGCTGAAATGAAATAACTGCATGTACACGTACATGCACTTCTTCCATGTGCTAATATAATATATGCCTAAAGCTAGTCATTTGTGTGCAGTTACAGGCATCAACATATGTACTGAAAAATTCAGGCTGCATTAGAATGCCGCATTAAAATGCATGTACATGGCCGGCAGGATTTACAAGTCTATGGAACTGGATTCAGTCAGTTTTTCAAGGGTATGGGTTGTGTATACAATGGAACGCTGCTATACCGAACACCGCCATATCGAACATTCGGCTGTACTAAACATCGTTCCTAGCTTCCAATAATTTGCGCACAGAACCTACTAAACACCATTCAGTTGCCGTTTGTAATTCCCGAACGTCAATATGATAAAACAGTGTTTTTTATGTTGGAAAGTGACAAGTGGCCATCATTTCCCCAAGGATTGGAAGGGAAAGCCACTAGTTGTCAACAGTATTGAATGGACACTTGTTTTGTGACTCCGCATGATCGGGTGTGGAAGAAAATCGTACGTACGCGCACGGTGGCATTGCACTAACAATAGTCTAAAGAGGGCGCCGCTGACACACAACTAAACAGAGATTCGTCACAGCATACATCAGAGATCGATCCTGAGTGGTAGTTTCACGACTTTTAGGATAAACTTGATATCAATTTTGTGACTCAAGATTAAACAAAAAAAAAAAAAATAATTAACAAATACATTTCTAGAAATCTCAAACGTGAATGCAACGGTAAGACATTACAAGAACAGCCAACCATAGTATCACAAGACGGGTGCACTTCAGTTAGACAAGAGAGGGTGCTATTCAACATGGCAACAAAACATTTGGCAGATAAATTTGCTATACCAAACGACCGCTGCACCTAACATTTTGCGTGGACCCCGTCGTATTCGTTCTAGCGGTGGTTCCACTGTATACTTGTAATAAGGAACGTCATATGAATGTGGACACAGGCCAACATGTACATGTAACATTAAAGTCAGCACTAAGAACTCAACTTTGCTTGAAGATAACTATATACAACAGGAAGCACAGGTTTCAGATAATTAATCTCATCCATATAAAAACAAAGCCAAGGCAGGAAAAGAATCACAGATACATGTAGTCAAGTTCAGTATCTCGCCTCCCCCAAGGTTCTGCCTGTGCTATTTGAAGCGGGGTACCGGTGCCAAGCACAGAATCCAAAGACACACATCTTACACTTCACAATACGGCACCATGCCCCAAGGCTGAATTAACTATCACAGCTTGAAACAGGATACCAAGCGCAAAGGCAGCAGATCAGGAGAGCGACACAGACACAGCGTGAAAGGCGACGGACAGCGGTTGAGCGTGGGAAGGACAGCGAGAGACATGAGTGGTTACCTGCGGCTGTTGCGGAAGTGGCAGTGATGGTGGTGGTTGAGGTGGCGGTGGGTTACGACTGAACCATCTATGATGCTGATTGTGGGATGTACGCAACACATATATGTATATACACAGATGAATGCATACGGGAGGTGAACACACTCAGTGGTCATGGTTTACATGAGCAAATGTCTGGTTAGTACGCATGATGCTACGTGTGATTAGAGATTCCTTCCACCAGGAAAACGGTAACAAACATGTTACAAAGGTAAGGTTTTGAGAGTTTGCATGGAGATGGGGGAAAAGTCGTGTCAATGTCAAAATGAACCCATCAGGATGATCTTCACTTCCGTACTTTTACATGCACGAGTCTGTTCACTATATTACCAGACTTGAGATGAGTGGCAGTGCCTTCCCAATGTTGTCTGCGGTTAGCAGGTAACAAGACTAGTGTTCCTGGGCAACATGGTTTACTGTGATTACAGATCAATGTTACAGTCAGATGTTTGTTTGATGCCCATTCTTAGATCACAGAATGCCCCTTCGTGTGGTGGCAGAGAGTTCTGATTTCTGCTATTCTTGACTTTTGAACACAGGTATGTAATGACAATGACAAATAATCAAATCATACTTTTCTGAAGTGCAATTCACTTCTTTATCTTGTGAACAGAAACCTAACTTAAAGCAAAGACAAAATATTGTGTTGTACATGAATGTACATGCAAGGTTGGTTATGAGTTGAAAGACACAAGAAATTGTTGAACTGTGTTTTCAGTGAGGAAACCGACTGTTCATTATACCCTCTGTCCAAATCAACTGCAGGGTTCTGGACAATACTGAAGGCTTGAGGAAGGTTAAGATGAGCCACTTCGCTTCACATGGGGGCTTGTTTCTCCTTAACAGTTTAACAACCAAGAATATGCCACTGTTTTTTTCTAAATAGTTGAAGCTTTTGCTGAGTTACAGAAAGGATCCTTGCAAAAATGCATATGAGTTGGGGTTACAGTTAAAATGACTACCTGACCAAATGGAAGATATGGAAGGAGACGGTTATTAACAGAAAGAAATAAGTGAACCGTGATCGTTATTCAGAGCAATGGCTGCTTGATGAGGTATTAGGTGGTTGTACCCGCTCCCCATGTAAAATCTGGAAATAGGATTCCAAAAAGTAATACAAAAATGCCTCTGTGACGACTCTCACCCTGGATCGGCCCTGTGCACGCCCATGCCGGCCCCTAGCAACACGCTCTGCCTTCTCCTTGTCCCGGTCCTCACCGGCGACCTGCACAAACTCTATTGTAAGCAGCTGTTCACAGGTCATCCTGGCTTGCGGGTCCATCTTCAAACAGGCCTGGACACAAGATGGTTGGTACAATATAAAGAAAAATCCTATTAAGTAACAAAGTTATTGTAGATTTGGTGCGCACGATTAGTTCCCTGGGTGAGATTTAAGTGTATAATATGTGCATGCCGCTTCAATTTCCCACCAAATGTAAATGAATTTAGTCGGAGACCCCTGCTTTATCAGTGCAACTGAAAACTGGTGGGCGTTCATGTATTGGACCCCACAGTGGATTCCTTCAGAGCCGTTACAAGGTTGAGAAGCAGCCTTCAAAAGAATCACCAAAACTCTTGGCTTGCTACGGTAATAGCGTGATTCTGACTTCTGTCTAACAGAGGTCTTTGTCCGTTTCAAAAGGACTGAAAACTGGTAACATGTAATCTGCAAACCATTACATGCCATGTGACCTAACATGGATTTCTCAAGGAGATACAGCTCCTGCACAAGTTTGCTTCAAATCCTTCATTAACCACTTGCTGCCGGGTGGAATTGGTACATCCAGGACGACTTCCTGGGCAATTTTCAAGATTTTCCATTTTCAAAATTCTGCAAAAATTCATAACTTCATTCACTGGATGTTTACACCCACACAAATGACTGTCTGGTGGCTACTTTAATGTGACAGGCAACCTTTACTGACGCCCGAGTATTGCAGCCAGGCCTGCTGCTCAGTAAAGAGAGCCCAGCTTGTGTGGTGTTGCGTAATTTCCTTTGTTTAAAAAACTGGCCAAGTTCGTTGCTGAATGGCTTTGTACATGAGTCAGCGCGACAGCTCTGTGGACTGAACGCACATGTACAGTACTACACTTCTGCATAAAACTACAGTGAATGTTGCACAGTGTACAAAATCCTCTAGTGGAATGGTACCAACCTTCAAGAATTTCAAGGTTCTACATAAAACTACAGTGAATGTTGCACAGTGTACAAAACCCTCTAGTGGAACAGTACCAACCTTCAAGAATTTCAAGGTTCTACATAAAACTACAGTGAATGTTGCACAGTGTACAAAACCCTCTAGTGGAACGGTACCAACCTTCAAGAATTTCAAGGTTCTACATAAAACTACAGTGAATGTTGCACAGTGTACAAACCCTCTAGTGGAACAGTACCAACCTTCAAGAATTTCAAGGTTTTACATAAAACTACAGTGAATGTTGCACAGTGTACAAAACCCTCTTGTGGAACCGTACCAACCTTCATGAATTTCAAGGTTCTACATAAAACTACAGTGAATGTTGTACCGTGTACAAAACCCTCTAGTGAAATGGTACCAACCTTCAAGAACTTCAAGGTTCTACATAATACTACAGTGAATGTTGCACTGTGTACAAAACCCTCTAGTGAAATGGTACCAACCTTCACAAATTTCAAGGCTCTTCATAAAACTACAGTGAATGTTGCACAGTGTACAAAACCCTCTAGTGGAATGGTACCAACCTTCAAGAATTTCAAGGCATCAGGAGCTTCGTGAAACTTCAAATCCAAAGGTTCCTACAAAAAAATTGAAAACAAAATTCCATCAGAGCCATCCTACCAGAGTTTCTCCTGCCTATTCAAGTGTGAGGTGGCCCACCTCACTGATCTGAGTGACCACCTCAGGCTTTTCTGTTGAAGTTTACCACCTCACACTTAAAACAGACAAAGACGGAAGGGAAAAGCAAAATAACTTGGATATTTTGAAATAGATCAGATTCAGATTGTTCAGAATGGTAAAGAGGGACACAGAATATAAGATTGGTTTATTTTAATGGGGAAATTTGGAGTAAATGTACTATTAGACTACATAGAATTTATTTTAGGCCTTTTTGAAAATGTTCCCTTTGTTTTTGATAGGCACTTGAAATTTGGGAAGATTTGTTTGACCACCTCACACATCATCAGTACCCTGGGGGAACCCTGCATCTTACAGGCGCATACACATATACATGTAAGCAGGTCCAATTTTCAGGAGGACCTCGGTTCCTTAGCAAAAAATGCTTGCACCTCAAATAGTAAAATACTATCAGAATGTCAAACTCAGACATCAAACTTTGGACAGGAAACTATCAAATGTTACTTATCTAGCAACCACCTCCACTCAAGACACTTTTGTACAAATGTCCAATGGAGTCCAGGACGTAGACATTCCACTTAACTGATCCAAAAAGTGGGGGCTAGAATTTCACTTTAAGAGGGAGCATATGAACGGGGACATCTTCAGGGGAAATCAGGGCCAAGACGGGGTCAACCAAAGCGTATGACCTTCAGTGTAATTTCAATTCTGGATAAATATTAAGAAAAAAAATCAAAAACGCAAGCTGATGACTTCAGTTGCAGGCCAGCATGTTTTTTCCATGAATGCTTAAAACCCATGTATTTACTTTTGACATCTACCAGTGGGTAAATTCTGGTAAATGGTTGAGTGAAGTCACAGCTGTTTCTTTTCAAAGACATCACACACAAAAAAGTACGAAAAACAGGTTATCTTTGCCGAAATCTGGAAATTGCTGACTGTGTTACCTTTCAAGATTTTAAATTCTGTTGCAATCAGCACACACATTTTCAGAGTTTCCGTCTTGAACGGCTCCAGAAAACTAAATTAGGACCCGGTGTGGGGGTTGGTACTTACTAATACTTTAGGTTCAGGGAGTGGGAGACCTTGGAAGAAGGCATTGGTACTGAAGATGTTCATATGCCTCTGAATTAAATCACCTGTTCAAAAGGAAGGAAAATAATGTAATAAATAATAATTGCTGAACTGAGAGCCGAATGGTTGAGATTTCTGACAGTGAATTGTAACAAATAAATGCAGGAAACAAGCACGCATGTACATATGCCGGTAGTATTGATATCCAGAGCATTAACTTCTAAGTCCGTTAAGAATGTGAATCCTGCTGCTAGAAATATGTACATGTTGGCTTGGAGTTTGTATTCACATGGTTTTTGTAGTGCTTTTCTTTAAAAACAAAAGCCAAATTTTTATTCACCTCAATTTTAAAAAATTTGATTGATCTTGTAGCAAGGTGTCTGGTGCCAGGGAGTATTTAAAAAAATTCAAAATCCATTTAGGAACATTTCCAAAATATGCAGCACTTGACGTTGATTTGCTTCAACTTACAATGTACTTTATAAGCAAAACAAACACACAACCACATGAGGTACAAGCCCTCAAAATTCTTGGGAAGATGTGCACATGCCATATTTAAGAAAACGCACATGAATGCAAGGCCAACACAGTAACGGTACATGTACATGTATCTCCTCGGATCGGTCCGTAAGTATTGATTCAGAGTTCGTATCTTAAATACCTTATCAATAGATCTGTCATACCATGTTATAGGTTTATCTTTTATTAATCACCTTCAATGTGATAACACTAACTGCTAGAGAAGACATCACAAACAACCCTCCCCCCCACAAAAAAAAACTAGAGGTAATGAGGCACATGCAGTATATGGAGAACATCTGTTCTGCGGTGTCCTGTCAATATGCATACATGTAAGTCACGTCAGCATGTTGGGAAAACAAACTGATAAATCTCTCCTGTGGAGAACTGGACCACGAGCAACATCTGGCGCATTGGAATTCATTGACACAGCAATCAATAAAAATCCATTTATATTCATTTTCATCATATGTTCAAATAAAAGGACGGGGATAAGCCAGCATGTGACTAGTCAGCGGGCAATACCGGTATCTAGCATATGAGAATATAAATGGGACGCCCTGATGTAATGCAAGCTTGTTTCTATCATTTTTGTCCTTCTTTTGATTTGTTTCGTTTTTTGGGGGCGGAGCTGTACCAGCAATATTAACAAGCAAACCTTGCACAGTTCATTCACATGCTATTGTTTGAATGTCGGCACTTCACATTTCTGCCTCCAACTATTTGTTCAAGCTCAATATAAATGGTCTGAAATACTCTTGCGTGTCTGTTCTCAGATGTTTATGTACTCTGGAGAGGTGTACGTTGGGCAAATGCAGCCATACACATTGATTACTAGTATTATTATAAATAATTATAATTATTAATTATTATAAATAAAAATGTGTGCTGTTCCAATTGTCATTAACAAGATAACAAAATATATGCAAAATGCACTGTGCTTGTATGTACATAAAGTACAGCACAGTAATGTGGGCCCATGGGTTTATTGTATACAGTTAATACAAAGCCACTCCCAATTACACCTAACTGCCATAGGCTCGATCTACTGAAGATGAGACTACATTTAAGGTGACATGCATGTATGAGCTCTTGTAATGACTTGCAGATCTGAAGCACTTTAACCACACACGTACATGTATGCATGTATAAAATATTTAGTCTCACCTACTGGTACTTGGCAGAGTTCCACACACTAAGAGCAATGATTAATTCTTACCTCTGATGGGGTGCTTGTGCATAATGCATTAGCATGACAAGGCATCTTGGCCCTGTGATGTAAGTGTACGTATATGCCTTGCTATGCATTCATGAGTATTTTCACCGATCTGGACAGTATCTTTAGTAGCTCATTTATGTCGGTTTCTGTGTTTCTGAATGACTGCACTGAATGACTTTGTTTCAACTGAATAAGAATTTCATTTCTTCTTTTGTTCTTTTTTTATTAAATTTACATTTTACACTCATCTAAAAAGTACGTGTAATCTGTAAATTTGTCACCAATCCAGTGAATTGATTTTTGCATTTCTGTTCAAATTTTTGTTTCTGAGCACATATACATGTATGTGCTTATTAAATTTTATACTTAGTGCCTTTGATATTTTAATGATGACAGGTCATATGAAATAAAAGCACCTACATGTAGCATGATGCCAGAATGTGAGGTGAATGCAAGGTGGATGTACATGTAAGGTTGCACTGACATGGCCCATCTCCTCCGAGTGTTGATTATCCTAAATGACCTACAGTACATTTCATTTTGTACATGCTCAGCAGGAATAGGGTCAAAAGATCTCTAAGTATCAAGTGACCACACGGTTGCCCTGAAATTGGCCACCGAGAGTTTGGATATCAATAGCAATTTAATAGCGGCAAGCACTGTGACGGGTTTTTATACTTGTATTCTGTGACTGTATTCTGTGATCACCTGGGTTGTATTCAAGTCCATCGTAAGTCCCTGCTAGTCACCTTAAGTCCATCACAAGTCATTCTGTCTTCAGCCAATTCACAAGCTATTCAAATGAACTCTGACAAAAGCATTCTTGACACTGTTTATCCTGTTACTTAAGCCTGGTTTCCATATCGACATAAGAAACACAGAGAGCAATGCAATCAAGATGCAATCTGCAATGCGAACATATGGAAACATGTCAAACAGAGGTGTCGCCAACGACGCAGATAAACACAAAACGGCCCGCGAAGGATTGGCAAAGTTGAGCCAGGTTCAACTTTGCCAACTGCCTGCACTGAGTAGCTGTGGTATCCCCATACAAACGTGCATGCAATGATATCCTGTTGCTTAGTTCCACAAATTGTGCCCGTTTTCTCCTTAATGCTTAAATATTACACCCCAGTGATGAACTACATAGCTGACCTTCAATAAAATGCATGAAACTGTAGTAGAGGTCTGGCATCCTGAGGCAGAACAGTCAATGTAAAAGCACATTTTTTGCCAAAAATCATGGTGTTTCGGACGCCATTTTGTCTCAAGTTTTGGGAGGAATGTCATGCACCGTCTCTTCAGTTCGTATCTGTGTCTTCACGTTTGGTATTCTGTCTGCGTTACAAATGACCATATGGAAACCAGGCTTCATGACTGGCCTTGTAAAGGGACTTGTAACTGGACTTGTGAAAGGACTTGCGATAGACTCAACTCCAATACTAGTTATCACAATGCATTCCCTCAGTGGCACTGGTCAACAGATTCATCTGTAGCAAATCAGCTCGTTGTTGAAATATACAAGACCTGTGAACTGGAGCCTCCACCGGCCACAACTCACCTAGTGTCTTGCGGATGAGGTAGAGCTGGTCCACATCCGAGCGGCCGGGCCAGAGCGGCTCTGTGGTCAGCATCTCGGCCATGACACAGCCAATGGCCCAGACGTCCACTGGTGGCCCGTACTTGGTGTCCCCTACCAAGAGCTCAGGGGCCCGGTACCATCGCGTGGCCACGTAGTCTGTGTAGTCATCGCCTGGACCCGCTGATTTGGGTAGAGAGAGAAGACATATGGATTATTGACATAGGATGTCTGGATCTCAGTGTATCCCTGCTGAAGTTGAGTACTTCAAATGCACTCCAATAGCTTCACAAGTAATCATAAGCATAATTATTCCAGCAGTCATAAATATTCCTTGATGTGAGCCACAAGCTACATGAATGGGTATACAATACATTACAGAACAATTTCGTTGTTAATACAAGTGCTTGTGACAGTAACTGAGTTGATCAGTGACAAGTAATTGTCAAGTATTCACCACCGGCTATTACATGTTCTGCTGGAACTGGGCAGTTTTCAGATCTGATCGAACACAAAAAAACACTAAAATTAACATATCTTCAACATTCCCCACGCTACATTCCAGTATGAAGAAAGTACAAATCGTACATGTAGGAAATTATCAGCCACTACAGGTCAATGTAGCCTCCCTCAGTGAGCCCTTGAGTTTGTTTCCATGGCACTCAGCAGATAACATTAGGAGGCACATCAGTACATACATACATGTATGAATACATGCACAGGCACCCCTCAAAGCAGCCTGCGCTGAAATCATATCACACAGCTGTGGCTATGGCATGCTATTTTCCACTTTACTGACTTCTTTTCAAATAACTCTTAGCTGCAAACACGTTCCTGCATACACAATGCAATAACCTTTTTCTTCTGAAGGTCCTTAGCTCATTAACCGGACATACGGTATACTGTACACAGATGGACAACCAGCAGATTACAAAACATAACCTTGACTTAAAGAGTGTGGGATAATTGTAAGCCTTTTGGAATTGGAAGATTCAGGACCATCAACTGGGAAAGAATGTGCAAATAGGAAGACTGGGGCATACCAGGTAGGGTTAAGATTTGTGAATATGCACTGAAGTTGTCAACTAGGATATAATATAGATCCAAACAATATTTACTCCTTGGATTCATGTAGCTTTCTTCAGCCATTTTAATATTATAAAATAATTAAAATCTCCACTGAACTGTAATTAAAAAATATATGTACGATGTATAGTCATTGTGCTCTTGGTTTGTCGATTGTTTTGTTTTTCAAAGCTGCGAATCCATCAGAAACTGCAAACCAAACATTGAATCTCAATTTTGGGGATCATGGAGCTACATTTCCAGTTCATGCTCAGAAAGAGAACTTGCACATTTTACTCCCGAAAATGCCAAGAAATACAAACTGCATACATGTACGCTGTGAGCAAGAACAGGTTTGTAAACACTGTGAAAAATCTGTGGGCAGTGACTTTGCAGGCAGCGAACTAAAGGGACAAAATCTGACAGGAGAGTTATCGCCGCATCTGAATGAGCATGCATTGATGAGAAATCCTGTGTTGTGACCGGTGTTTGGTTGTTGCCATGGAAACCACGGTTGATGTGATACTGAGGCATTGTGTAACTATAGAGCGGTATGTGAAAGAGGAGACAGCTCTGATGTTTGGCTGTTTTTAGGTTCCCTTTGTTTGGAGGGCATTGTGTTTGTTCAGAAGCCCCCTCCCCTTCCACAAAGGGACTCCCTCCTGTCAAAATACCACCGGAGCTATTTATAACGAAATATTTTGTCAATAAATACCAGTACATGCATGTATACACATACGTTAAGTATTTGCAAAGTACAGTACAAACATGACTGGCAAAGGGACTGTTGGTTTCGAGTCAATGCCAATAACATAAATACACTGTAACTGCAAAATCGATCAACAAATTAAATGAGGACAATAGAACGTAAACGTTAATCAACAAATGCGTACATAAACATGTACAGTGTACTGATGCAAGTGCTTACATAAACACACAACGGTACCGTACTATAGGCCCCCACTTGTTCTGTTGCATAAATGGCAAATAATGAAATTCTGGGGTATGTAAACCCCGGAAAAATATCAACAAAAGGGCTTTTGTTCCTTCCTGTATTCTACATGCCCTTAACCTGCATCAATGCAGATACAATAGAAAAAAAGAACACAGTATTTGTACATGTATGTAAACATCTTTTAATGACACATAAAATATGAGCAAAATAAATTCAGTGAACTTCATTCGTCAGGTTAAAATTAGATCTTTTGGGGGTGCACCCTTTGTTTTTTGTTCAAGAGAGAATACTGTACATGTGCAGTAGATCAACAATGAAACTACATATACATGTATGTACATCTGCACATACCATCTTGCATAGCCAATTTGTTGTGAAATCTTGTACTAAAAGTCGGACGTTAATAATCATGTAAAAAAAAAGTTGAACTTATTTGCACTAACTCTTTGAAATGAAATTTTCACCAAGCCTGTTTCACTGTACCTCTTTCTAGTGACCATAAAGTGTTCAACCTTGTGAAAAATTCTGTGCTGATAAAAAGCGCCATCTGCTTTAAATTTGGCAATATTATCATCTACGGCTGGGCAGAGCCTTAGGGGGGTGGTATACATGTATGTGATCTTATGGCGTGCAACTGTCATTTTATGCAATATGGCTTTGTTAATGGGTCTGATAATGGTATCTGTGCATCACAAGTAAAATGTCATTCACATGTGGGTCATTCCATGAGGTTGGGGCACAATTTGTGACGGTGTCAGTTGTTACATGGGTTCCGTAAAAATGAAAAGCTATTTCCCTGCATGTGGATTCCAAACTGACATTATTATACGTCTTGCAAGGCTGTATGCAGAGGGGTGTGTTATTTTTGCAGAGTAAATGACGCACTCTACAGGTCATGACAGGTGGTAAAACTTACCCATGTAACAAGGACACCATCACAAATTGTGCCCCAACCTCATGGAATGACCCACATGCAAGATAACACTTTCTTCTATTTTTATCCGATCGCTGTAAGTGCATTTCAAAAGGCATACATGTACATATACATGTATGAATGGTGTTTCAGGGAATTCATCCTGACATCAACTATAATCAAGCCTTCACTGCGCTGTCGCAATGAATATTTAATTTTCAATCTTCCCCATTGCTTTTTCCAACTGTATCTTATTGCTTGCAATTTTCTCATGTTGAATTATGAGATACAAGTTTACGCATAGCAGTATAAGATAACACACAATATCCAGCAAGCAATATTAACACCAAATTATGCATTATTCTTTTAATGGTCGCGGGGGACAAAAAGCAATCCTTTATCAGTTTCAGATAAGACATACCGCTTTCCCCAAGTTCAGCGGTTGTTTTGTTTGACTGTTGCCACGGCACCCTACCAATCAATAGGATGAGCGAATGAACTTGCGTTGAGATCTGCATGCTTGCCGGTCACGATGTGTTTCTGCTGGCTACGTGTGCGTGCCTCTATTGATTTGCATTCAGGAACTCCCAATTGGTGAAGAAAAATTGCTGGTAATTAGGTACTGTCTTGGCGCAAGCACGACGCCAGGTTAGAACAAATTGCATGGGATGGTGTGAAGGTACGTGTACGAAATTCAAAAGACAACCTACTTACCATTTGAAAGAAAATCGTGCATTAAATTTAAATGACAATTAGTCATGCTTGCTCATCATTTAAATTCCGCTTGAAATTTCAATTTGCTTTTCTGAAGAGGGTTATAATGGTAAATGTAAATAATAAATCGTAATATGAAGTCTGCATTGAATTTCTCAAGGATAATTCATTATACATGCGTCTTTTAACAGATGTACGGTAGTCAGTACATGGATGTTAAGGAAGATGCACAGCAGCATGTACATTCTGGAAAGCGCTCCACATGAAAGAAATCCCCACATCTTAAAAAAAAACATGACAACAATTTCTCAGCAACTACACTACAAGACACAGACCTCCAAAGTCAAGAAATCAAAGCTCCACACTGCATAAATTGTATTAGCTGAGAGTCTCTTGACAAATGAATCCCCCCTTTTCATACTGTTGCAAGAAAAATTCAATTAACATGAAAGGGAGTGTGAGCAGAGGACCAGTGGTACTTCATGTACATTATGCACATGCACACGTACATGTACATTTCTGCATGCGCTAGTGTGCCTGCCGCCTTTGCTTTGTATGGACCAAATAGTACAGGATGCGTAAATCTTCCATTTACTAAACCACGCCCACACAAGGTTAACCCCTCTCTGAGAAAAAGTGTACAAGGCATTTGGGGTTAGGGTTTTACATCTGCGAAAAAAATGAAGAGGCACAGTCAAGGAAGTCATAAACAAAATTCCAGATCTGAGTGGTTGCAGTGCAAGAAATGGGAATAATTTTCTCTCGATTTTTTTTTTCACACGAAAACATGGAAATGTCCAAACCGGCATGTAACGCCAATATGTGGACATACATGTGCACTTGCAAGCACGTGTTCCTGATACATGTACATGTACAACCACATCTGTTAATGCACACTTGTACAAATGCCGGGGGTATTAAAAATCACCTACATTAAAGTCTAAGTGATTTCCAAACATGATGCACACTGTATGCATATTTGCTCGGCTGCCTCATCACCAGACTAGATGGAAGGAGCCCATAAATGATGCAGGCAGTATCAACACCGGAGCAGGGCCCCTCAAGGGAGCTGACTAATGGAGGGTAAATGGAAAGCGACAGATTCACAATCCCTCCAGAGTATTCACTTTACCGAGAAAAGTAAGGGCCCTCGCTCGAACGCCAGTAAGGAAAAACGTTATCATCAACAAATAAATCTCTGCCATCTTCCCCTGCCTTGCACCATCTCGATCCTAAATACTAGAGATGTGATGAGTACCTCAGCTAACTGATATTGAACTAAAAGTAGGGAGTACGTATGTACCTTGTTTCATTTTTACAGTGTTATTGACCATATATGTATGTACGTCCTTCACACCTTCCCACCAACATGTGCGTAACCTTGCCGAAAGGGACCCACAAGTTGAAGCTGACAGTTTAATTACCGATGTTTACAATAACAATGCGCCCTAGAGAGGGAATGGAGAATGCACCATAGCAACACAGTCCAGGGTAGTGTGTGGGGAAACTAGTCAATTACTTTTACATGAAATCGTGGCAGTACAGATGACTGAGCATTACAAGCCAACTGTTCCAATAAAATCCACTTGTATACAGGTGGGTGGATCTTGGAGGCTATAAGCAGTAGCAAGAGAGCCTGTCATTGTCATCTGCACGTACATGGGCAACAATATCTTCTGCCAACCCCCCCCAAACATTTTTCTTCTCAGGGGTATGTTTTGCAAATATCCACATACATCATTTTTCCCACCCAAATGTTCAAAGGCTGCCTTTCCACGCTACGATGATTCCGCGGGCTTGAGTTGGCTCATCAAAGAGCTCACTGGAACGTATCATTTTAATTGCCCTAAGAGTGCGAGAGGAACAGAGGTGCACAGCAGCTGCGTAAGTACTCACAAGGCCAATACCACCTTCATAAGCAGGCAGGAAGAATGTTTTTCTCCTGGCCTTTTACACTGTACCTTCCTACAAAGTTGATTAACCAAATGAAGAAGCTGACACAATGTGGCAGTAACAAACTGGCAGAAACAGCATGCATGCAAAGCAGGTGACTGCAATTAGTGCTATACTGCACGAGACTGCATATGCACAGATACCATTGTGTGCATGTACATGTACAGTACATGTAGGTACATATATGCAGCATTCAGTTGGGCCCTGATGACAATTCAAGCATCAACTGCAGGAGGATAAATGCATTACTGTCTGGTCACATATGCGTACACTATCCTGCCCCAGGCCCCTTCCCCTGTGGCTGTTGACCACAGGACATTTTTGGTGTATCTAACCAACACAGACGTGATGTACATGCATGGAAGAAACTACACCCACGCAATGTACCTAAATATGTGTGCCTTTGTAAGGGGGGAACACAAATATCCAACAAAGATTTGGCACTATTGAGTGAAGGATACTGCATGCATGTACACAGTAGAATATACAGAGCTGTGGATTCATTAAATAGTGGATCATGCACACCATTGAGTGCTGCTGACCATCTCTGATAACCATTAGCAGATTCATGCATAATCTGAATCCTCTGTGATCGCCCCTAGGGGACAATTTCCCTTGAGGCTGCCACCGGGTGCGCAAGCATCTGCTCAGAATACATGTATGCAATGATTCCTTGTCACAAATGTGCAAGCACAATCCCACCCACAAGATCACTGCATTGCACCAGGAGCAGAGCAGGATCAGGGCTCAAGTGTTAACCCCGTGCCTCTCTCTATGCGTGAAAGGGGAAGGGGTACCTTGTGCATGGAATCCAACACATCAGTCACCCGCAGGGTCAATTCCTCCCCGCCCAATCCCTATCTCAGCAGACCAGGCACTGCCCAGTCTGTATTACTATCTGCCGGGCCCAAGAGAGTACTCAGCACCTGGTGCCTCAACCATATTTACAAAGAGTGCGCCGGAGATGAACCAGACAGAAGTGCCAAGGGTGCCCTCCCCCAGCACTTTCCAGATGGGATCATCCAGTCTCAGGGTTTTACCACTTGACCCATTTCGGTATTGATGGTCTTTTGGGGCTCAAAGAGTTTCCAGATATTGAGTGCAATGATAAAAGCACCATATGGTCGACTGTACTTCAACAAACATGAATGTGCACCACAGGCAGTACACATGCACTGTATCCATACAATGTGCACTATCAGCCAGTGCACTATTTGTACTACATGTACATGTATTTGTACATTGTACTATGACCACGCATACAAACACAGTTTCCAACACAATCTACCCTCAGTCCATCAACATTCTCACCCAGATGCTGAAGCATTTTTAGGGTTTTGAGATTAGAGTACGGCAACCTTAAATGTACACACATCACACATACACGTACATATGCTTCACAAAAGAGTTGTGACATCCCAATTTTTTAAAGTACACCGTACAAAGAAACATTTTGAAAAGGGTTAGAGTTTCAATGGGATGAGGAGATGGTGGCCTTATGGGCAAACTGCTCAGGGATCTACTGGAAGGATTGAATGCAGAATGATTTACATTCAGGCCCCCTTTTCAAGGGTGGGGAACTAAAACCAAGGGTGCACAAGAAGGGTGCCCCAAAGGCAAGTTTTAAAGCAAGGAATCAGCTCAAAGCCTGAAGGGAACATTTTTAAGGAATCATCCATCCAAGAATGCTCAGCAATTATACATGTACCTGGTGGTAACGTACAGGCTACATGTAAGGTACGTATGAGGACAAAATGGGAACTTTTTCACCTTCTTTTTAACCTCAGTACCCCTCGGCTACATTGGTAAAGAACCCCTATCCCCATCTCTCAACAAAATCCCTTTTTAAAAGGTAATCTTGTAATGCCAGCCTCTACATATCTACACGCAGCTTTCAGATCCGTGTCAACAGCGTTCAGTATTGACCACACGCCATCCTGTGGGCGGTCTTCCGGAATCAACAATGGAGACTGCTCAGGTCGCAAACTTCCTCCCACGGAGAAGTGCTTGCAAACAAACAGGCGGACTGGGAGAGACGGGGACCATTGGGAGACAAGGACAGGGGAGTGGTTTTTGTGGGTCTGTGTGCTGTGTAAACAGACTGTGCCTGACACATCTTCGGTCCTTAACAATCAACCGACGCACTGACCTTAGTGGCATGATATACAAAACTAAGCTTGACGCAGCAAGACCTTTCCACAGAGCTAATAAAGTGGTGGAGAAATTAGGACATTCTTCGAATATGGGGACCAAAGTGTGACAAGCTCTACACAGGTTTGCATTTTGGCAAACTGATCAAACAAAAGGGTAATTCACCTAAGCTTCAACACTAGTATCACATTTCTTAATCCTATTGATGATTACTTGAGAAGTCCCAGGTATACTATGCTAAAAAATAAAAGCAAAAAGATCAAGCGAGATACAATTCAAGATAAGTGACTATATTAAACTCGTCGATATGGAAAACAGGAAAGCTTCGAAAATATTGTAAATGTGACATTTTTGTCATTTATCTACTGCTATTGAAACACATTCAATGCAGTGTTTGTAAACATGTTAGATTTGCAAAGATATGTAATACAAAACTGCTGCAAACTGCTTGCTGACTACAATGACCTAAAATACACATCTCAAAATATGGAAGCTCCATATTTTGAGTGATGTTAGATTTAAGTATGTGATTTGCTTCACATGTCACATGATCAGTTCTGTAGGGAAGCAACAACACTGTACATGTACAGAAAACATCATTACTTCTAAAAATCATCTCTTAGGGACAACTCGGAAGAGAAACTGGTGGGCCTTACATGTATCTTTACAGAACTCTGGACTAGACAATTACAGTAGACATAAGTTCTAACAGGCCTAGTGATGACTATGTTTTGATGTGATTGGAATGTTAACTTCTACGCTTGGCCCCAAGCCTAGAAAATTACGTATCAGGAGTCCACAACACATAAACGTACTCAATCCAAACAGTATGGATGTACCGGTACAAGCCGATAAAACATGCATGCCTGCAGGCTCTCTCACTGGCATTTGCTGTACGTAAATATTAACTGAAACTTACAAAGTTATGAAACTGACCATCTCACAATGCCTCTTTACTGTGGCTTATATCTACATGTACTAAGTCCAAACACTCTAGACTGTGTGATTATGTCATCAACACCACTGAAGGCAAGTGACACATGTACATCAACACATGTATTAAATTGGCATGGAAAGGTCACTGGGCTGATTTTTCAACGGCACACAAGCTGTAATTACTACATTTGTTGGCTGTTGCCAAGTGCTCCGTGAGTCAACTTTGAATTTCAAGCACCACTCAATTTCAGGGAGGAAAAGAAAAAGTGGGAAATGTTAATGGATGTTTGTTGAAATCATTATTTGCTACACTTGTGAAGGATCTGCAAGCATTATGACCATTGTTTGAGGGGGAAAAGGTGGCAAACGTTAATAGACGTTTGTTGAAGTCATCATTTACTACTTGTGATGGATCTGCGAGCATTGCAATCATCGTGCTGAGTGTCTTTCCTTCGTACAGCTCATGTCCATTAAATTCATGACAACTGCACTTCTCTTTTCTTTACACTTACCCCACAGAGTGATTAATGCTCCCCTCTTAGCTCATCATAAAGCCAACAGTTGAGAATGCACTACTTTCATGCCCAGTGTGCAAGCGCCATGACTAATTAACTTGCCAGTATGATTATCCCAGATATCAATGAGAGATTGGACCGGTGCCAGCTTGGGTAGGGCTAATTGATGGGTGGGGCTGAAGAGCATTAAATTGCACACGTTTGAGTGCATGCTCTCAAAAGTACACTGTAGTCAATGTACTTTTCGTTCAACGCATGTTTGAATGAAATAAGCAGTAGTTATAAAATTACATGTGGTGCATATAAATCCAATTTTAAAAGGAACGGCTCAGTAGTTAGGTCTCTTACATATACAGCATACACGACAGGTTCACAGATTTGATTTGAAGAGCTTAATACAGGGAGTTTGTAAATTAAATCCGTGCATGTACGTACGTGGTGGTATGGCCAACATACATGTACATGTATGTATCCTTTTGGCAAAATGAATAACGTTGAAAGGCTTGAATTCAACAACTTACCACACAATAGGTACTTGCACCATAAGCATGTGTGGATAAACACCATAGAAACACCTGTGCTTGTTTCACATACCTAGTGTGGACCCTCCTTTGTTCTCCTGTAATTTCAAAAACTCGGGGAAAATTCTCCTTTTTCTCCCACTGTAACTCCTTCAAGCTTAATTTTCGACGATTTCCTGGACAGGTTCTTCATTTTGCCACGGACAACACTGACCCCAAAATGCCTCCGAAGCATGCCTCCTTACATCATGTGGATTCTTTTATTTGGAGGTCCACACCATATACATGCTATGCTTGTGCATAACAGCATGCAAACACATTTATGTAATAATGACACTCCAGATACCCCAAGTTTACAAACGGAAACATCAAGGGATTTGAAAAATCACTGTGCCCATTTGAAACAAACTTCACAAGATACCGAGCACCCGCACTTACTTAGTATTCTGGCAAAGCCAAAGTCGCACAACTTCAGCATCTCATCCTTTGTGATGAGGATGTTTTCTGGCTTCACGTCTCTATGAATACACTGCAAAGACGGGAGGGAAAAAGACAGTGATGTTAACGGGGATAATGTCCAAGTTAAAATTTGCAATGCAGATGCACTGGAGAACAAACTCGATACATTTTCGGAATTCTTTGTATTCAAGTTAATCTGGCAACCAGAATCACAAACCCATACTGGAGATGTACAAGCACGTGTCTGTCAATGCAAACATCTCTTTTGATCAGTAGGGTGCTTGTTACTTGCCAAAATGCACAGGCATGCATCAAGTTTAAGAACAAATGCAAGACTGTGGTGCCACCATGGGACACGTACAGCCCGCCGAGGATAAATGCCACTATCTGCTAAATGCTTTTGAAAAATCCACCAGAAAAAAATAACTTCTCTCTTATTACTGGAGAGAAAGAGAACTAAAAAAGGTGTATTTTATCTCATGACCTCCAAAGTGCAGTCCCAATGCTACAATTGCAATTTCCAGTTTGTTTCTCCTCCCCGTCTTCAGGCTGGCAGGTATGTGTATACCCAATAAATCCTGACTGGTCCAAAATGCCTTCTCCCAGACTAGTTATACTTTGCAGCTTGTGATAACAAGCTTGACATACAGTGTACTTGTGTACACATTAAACAAATACTTGTGGCTGTGCTGTCCAACTTTCACAAATACCTGAAAAATGAGTCACAGATCATTTCTTGAATTTATTTGAATTAAAAATCACAAACAGGGAATGTACCAGTAGCTTACTACTGACTTCATTTTCTTTCTATTCACAACGGCTGAATACTTAGGCGCAGTTCCTTGTTCAACCTGTATTGCGTGGGATCTTCTCTGGAGTTCAGAAACCCTGGGATTGTAATATACTTCCAAAGGGAATTTTGTACCCCCTTCTGTGTTGGATTTAAATCTGAATGGCAGCACCACTCTCACTCCCCTTCACTTTTTGAATCCATTTTGAGGAGTTTTTCTGGGAACACCGATCATTATGCTCCAACTGGAAATGCCCAAGAGGGAGCTCCATGCGGCAGCTTATCTTGCCCGGGTATGCTTGAGCTACTTGAATTGAAAAGACAGAAATCCATAAGCCGCAGCCCCAAACCGCCGGGGGCATTTTAGAGCTCAATTCCCAAATTCGCATAAATAAGAGCCAAACTATTGATTTCTGCTATCTTCTTCCCTCCATGGAGGCACAGGGCAGGTCTGATTGTGTGGCTTGCTGAACAAAGGCTCAAAACATCACACGGTGGGCAGATCTAGCATTTACAAACTAAAATGGGGGTGTGCCCAGCATGTAACAAAAGGGGTGGGGTGCCCCACACGTGGTTGAACCCAAACATTTGGGTGGGGCACTTTTTTAAATACTTGTACAATTTCTGTCTTCAAAGGTATCAAATAACCATTTGAGAATAAAGAAAAATCGGAATGGAAAATATATGTGTACGTCCCTTAAGAAAAAACAAAACCCGATAATAGAGGGTGATGGAACCTGTGAAGGGGGTAATCCACGAAATGATGGTAGCATCATGCCAACTATAATTTTGCATAAATTATTTGGAACATTTTTTCCAAAAATAAGCCAGCATTTACATTGTAAATGTACAGAATCCAACTTTCCTCAAACTGTCAAGCCCATCTACTTGTACATGTACACATACAGAGCAGTGCCACAGTTTGCAGCAAGCAGACATAACCGCTTCCACATTATCAGAGACATCTCCTCTCCAAAATAGGGCAGACTTCAAACCCGTTTCAAGGGCCAGTCTAGACAAGCCTCTTTTGCATGAAAAACGATCTTGTCTGTTTTCGTCGGTGTTTTCTTTTATCTTACATTGTGATCGTGGCAAAATTTGACGGCTTCCAAGAGCTGTTTGATCCACTTCTTGACTTTCTCTTCCGGCATCCTGAACACAAAGAAAGAGACTGACAGGTTTACATACACAGTGTAAATCAGTAGGTGTCATAGTGATTCTTAAGATTTACATCACACATGGGAATAAAAAAAGGAAATAAAAAGGAAATTCTCAGCACTTGAGCTATCAATACTATGCATGTAATATATACCGCATGCATGTAACCTTTTTGCAATTTTGTTTTAAATACACAAAGATGCACTCCTACGCAATTTCAATCTTACTGTATTTAGCCCAAGAAGATCAGGCTACAGACATCAATACTGCATTGTCACTTACCCTCCCAGTGTTCCCTGATGCTCAATTAATCTCCTAAAGACAAACAGACAAACAGGGGAATACAGATTAATTTAGGAACCTCTCAGGCCATTTTTGACATCAAGGATTTTATTAGGTCAATTAGTGCGGAGTCCTGCTGCATATAAGTGTACACACTGCAGTATCTTAGTGACCCAATCACATACTGTCCCCTTCCCCCACCGTCCAAGGAAATTACAAGACCTCTGGAGGCAAACATAAACACCACTTACAGAGTACTATTACTTAAGGATCTGCATGCCATGATTACTACTGCATTATTATTGTCAGCAGCATCAGAAATGGAGGCCCTTGGGTCACAGTTACTAGGTTAACTTTTTCATCTCCTGGCATTTGCTGCTGGCCTTGTATATCTTACATGTATCTGTAATGTCTGTATTGTGCTGTGTCCTTGTGAAGAATGCTGAATAAATAATAATAATTATTATTATTATTGATTTGAAACCTGTAAATATTTCAAAAGTAAGCAAGTTCTATCAATTATAAAAAAATTCTGTGCACGCACTTGCTCAATTCACCTTGAAAACCGCACGTGCATGAGACACAAATATCTGTTTCATCCACTGCAGAACATGTACACTGTACATGAACATGTGTACATAACATGGACCATACTTAATACACTGTAAATTCTCCCTCGATAATTTCTTTTTAAATTTTTGATAAATGAAGTGTGCATGTACGTAAATGTTGCTAAAACAGAGATGCAACGTGAGTTTAAACTCCTTTTCCCCAAAATTTTCAATAAACTGTACCCCCCCGCATTCCACTTGTACAATCGTGGTACAACGTATATGTACTCTGCACAGCAGTACTGCGCAATACACATGTATGCATTCAGTACAAGCACAAAGAAGGATGGCCAGAGACTCCTTGCAGTTCACCCACTTACTGCAAGTAAACAAAAATTAATCAATACAGATAGGGAACCATGTGTACAAGTGGCCTCAAAACACACTGCCTGGCATCACAACAAAAACCAGGCATGTGTGGGCCTGAGTCTCCTGAGAGCTCCAAAGCTGACAAAAGCCTAATGTGTGTATGTGTATACACAAATTAATCAAGTGTCTTGGCTGAACTTTGGCCTCTGCTGGACACAGCGTTAATGGACCACCACCTACCTAAGAGCTAGGGCATGTACACATATGTGTAACCGAAGCTCTATGAACTGTGTAACTGACCAGTTATCTGTCCAGGCAGTTGTGATAAATGACAGCGCAAGGACAAAGCCGGACAATCTCAACAGCGCCTGTCCATGCCAGTAAACGAAGTCTAAACTTGACAACCATTTTCCCTCCTGAAACGGACATGAAGTGTACATGTACATTGTACAAGTACCTACTGGTACAGTGTGTACTGTAATTCAACAACACTCATATAAAGAATCAGGTCACCTAGTTTTGACACATTTTTCAAGAACACAGCAGGGATACAAACATGAAGCCTGACACATACTATTCTTGAACTAAAGAACGTGACCAACATACAGGTACAATATAAGTGTTCCTTGTTACTATGAAGAAGTGACGAAGATAAACACTAAAGCTTCTGCCAAAAAAAAACAAACAAACTGGAGAGCCCAAGTGTAAAAGTAGATTATTAAAATAGAGCAGCCATATGATGTATTTAGAACCCATTCCAGAACCAACAGACTCTGAATGCACTCCACACCGTATTACACAACAATTTATTGTATATGTGTCTATTGGGGGGGCACAAACAATTTTCTTTTAAGTGCTTTTACTTAGTGATATACTGGTACATGTACAGCAAGATCAACCAGTTGTACCTTCCTTCAAATTCTGACGTGGATATGTTTCAATTCAAGGTATATTCAGATGCCTAAATTTCATATCCTGGATTGGACCCTGCCCCTGGTAACTGAAGGACACGGACGTGTACATGATGTACCGCTGTACAGTACAAAGGGAATTTGGAATTTGCTGACTGCATTCACTACTTAGCGTTGGATTTTCGAGCTTTCTGCAAACTCACAGAAACAAGGGAACACGGGTGGGGTCCTGAGTACCAAACTGCAAGTGATCATGCAGATATTCCTATCTTACCCCTTAGCGTACTCATCCAGGGAGTTCAACAGCGTCTTCTCACAGTACTCAAATACCAGATGCAACTTCCGCTTCCGTCGAAACACTTCCAACAGGTTGACCAAGTTTCTATGCTTCAGTTGCTATGGAAACAGAGAAACGAAAAGAGAAACTCAATTCCAAATTCTGGATTTTTATGTAGTCAGTTGGACTTTCTCAGCGAAACAAAGTTAAAAACGTTGGACATACCGATACATGTACATTAAAACTGCCAGCTAAGGAGCATTATTTTGAGGAATTGCAATTTCACTGAATGCCGAAGGGGGTATGAGATTCTTTATTTAAAAGAAAGGGGCACACACTTCCAGAAAAAGCTCTCCCAGGGTTTGGGGCTGTTCAAATATGCATACACAGTGCATGAAGTATAAATTTAGGATTCAATTCAATCACAAGAGAGTTACTAACCACTGCCATAAAGGCATAACTTGGGTGTAGGTTTAGGGTTTTCATTCAAACCAGGTACTGTGACAGAAGTGGATAGTCTAATACTATACATGTACATGTAAGCATAACATTCCCATATTATCAAATTTTAATTTACAAAATCAAATCTGCACACAAAAAAATGTTAGGAGATTCCTATAGACCTTTTTCCAATGATGTCACAATTGTGCTGGACTGCAATGTGTTGTGATGGTAATCTAGAAACCTACTTATTCAAGATACAGTAGTCCTGCATGCTGTGTTCACACATGCGCATGTACATGTACATGGTTGAAGCTGCGCACAGGGATACACTGGTATGCGATCACCACCGCCATGGCGGTCCACACGTGGTGGTATTATTTACATTTACCGCAATCCAGTCATGTGGGTGAAAAAGGTCTATTGTGATATATTTGATACAAATTTTCCATGAAAAATGCTCTTATTCAGTGGGGTTGTTTTGGGTTACACATAACACGCGATGTTCAATGTTGTGCGTGACAGTTATGAGGAATCCATGTCTACATGTACACGTACATGTAAGTACCGGTACAGTTGTACGCATACACATGATACATGTACATGCACAAGAAAATCAAATTTGCAAAGCTTTTGCACTGTGGTCACTTAAAAACACTGCCAGGCCGTAAGTGGACTACATGTGATAGCAATTTTATAGTACAGGTATCTTGATACATGTACATTTGTCTGGAATGATGAACTCCTGTACATGTATATATGTGTATATTAAATGTACATGTACCATAAGCATACACAGTGCCAGTAATTTGGTACATGTACACGTGTAAATGTGCGTTCCACCAACTTCAATTTAGCTTGATAGCTGGGCAAATAAAATGAGCCCTCTTGGCACAAAAGGCGTATGTTGTAACACCTTCCAACAATGGCACAGATGCACTCTGTTACCATAACAGAGTCCACCACACCTGGTCACATTCCCAAATACCCTTGACTGCTCTGTTGACTTTATTCAGTCTGCCTCCTGGCAATGCTTTGCAACTGCTCTGCTGGGTCTAACCATTTTTCCCAGCTAACACATACAATTATGTATACGTAATGTGCGTTGTGCAACTCTGTAGGTAAAATGTTCCTGTCCATGTGCCTGTGTTATGACAACAACAAAAAGTCAAGGGGGACAGTAGCAGTGCATCTGCAACAGGCATAAATTTCTGCAAGGTTTCAACATCCCAAAACATTTTAACACAAACCCAGGCTGTGGTTTGATTGGGGGAAAAAGAGACGCAGCACTTGATGTTCTTTCTAGGCTTTTATTACTTTTGCAGAGAGAACAAAAGACGAACAAAACTACAGTCAGTTTTGGCATTAAAAATGGACAATGAATTTTACAGAAAGTACTCTCTGGTTTTAACCCTTGGAACTACCGGTACAGCCTCCATACTGGTGCACATAAAAGAATGGTAAGGCTGAGCTGGATATCTGAATGACCGAATATTTGATCGATTATCAAATATTAGAATACAATGTTTCAAATTTGAATATCCCAATGCAAATTTCATGAAAAGGGAGAATTTTGGGAGGAGGTTTTAAATGAGAAAAATTGCACTATGCAGGCTTATTCCAAGCAGGTTCAAATCAAAAGTGACAGAAACCTTACAACGATTTAAAAAGTACATTATTAATTACAATACTTAAAAGGAATATGAATTTTTAGCAGAAAAAGAAGTATTATTAATCACTTAAATCTTGCTAAGTCATGGCTGGAGACGTGAGAAGCTATAATGTAATTATAATGTAAAATTGTGTGCGTTACTGCAATTGATTTTGTATATGGTTTGTTCCTCAACAATCTGCCAGTCGGTACGACCACAAATTTGGATATTCAGTCGAATTGTGGGTCAAATATTCCATTAGTACATTATTCAAATAAGAGCAATTCTGAATAGTGCACCTCCAAGAGTTTGCAACGCATTGGTCAATCACAATGCATGAAATCTGCCGACCCTTTCCAAATGCACATTGGGTCGACAGAACCTTTGGAGGCACACTATTATGAAACAACCCCTATTGACTCAGCCCTGAAGAGTGGGCTATGGAATGTTCAAATCAGTAAAAATGTAAATTGGGGGAACACTATAAATGTGACAGTAATTTACTACAGGGGGCCCCTTTACTGTGCTTTGTATTGTATGTCAGTATAGAACACATAACAAACATGTACAGGCATGTGCCAGTGCTTGTACACGTACAATGTACCTGTACAAGTACATGCTGTCCCAGGCTATCTGATACATGTACATGTACTGGTACATGTAGAAGTGTCTTTGGACATGGAAACTGGTTTTAAAAGGTACATGTAGACCCTGGACTTCACATTAATTACCCCTGACCCTGCTCCAAGCATGCTTTAAGCACCATGCTCAGTCCAACAATATCCAACAACTTAAAAAGTATGAATACTGCTCAATCCAACAAGGTCCAACAATTGCTAAAAATATGAATGCTGCTGGGTGCAACAAACTCCAACACTCAAAAAAAGTTTGAATACTGCTCAATCCAACAAGATCCAACACTTGAAACTGTTCTGATACTGCTCAATACAACTGCAGAGTCATTCCAGCATTTTGAGAACCCTGCTGAGTTCAACAAGATCCAACAAGAATATGCCATTCACATCTACTGCTCAATCCAACAGATATTTACACCTGTTGGATCTTGCTGTGTTAAGCTGGGTTAGGGTCAATACCGTAATTTTTTGGAATATCAGCCGCCCAGTGTATAAGCCACAGCATGCAAAAATCAGAAAATTGAGATTTTAAGTCGGCATTTAAGCCGCACCGGTGTATAAGCCACACCTGCACATGATGTACATGTATGTGTTTCGTGGCAACGGGAATTCTGTGAATAAATCGAAATCTGGACAACTGGATTTTGATTTATTCTCAAAGGTTCAAGTTTTCAGATGTAAACGACAACCAACAAACCATGACTGTGCCACCTGTACCTGGTATGCATGGCTCAGGCACAGATTTTGTGACTGATTTTATCCTTCCAAGTTCGCCATATAAGCCAGCCCGCCGTATAAGCGGTAGATACAATTTTTAAGCGTGAGAACTGACGTATAAGCTGCGGGTTATATTCCGAAAATTACAATACACAAAGCAAAAATGTCATCCACTCCAGTAAAAGTCACGCTACATGTACATGTGCAAGCCAGAAGTAACATCTTCAATGTCTTAAGTTTCAGGTTTTATGAACAACAATTTTCAAAAGGTTCAACATGTTGGTTGCTAGGAAGATTTCAGTTGAATCTTCCATGCCTATAATCTAAGACTACGTACTGGTACCTGTATCAGTACTGGTACCTGTCAGTACTGGTACCACTGGTACACAGTGTTCTAGCCAGGCATTCAAAAGCATATTGGGCTGATACGCTGAGCAAAAACCCTGACACACTGAAAATCCCCCGATACGCAATCAATAAGCTTTTACTTTCCAGGGGAAGAGTTGTTAATATTAAGAAAAACTGCAATCAGAAATTTGAAAAAAGGTTCTTTAAAAACACCGACGCAAAGTAACCAGAACATTGGCAAAATGCACAAAATTGGACGAATCTTCCACAACGCAGCACAGCTTGTTAGCTCGTTCACACACAAAAATACGTAAGTTTTCATAGCTCTGTGGAGAATCACGTACGCGCAGCACCGTTCCCACCGCACCACTGACAAGGTAATACGAGAGTAGACGGGTCTGGGGCCAGACTACAGCTCCGGATTGTGCACAGCCAAATCCACTATGGCATGGCTGGCAGCACGGTAGCTGCCCGATCCTTTCACAGAGTCGCCTCGAAAACTGATCGAAGTAGGCTACAACTAACTTGTCACAAAACCTGGTCTTTCTGTATCTTCTTCTAATGCATTTATATCTATGGTTATTTTGATATACAGTACTTTGTCGTGGTTCACGAGGACAATTTTGGTTGAAGACTGTGGCACACACATGGTCTCGGTGGCAGTGTGTGCATAGTACTGTACCACGTCCGTGCACGGTCTTGTAGTGTTTCTGTATCAATCTTCACATTTCCTTTGTAATTTCGGTATCGTTAATCATTCTCATTTATTTTTTGGTAGTTTATGACTAAACTTTTTATTAATTTCGGCACAAACATCTAACCTTGTGATAATGAGAATAAGTTTTGAATGATCATGCGACATACATGTACATGTACAGACATATCCTTTTTGACAAAAGTTTTAGCACCTAGCAACAAAGTACAAACAATGGTAGGGGCCCAGGTGAATTAAGTTAATTTTTAAGCAGGCATGCCTGTTTTTGTATACATACATGTACATAGAATAATCATACATTTTGAACTAAAACCCCAAGAATCTATTCAGATTGAAGTTTTTCAAAATGACATGAAAACTGAGGTGAAGGCCTATTAAGCTACATACACAGTGTACGTGTATTATTTTTCATTGATGCACATCAAAACAATTTCGTACCATGGAGCTTCTCAAACAAGAACAAGCACATGTACGTGTAAGATACAACTGTGCAGTAATGAAATATGGATCAGATATTTACATGTACATGTATTAGACATTTGCCCTTTTCCTTGGCAAAAGCACAACAAAACACAAAGCGAAGCCCCCCCTAAAAAAAAGTAGAGAAAAGGGTAGTAGAAGTCAGCGTAAAACTGATAATTTTGCTTTTTACAATGACTAAATGACATGGAATGGGATAATGGGAGCTTAAAACAAAGCTGTTATATTCAACATAATAAATTTTAAACAGTGTCCACAGGTGTCAAATAATATTTCTGTTATTCAAAGAAAAGAGTTTGTAAATTTGGATGTTTTCAGGCCTGTTGGCTGCTTTGAATTCAGATACAATAAACCCTTACAAAATGCTAGTATTTTGAAAGAGTGAACAAATGGCTTTACATGTAAATGTAAACAATTTTGGACTATTTCTGAAAAGAACTAGGGTCTTCCATGCCAAAAACAGAGATTTTCAAGTGTCCCCTTTTAAATTCTATTTGTAGGTCATTTACCATGATGCTGTTGCACCTCAAACTATGAGATTTACACCACAAGATAATTGCTCTGCATTCGCTACGCCCAAGGCCACTTCAAAGCAATGTCACAGCCCCTCCCATTATATTATTTTCTGTTGCTATGGCAACATCCAAACATCTCGGACACAACAGTCACTCCGCCACATGGCGGGGGGAGGGGGGAGCCGCCTGCTTCCATGTCAATTAGTGCAAGATACCAATATTGCCCAAGAGCAGTGCCACACATGGCTCAAGCCAGCCATGGGCCTTATTTATCCAATAATCTACATAACTGACAACAGGCCAAGACACACATATACATGTATATGTGTCTTCTGACATTAGAGGAAAAATGTCAGTACTGGCCATCATCCTGGCAGGGCATTAATTTCAGCATGTACATGTCTTTACTTCCTGACATTATGAAACATGTATACATGTAAGAAGCATGGATTTCACATATGATGAATATTTCATAGACGTACATGTACTGCATTTCTGTAGATTGACAAACAGCACATTGCATTGAGATGTTACAATGTAACACTACGAATTGGAGTTGGAAATTTTATAAGAGTTCACTTTTTACATTCACACTCCCATTTCAAAAGGCATACAAATATTTTGTGCGGAAATCTGTGAAAATCTCTTTCCCATTTCAGAGAAAATCAGTGAAAATCTTTTACCACTTTGGGAAACAACTTTTCAGATTGTGAAATGAAAAAGAATCCCTTGGAATGCAAACAAGTGTAAAAAGAATTTCCCATTCCCAAGTTAACTTCAATTGCAATACGGTACCTGTACATTGTACATGTACGTGTTCGTATTTTGCTCACATGAAGTACAAACATGAATCTGCCTTCATGTGTTCAAATACATGTATGCATAAGATCCCCTTTTTGGTTGCAATCATGAAATATTTATGTGAAAATTACACATACATGTATGCAGGTCTTTTTATCTTCACCAGTTGGCAGTACCAAATTTTTATACATTGAAAAGTACAGACAAAAGTTCAATTTAAAAACATAAATTTGTCACATTTACATCAACTTAGTTTTAACTACTACTGGTCACAAATGACCAGTTAAAACCTATAATTCTTTTTTAATCACCAGCAGGCCTTGTGCTATCTTTTTTCCTGGCTAGCCCACTGAGCTAGTTAACTGGATATTTTACTAGCCCATTTAGAGTTTTACTAGCCTGTACATAAAAAATGTTAAACCCCAAAATTTGTTATCAGCTTACCAATAAAGAATTTGACATTTCAGAAATAAAAGGCTGATGGTATAAATAAATAAAGAGGCATGTATGTTAGTTAATAGTCGCTAGAGTCACTGGTCACAGAGTCGGGATCAAAATCATCTCTTTGCTCCGTCTTTCCTCTCGTTTGGGTTGCTGTTGCAGTGGTGAAAACAAGTGCGCAAAGCTCAATGCATGAAAGCAAAGCTGTGCTGGTTCCCACCATGCCGCGCCCATGCAAAAGAATGCGTGTTGGAAATGTGCTAACCAGTTTTTAAGTCCTGGTCATGAGTCGATTAAAACTACATCGGTGTCGTACACCCATGCAGCCATACAGCTACAGGTCGAAAAAAACATTGATGTTGCAAGAGGATTTCTGCAAGTTAATTCACAGAACTTGGTCTCTTATTTATGTATTTATTTTCTGTACTCATGAGTTCCTGCCACGGCACGCGGTTTATTGCCCACCTGTCTGGATGCATCATGATCGCTTACCACATGATAAACGGACATTGCTGGCCAGTTTGCCGTCGTGATTACCTGACTAGCACTGTGTGATTTGTCCATACATGTAATTCTTGTGAATTGTTGACTGCAGAAACTTTTACATATACATGTATCAAGACATGTTTTTATTACTGTTTAAGACAACTTTTGGAAGCTTTCATCCCTGTTCATGCTATTACATTAGCACAAACAAATTGACCAGACAAAATTCCGACCAACCAGTCCTATTTTTGAGAGGCATGTAATCAGAAGCAGAAGTGGTCTAAACAGTGAATGAGAATCGTGTGCACGTGCGGTATCGCGCCGTACCTTGTGCTATGCTACAGTATACCGTTACTACTACCCACCAGTCTACTCTATTCGTGGCATTCACGGTCGCATATCACCCATCGTGCAAGCATCACATTTCAAAAACACAAGAAAAACGCATCCACAACGATTAAGTGTTTGCGATCTTGTATTTATTATCAGGAAAAGCATTACAGTAAAATCTTGGTAAGTCGAAGCTCAGGGGAATGGACGAAAAGTTTAAGTTGTCCGACATTCGAGTTATCGAAAGTTACATGATTCAGTGCACATGCAACCTTACTGGCTTACGGCAGTTGGCCTGCAAGCTGAGTCAAAGACGAAGTGGATTTTAGGCTATCCCTACTGTGCAAGATTTCCTCAAATATCATCATTAAACGTGTTTTTATGTGGTACATTAACAAACAATAAACCAATGAAGTTATGTACCGGTACCTGTGTCTACGTCTTGAGAATTCATTCATTTGCTTTGCCTGATCGGGCTGTTACCGCATAACGCAGCGCGCAGGCCAGTCGGTCAGGGTTTCCGTGCTGGGTCACGTGATACAAGTACAAAGCGCTTGCGGGCGCATCATTCGTGCCTGATTTAGGCTGTATCCAAATCTCTTGTCTAGAGCTAGGTCTTGGTATTCACTCCATTGGAAATGCATGGAGACGCGCAGACAACAGACGTAGCTGTAGCTCTGAAAGCCCGTTTCGGACACAGCCTTTACGGTTGCGGTTGATGCCCACCCAGTACTTGTCGACGTGACAATGGCAGCCCGTGTGAACATGGTCGGCTCATCAAAGAAAAGCCGTGTGCGTGACAGTAATGACTCTAGCGTATGCCATACACGCCATTAATTCTATAATAACAACAACAACAACGACAGTAATGACTCATAATGAAGGCAAGAGTTCTTTCATCACTTTTTATTCATCATTTTTCAGTGGTTTTTTTTTAATTGGCCTACCAAAACTACGAGATAAGTGGCTTTAGTGGCATTGACGTTTCGAGTTGGATAGTTTATTGTACATAAAGGCCTATTCTTTTGTTGAGAACACAGAAAGACGTTGAGGTAAACAGAGTTTTGACTGAACAGGCTTCGACTTATCGAGATTTTACTGTATATATTTTGATATAAGTTTTAACAGGTAAGCTTATTCTGAATTTTTCACTAGCCCACCGGGCAACCAAGGAACCAAGATTAGGTAGCCCGCAGCATTTTTCGCTAGAATTTGTATGCCGGGCTAGTACTACCGGTACTTCAAGGCCTGATTACCAGTACTGATATACATGTACATACATGTACCAGTAGGGTTCTCACTTGCACAACCTAACTTTCATGTAGTGCTGTATCTAGGTGTACGCGCCAATTGGCAAGTACATGTACATGCACCAGTACATGCAACTGATAAGACTCTTTCGTGACCCACGGATTGTGACTAATTAGAGCTACGTTCTACTTCTGGTGCCTTCAGAAAGCCAAAAAAAATGTATATACATGTCAAAACAAAATTGACAGTATCCAATTTATTTCAGCAGCTGATGTTGAACATTTTGTTGTAGTCAATGGGGACCCACACAAACGTGTCGTGTTTGTCCTTTAAAAAAAGTGCACACCTGTGTCGGTCTTCTGTGCTTCTGTCAAAGTCCATCAGGGAAGCACCAGTACCAGTACAGATGAATGGGAAAAAAGTACATTCATGGAGTCACGATCTTCCACATGCAATCTGCTGTTCAAAGCTCCCTCGTCTGTGATGCCATAGATTCAGATGACTGAAGTGGCCGATCAAAAGACTAAGTCTCCGTCACAAAAAGCCACAATTGCCCCCCATTGGCTGTTTCCCAGTTTAGCTTAAAATTTGCAAGACATGTACCTGGTATCAGGTGTTTGTTCAGAGAATTGTTGGGAATGGATAACATACGGAGTAGCCTAATCTCCACTTAACTTTACAACTCTCTCAAGAAATAATTTTCAAGGGCTAAATACAACACAGTATTCTTAAGTCCAGGTACAGGTATTCCAAACGTACATGTACACGTACACACATGAAGTACCTCCCCCCCCCAAAAAAAACCTACCTTTAACATCCGGATTTCTCGCAGGGCAATCTTCTTTATAGAGGGGTCATCTTCAGACTCAACAAAGCGCTTGATCGCAACAATCTCCTCAGTGTCCCTATTTCGGCACTTGAACACCACGCCATACGACCCCTCACCGATCTTATTCAGTTTCTCGTACTTGTCCATGGTTGCAGTCCCAGTCGACTTTATAAACCCAACGGCTCCAGGTGTGACTGTACCTGTTCAGTGTATCTAGTGATGGTCTGCTACTTTTGTGCGTGTGAATGTGAAGGCTTCAAGTCATCTTCACAGGAGCTGGGGGTACAACAATGACAGCTTCAACACATTTCTTAGCTCTCTTTTCAGGAAGGTTTCAGTCCCTGGTACGAGTTCTGAAGTGCCTCATGGCTCTCCCAACTAGCAGACAACACGACTTGGGACACGCTCCTTGGGACTGGTCACAGCCTGGCCTAGCTGACGGCCTCAAAGCACTGCCTGAAGACTAAACCACTCCCATGCATGGTCACATGCACACAGCTCCCGTAGAACCTGTCTCTCCCAGTCTCCCTGCCGAGCCCAACTCATACACGCCCCAGTTCCATTATCCTCCTGCTGTTCTCATTAACGGTGTAATGTGACTCCTAGCTCTCCTTTGACAGCCTGCTCCAAAAAAAATCTGCAAGGACAAGAATATATACCACTATAAACATCTGCGATTGATATCAAAGTTTACACACAAAACACAAACCAGCTGCTGCTCTTGAGCAAAAGAATACTTGCTTTTTTTAAGTTTTTCAATAAAAAGAGTGTGTCTAGGATTAAGCTAGGATTTTTTTTTACCACTGATGGCACAATAATTCAACTGTATTATTGTATAAAAAATGTATGAACAAAACTATACATTACCCAGTACATGTACATCATGCCTGTACATGTACATTAAAGCGCACAAAAATTTGGGAATGCTGTAACTTCGATCTGGAAATTTGGCCATGTTAATTGTCCTGTATTTTACGTCAATCCTCCTTGAACTGATATGATGAGGTACACTGTATACTGATAGCTTGGTTTTACTCTGTCATTAGCGCTGGTGTATGTACACCAAGGTTTTGTTTTTCACGGTAAACTCTAAAATTTTCACCAGTGCAATAAAGAAATTAATTAAACCGTACAACTCAACAAAACAAAACTTAACCTTCTGGCTAATGGGAACACGATATTGTATGTACTGTACATGTATGTTGACACTATACCACTGTTTAAAAAAAAGAAAAAAAAGACAAGGGCTTGGAGCTTAGCAATGAAAATTCCAGTTCGATATTATTTGCTTTTGAGGGCCATTTAATTCCAATTTAATTCATCTACAATGTGCATAGGTCTCCTGTTTCCATTCACACCTGTATGTACATGTACGCTGTATTTATGCAACATGCATGTACATGTACATACGTGTACATGTACATGTAATGTAAGTGAAATCCATTTTGTAGGTGTACACATACACGTTACTTGTAAGAGCTTCATTTGGTTTAGATGTCACGGCATCTCAAGGTGATCTTGGAAGCATTCTATTCAAAGGAACAAATGTACTGGTACAAAATGTCTTGCGAGTGCTTAAAATAACTTAGCAGTTTAATTTCAAGTAGCCATTGAAGCATCTTGGTGGTCTGACAGGACTAAGAGTGTCAGTAGCCTTTGCCTTGGTGAGAATGGGGTGCTGAAAAACAGGGTGCCCAGCTTGCTTCAGTTTTAGAATACAGTCTGGGGGCACTAAACACACAAACCCTTGTTTTATTTATAAACATTGCCTCCTGCTTTGTATGAGCTGCCAAAGTTTGCAGGAATTGCATCCTTGGCTGTACGTGTACATGTACAGTGTACAACATGTAGCAGCAACTTTTTTTGTCAATGTGTACACTTTTCAGCTGTTCAAGAGGGATTTACCAGTATTTTCCTGTAGTATTTAGAAGCACAAGTGATGTTTATTATGAATTTAGGGGTGTAGTTTTTTAAAAGCTGCTTGAGGTTTTTGAAGATTTTGTGAATATGGGTGGTTCACAATAGGCACCACCAAAAGGTTGCCACAGAGCTGGCCATTTTGTGGGAAGTGGCTGACACGTACATGTATCTGAGTGCAGGGAGCTGAAAATTGTTCCTGGTGTTTTCCTGGGTAGAAAATTCATCAGTTCGCTCGGTGTTTATATGTATTTGGAGTACCAGTTTTAATTTATCTTTTCTTCTTTCCACTGCATGGATGCTCCAATACCAATTAAAAATTTTCGCTTAATTAAACACAAATAGCAGCAAGCGTAGCATTCACATACGGCCTCTCCAAGGCAACCTGCTAGTAGGGTACTGTGCAGCAAATTGCCAACTTCCTGTATGCTGTTCCTTTTCGTACTGATAGCAAGCCACAGCTTAACCAACAACTTACACAAACTGAATATACTGGTATCTGCAAATGGGTCTACCTTTCAATCAGACCAGTGTCAAATAGTTTATCAAGTAACGCATGAACTCAAACTACAGTACATTGTAAGACATAGTGATCAAAGCTCAACACGAATCACACAGCTACTGTGAGCCTAAAACTCACGCTCCAAAATCCATGCGAGCCACCTTCAGTTCTTGCCCCTGGTATTGGTAAATGTACAATATGTAATTACATTAAATGCACCGTAACAAGATGTCTCTGAGGAAACCAGTCATTTGTAGGCCCTATCACATAAACCTGTCAATTGTAAAGATACATTATATTTCTAGTAATCACTGATACTGTACATGTACATGCACTGTACATTAAGTGTGTAGATGGTTTTGGTAGTTGTTTTTTGACATTGTAACCTTTACCAAGATGTGAGTTTCAAACAAAATTTCTTCTCTTATGACAGCAAGGAGGTGGAAGTTTACAGCTGGGGATGAGAATGAGAGAGTGTATGGTACAATCACACCTTGATAACATGCTGAGGGCATTTTGTGTATCGTACAGGTATAACCACACTGTGTACTGCAGCGCATGCACTGACAATTCGGTCTTATCTTACACTTTACAGACAACACTGCGAATACGGCCACTCAGTAAATTGCTCATAAGAAGTTCAAATGCTGTGACACTTGATATGCTTGCAATTATATCCTTAATTCGAAACAAAACAACCTCATTTGGGCAAGCAAGAATAATAACTGTTGACTCCATCTGCAAGCAGTCCAGTGGACCTATGATGAACATGTATTTTTCATACAAAGAGCCACAACCAAAACAATTTTTTGGAAGCGCTTACCCCCAGAACTGTGGTGTCCGTCATCCACCACATCCCACAGTTCTGGGAGTAGAAAGTGTTATCTTGCCAAGGCCAGTTAGCTCTACCAACTTCCCGGACTTCACCTGACACCCTGTGCACAAACACCATGAGAACGGTCTTTATTTTTTAAGTTTTCTAGGTACATGCTTCAATCTTTTTCCTCGCATGATTTTACTTTTGAAGGCATTATCACTTTCTAACACCTAATAAACTACAGGTATACAAAGGAAAATTAGTGATGTCCATGATACATATGGGACTACATGTACATTTTCCTACCTCCATAATGGCTGGATGTGAACATGATGAAGGAAATCTTTGTTTGCCAAACATTATTTCAATTAATAAATAAATTAAATGAACACACAACATACACAGGATTGAAAGATTTTGGAAAGAGTTTCATATCTTGACATCATTTGGCATAATCCTATTTAAAGTGTTTCAAACATGTCAAAAAGTCTTCTAGCTTGCTTCTGAAGTTCAATATTAAGCCATACTATCACTTTCTAATGCCGTGGCTAATAAACTACTGCAAAAAAACATTAGCCGTGTGATGTCCGTTTCACTGCGTTATGAAAATCTTACCAAGATGTTTTCAAATGTTGGCAGAGAAAATCAAATCAATAGCAAACTCTCTGCATGTTACCGAAACAACCTCGTATGAGCAGTGGCCCTATTATTGCCAAGCACGCACATAACGTACTATCATCGTGGTCTCCACAGTTCACCGCACCGTTCCTGTAGTATGGTGTGGCAGTAGACAAGAATAATGAACATAGCGCGGCAGTACAAGTAAATTCTATAATGAATCCCCTCATTTGCTTCAATATTCAATACGAAATACCACACAAACAGATAAAAATGCAAGCATCAAAACACCAGTCGTTTCTTACCTGCCCTTCGAGGTTTCGGTAAGTTCTGTCCCGTCAGTAATGCATTATGACGGCAGCCATGACACCTACAAATTTACATAATTGATAGGGTTATCAATCCGCAAAGATGTGGCAAGCACCACTGTTCTTTTTTATTTTCAAACAAGAAAATGTCAGAAGAATTAACCCAAGAAAAAAATAATTATGGTTCTTAATTTCAAAAGCCATCTTTTCTTACCTTAAGGGTATTTATCTTGCATAAAATGGTGGAACTACTTTTTCACTAACTTGGTGTGCGTGTCTAGCTAGGTCGGTCAGAATTTGGGTCATACATTAATATGCAAATACCCTCCTTGGAAACGCAGTAAACTGAAGTGAGCATGTTCGGTCGGCGACTGATCAAAGTTCAACATTGAACTTAATATTGTTTTGTTTCGTTATGGTTTTGTTCGCTACTATTCTCATAATAAATTAGGTGTTTTGATTTAAATTGATCATTATATGAAACAAAGTTGGCGAAATTTGTGAGTAGTTGCATTCTGGAAAAAAATGCAGTTTTGTTGATAGCTTAGATGGTCGCAATGCATGTACCAAATAGGGAAAACAAAGTTTTTAGCTGACACAAGTAAAACACTTTTCCTAAATATCAATTGCATGTCTTGGGACTAATATAAAAAGCACCCCAGCACTTTTTGCTGCTACTTGCAGTGAATGGACTACAGTCTAGTTTATCTTTTGCTCATGAACGAAGAATTTCATGCAGATGTACATGGTGCTTGATACGTTTCCTTTTTCTTAAACTTTGGGGCACTAATCTGAGCAGTCACTTATAACTTTATTCTTGGATTGACATCCCAGTGAGTGGTGTGCTCAATCCAAAGTTCGATCTATGGCTTCATGCGATTATCTACGGCTCCTTTAGCTGTAAAATAGAGGGCGCTGTAACCCTCGTGCAGAGATATAATAACAGAATCCAATATGCGGACCGATAGAGCAAGCGAGCCACGGCGGTTGCATTTTGGGGCTGCCACCATGCAGAATTCAGATAAAAGGCCCAGCTCTAGGAAACAATGAATGACACAACGTGTCAAAATACTTGTAAGTCTGCAAAGACTGTCGCGCAAACTAAAAGCAGGGAGTGAAGCATCTTCTGTGCATGGGCGTCGCTAGAATATTTTCCAATGGGGGGGGGGAACCATTATTCCCCATTGGGTGGGGAATTTACGAGAAAAATGTGATAAAACCAATAAAAGGTGGAGGTGCGATATTTTTAAAGCAAATCCGAGACTTTCATCAGATTTCCCCTCTTATTTCTATTTACTTCGTTTTTTCCAGCTTTTGTTAATGTTTCCCCATTTTTTCAAGGGGAGCAAGTGCCCCCTTTGCCCTCCCCTCAGGGCACCCATGCTTCTATGCCAAGTTTCATCAACCGATGACATAAAAAAATCAGAGATTTTCCTTCCACGAAACCACGGAAAGAGTTCCATAAACGGACGTCACTTGACACCAAATGCACCAACCCTATGAGACTGGTCTGAAAAATTCTGTTTTCTAAGTAAACGACTTGGTTTTTTCCCACCTAATTTGAACTTTTCTGGACATCAGGTTTTTGCTTTCTGAAGGCAATAATTACTGGCGTCCGTATATGGAACTCTTCCCGAAACCACTTCCACATCCTTATTTGCAATTTTCGCAGATCGCCCCCAAAATGTATTAATTTAATGAGGCCATAATTTGTTAATTATATGGAATACATGTTTGAATTGTTTACATCGTGTGATTGCATGGGACGTGGGTGTCGCCAAAGGCCAAGATCTTGGAAGGAGCAGCGCTTATCATACTAAACTGGCGAAGTGACGGTGGCGAAATGGATCAATAAATTCTGAGGTATTTTCGTGCAAGCTGGTGATTTTCACACACACTTCTCAGTTCTTCCCGTTCCCCCCATTTGTTTCCCCTTTTATTGTTCCTTATTTTTTCTTCCTTTGGAAATGGAAGACGTCCGAAATCAGTTCATGGACTCCTCTTACTTGCGCTCACACCTGCAATTTTCTATGAAAATGCTCCCAACCTCAAACCCGCAATTGGGTTCGGGTTGGAGGCATTTTCGTTTATGTAAGACATCATGGGTTGGCATTACGGCACATTCGTTGTATTAAATCATCCACATGAGTTCAGTATGGCTTGAAGTCTTCGTATGATGTATAGCTGTTGTAAAAAGAGTGAAATTTCACACACACAGCGCTCAGCTGACAAATCATTTTAAACTGAATTAGATACGAAATGTCATGAATGAAGCGGATAGGTCTCTTTGTGTATTGTACACATCCGAAGTCACGAACAGAAACACACAATGTTCGATTGAGTTGTCCCTACACCACTATCCTTTCCCAGTATCCAGTATTTATCGTTACATAATACTCTGGATCCAGGGTCGAGCAAACGGGGCAATCAGTGTCCCTCTCGCTCGGCCGCCAAAGTTAAGTCAAACCTGAAAAAGAATGGTTTTGGTAATCACTATATTTGTCTTCGAGTACATAATTTTTCTTTGGCTTCTCCAAAGTGAAATGAAATAAGACTCCCCAAAGTGGCCTTTATTTCTTGAATTACAAAAGACTGGGGTGCAGGCACCGTGGAGGTAGAGCGAGGGGTATAATGACATAACCATTGTGGTTTAATTATCATTTTAGAAATAATTCTAGTTCCGGAGAAACTACGTTTTTTTCATTCTTCAGGTTTCATGTACAGTGAACATTGACATCGTTAGGATTTATCAGGGGATGGGACACGGAATGGAAGACAGGGGCCGGAGGGCAAAATTCTCCTACAATCGCAAAACAGTGACGTTTACTTGTAAGTCTAAATCTTCTTTTTCAAGTCGCGCTTACTTTCGCCACTCGCTGTGATAATTCTTGGGGCGGGGAGGGGAGCGTTAGTTTTTCTCCTGTTGCAAAACAGACGCGCTTGTTTAGGTTTAATTAGAAATACTGGTTAAGGGTCTGGAAAGACTTCCTTTGGGAAAATATTTATAGCTTAGTAGTCACAGTTTTTTAATTTGAAAGTCAAAATTTTGCTTTATATCAGCATCTCAACTTTTCTCTCCGACATTTCTCATCTCTGTTACATTCTGTACCACTTACACCTCCCCCTTGGCAACGCTAATGACGCGACCGCGATTCACTAAGCCTCGTGCTGGCGTCTTCGCAAAAACGAGAAAATAAGTTGTCAAAGTTATGAAATTTCTTTCGGGAATTTATCGCAATATTTTTTATGGGGGGGGGGTTAGCTTCATTAATCCAGTGACCACCCGTTTCGTTATATTTATTCAAGAAAAAACGAATAAAATTCTTCATCAATTCAGCTGCACGGTCCGTTCATTTTGCCACTCCAATAATGTCTAGTTTTTAAAATCAAGCCAAAATCAGGCAGACTTCGTGTGAAATCCAAATTGTATAGGAAATGACAGTTCCGACTGTTTGCTGCCAATGGGACTTAATTTGTATTTAATAAAACTCTGCATATCTAAAATATCTCTGCGAAGTTCCTTGAACTGAACTACGTCATCAGTGTGTGAGCTCTTTTGGGGATCAGGTTCTTGAGTTTATCAGATCCAGGGATAGGAACTTGAATTTTGTGTCACTCCGTCTTCTCCCGTGGCTGTACATGGATTCAGTGAATCTGTTGCTACGTACTGAGGAAGAAGAAGAAGTATCGATTTTGCCAAGGTACGAGATGGCACGGTGCGTATGGTGCACGCACGGTGCGCAGGGCTGTTTGTTGCTAAGGAAACATGCTGATTGAAATCGTGCGCGCGCTTTCCCCCGAGAAACTACCTATCGATTGGAAATTGATGTTGTTCCTTGTCTTTGTAAATGACGCTCCACGACGAAGTTGACGTTCAATCGTACTAATATCTACTACGAAATGATCGATGCGAATTTTACGTTGAGTATCTACCCGTTTTAAGTGTGGTATCTTTGAAAAACCCTAACATTTATCTAACAACATAAAGCCCATTTTCTTTGCAAAATCCCCGCAGTAACGTGACCATCCCTCTTTCCTCTTTAGACTTGAGAATTTTGTTTCCGGCGTTCATGCGTTCTTTGCACCATAGTGATTATGCAAAGAAAATGGGTTATTATGTTGTTAGATAAATGTTAGGGTTTTTTCAAAGAGTCACTTATTTCCCGTAGTCAAGCTGGTTGTCGATTACTTTGTTTATGGCACATCAAGATGACACACACAGCAAACATATTAATCAAGATTCCCACCTTTATTGAGTCAATGTCACTGGGAGATACAGATTCAATGCATCCTAAAAGACAAGCTCAACGAGCTTCCGCAAAATGAAGTTGAAACATTTTCAGAAAGAATTGAAATAAATAAGTTTATTTTTAAAAGAAAAAACAAAAACACCAACAAACACACGTGCTGAAGTACATGGCATATTCTGCACAGGGCCTTATTTAGTTTTTCAGCTCAACTGGATCAAAATCAATTTAAGAAAAATGAAAACATAACCATTCTGAAACTGACACCTCCCCAAAAAACCAGATTAAAAATTCACTGAAATTTTTACTTGATCAATCGAAATAACTTGGTCACAAAAGGCTGCCTTTCAGAAGGCACAAGAAATTGGCCAAATCCTTCATGAACCAAAAATCCCGCACGTCTGATGGCAGGAAACCATTTTCTTTATATGTAGGATGGACACTCAGACAGGCTTACTTAGCTGAAAACTGCAAGTAGGTAATTTGCAATAATGAAGACTCTTCACTGCACATCACCCACAAACAGTTTGGGAGAAGACACTTTTGACTCGAGAAACATTTTCTTTTGATCGAAGGACAGAAACTTGGTTCTGATAGCTTTATGAACCATTATTTTTGAAAACAAACTCAAAGGAAAGCAAACAAGTAGAATAATAATTAATGATCAAAACCACAACAAAAAGGAGATTGATTGAAAAGAATGACTGACCTGAGTGACATAAAAAAAAATCCCAAAAGGATCAAGAGAAAACGTCTCCATGTCACAGGACTTTCAAACCCAAACCAATAAAGTCAACTCAAATGTACAATCAAACAACCTTCAAAATATTGAAATATGGTAACAAAACACCCCACAAATGGCAAGATCTTATTCAACTTAAGAAACGTTAACTCCGAAAGAAGTCCTCAATGCAAAGAAACTGTTTCATTATTTATCACTAGATGTCATCGATTTACACAAAAATGTTTGTAATAAAAGCAAAGCGTAATTCAGTGTGTCCACTGAGATCTAAATTCATCAAGTTATAGATATTTGTCCTAATTTATATTAATTTGCAATTATGCACAGAAGGCTCCGGACAGTATATTTTCATTCAGTTTACATATTCACCGATGCCACGGCCTTCAGCAAAATTTTACAAACTATGATTTTCATTACAATTCTTCCATCTACTTTAACATGTCTTTGACATTTTTAAATACTGCCGTTCTACTTTTTGCTCAAACTTGTGCCACCTGCTATTCAACAAAGACAGAATACACCATAGAAACAGTGATGAATTCGTGTATTTACCACAGAAGTACCACATACATGTATACAAAAACAGCATGGCTAATGTAGGAGATGTGGCTTGTTTCACAGTACCGAGCAGCTCAGTTCTAAAGTAAGTTTTACAAATGTTAAACAGTGCAAAAAGTAAAGGAAGAAATTTCCTGATCAATGCACTGTACAAAAATACCAGAGCTGAGTAAGTGAACTTGAGGGCCGCTTGCAGAGTTCAGTCCACTTGAGTGATCACAGCACTGATATATTTTCCAACACTGACAATGGGATGAACAGGATAAATACTTGAAACTATAGCTGTCCAAAGTTTTGGACACTTCATGCTTTTACACAGAACAAGAATTTTCGTCGAGTTCACAGCCGCCCTAAATGGCTTTGCATACAGTCTGGAATCGAATTTCACACTGTCCGCTTAAACTGATGTTGGTCTTGTGCAGCTAATGACCATAAAAGTCTGGTCTGCTGAACAATAGAAGGTGGACCTCTTTAGAAACACCCAAGCATGTCCAGTGTTGGTGCTGTTTGATCAACTTTGTATGAGGATATGCTGAAACAGATATCGTTCTTGAAGTCATCCAATGCAACAGACAAAAGACTAGCAACTGCATTTTTTTGTTCGTATACATGTAGGAGGTACTACAGTGGTTTTATCAAACTAATCCTGTCCAACGAAGTTTGTGAGCCACTCGACCATGACTCTAGTGACTTTTAGATGAAAATCAAACCCCGATACAGATAACTGATTCACTAAAACCTAAGTTGAATATGTCAAAAAGTGAGATGTGCGCATGCACACTATGAACACTGAACTGGCTACTCATGACATGGAGAAAAATGTACATTGCAGTCTAGAGCTTGATAACGCAGCATAAGAGGGCCAGCCTAGATCACTGGTACCCCATTCCCTCATCTGTCCAGGCTGCCTTGACGGTCCATGGAGTCTCGGAATGGCCGGCGCGAGGTCTTGTCTTTGGAGAGAGGGTCTATCTCCAGGGGAGTCTGGTCCAGTGAACACCAGTCCGGCACCCGGCCAAACTTGAGATAGGCGTCCTTGGACAGGGACCGGTAGCTGAGGATCTCCAAGGCCCCAAATATTGCACCTAGGTGTGAATGGGTGAAAGCGGAGAAGGGAGACCAAAAAATAATAAAAGTGAAGCGTACAATCCATGTGCAGGGCATTTGGCATGGTGAGGACTTGCCCTTAAAGCTGGGATTCATTGACAGAGTTTTTGTCGATATTTTCTTTTCTTCTCAACATTATGTAAACACTCACCAAATACAACAGAACAATCATTAGTAAAGCAAAGCAAAGTGAAGCAAAGGGGCCACTAAACATGACAATTTGATCAAACTCACCCAGATAAAGAGACATTTACAGCACAACTCAGAGTCCGAGTTACTGACTTCTGTACAAATCAAAGAAATTGAGTCTGGCCCCTAGACTAAACAATAGGCTTAACACACACAAACCCAGGCCAGAGTTTTGTTAAGAGGTACATGTATTTCTCACCTCCTAGCCAGGCTGTGTAGTTTGCCTGCGATGGTGGCTCGTGGATCTTAAACTTGTCGATGGCCAGCTCCGCCTTGTAGCGAGGCTTCTGCAAAAGCTCCTGCAGCTCGGCCAAGAGACGATGGTTGAAGCCCTGCAGACATGATGTACCTCCAATGGTGACCAGGTTACCGGCCAACTGCCGACGCATGTCAATGGGACACTGAAAGTACAGACTTGGCAATATCACCAGCTGACACCGGTTTCATTTCAAGGCAACCTTACCCTGGGCATGGCACTATTTTCTTGCCAAAAATGACATTTTTAAAATGACAGGATGCCACAGTCAGAATTCGTTACAAAGTTGGACTTCACATATGTCATTCTACAATAGTTCTCACCACATTGTCTATTCTGTTATCTGAGAGAAAGTCATAGAGTGATATTTACCACCAATGTTGTGCATCAGGTCAGTTTGAACAGGCCAAACTAACCGGAAACATATATACATGTACAAACCAAATTCTACCCAAAGTGGATCTAATCTCCCCAAATCCGACCCGATCTGAACCGAGAGAAATTAAGGAAAACCATCCCGAACTGACCTGAAACCTAACACTAAGCACTGTTGCAATGTATCCATTGTAAAGTCCCAGATGAAGTGAAGAAATTAATACCACCGGAAAAAAAGCATGTCTCTTGGTCATACCGAGTGCTGGGACTGCAGTAATGATGCACAATGTGAATGAACCAAACTGTTTCATATTTGCCCATTTATTTCGAGTTATTAGAGTTTGAACATGGATGGCTAAACCAAACTGGCTTAAAAAATTGCAATGGCAAAACCAAAACTGGCCCAACCTGAAGTGAGGGTAAACTCACCTTGAGAATAGAGTCCAGGATGAGCGTGGCAAGGGAGGTTTCCTCATTATCCTGATCGAAGAGGACTTCACAGGCCATCTCCCTGGTGTCTCCACTGATGGTCAGGATCTTACCTCCATCCAAAGGGTACTCCACAGCTGCTGGAAGAGAAGGCCGCTATGCACATGTATGAGAAACAAACCAAAAAAAACCTGATAAAAATACAAAAAATCGATCCTGCTCCATACACATACCCCTCCTCACAGCCCAAAAGGAGAAAGGCCAAAGGGGTGGATGGTTGATCGGAAATCGGGCAATTGGTACCCAATACCCAGTAACAATAAGCCTTTTGCAAGTTAGATTTGAACAAAATCTGGTACACTGAGTGCTTTAAATTGACGTGAACATAACAATTGCAATTCTCCATACTAAAGATGCTGTTGCTATACCTCATGATTCGGGGCAAGTTTTTGCTTAGTTACACAAGAGACACCTTGCACAAATACACTGTTTTCAATGGATAAGAAGGGCACAAAGGAACCAGTCCATTATGATTCCAGAGATGGTGGTGACCATTCAAAAGCTTGCCCCGAATCACGAGGTACAGCAACAGTATCTTCAGTCTGGAGAATTCATATTGCTATGTTTATGTGCAATCACATAACTTGGTGTACCAGACTTTATTCACATTTATCTCTCCAAAGACTTATTGGTCCATCAGCTCTGTGCCTCCGCTCAGCATGCTGCTGTTACGTGAGACCTTGTCTCAAATCAGCCCTTCCACAAACTCTGAAAACTTACTTTTGAGGAGCAATGCGGAATCCCTTGCAAATCTCTAACTGCTTATTGAATGAATGGCACTGTCCTTAAGCTGACACCAAAAACTGATTGCCCATGCAAGTGCATTTGCACTAGCTTTGTAATGGTACTGGCACATGAAGAGCTTCAAAGGAAATAGACATTTCCATGACCCAAAAGGCTGATGATTTCATGTTAAAAAGAATGGACACTGTACTAGTAGAAAAGCTTTTCATTACAAGTTACTCAGTTAACTGAATAGCTGAATAACTAACTGCAAGGCATTCTCTTGACCCCTCTTTCTTTGCAGTTCAGCATGTCACTGTTGTGAACAACGAACATCAATAATAAAAAAGGTCAACTGAAGTGTCCATATCACTTTCAGTGAGGTGGTATTGGAATAAATGATATAAAAGAAACATAAAGGTAAAGATGGAATTCAATGAACATCATATACTCCTTGCAGCCCTATGAACAGTACTGGCCAGAGTACATCAAAATACCAGTACTCCAAAGCAGTGGAGGAGATATTTAAAGGCTAAAACTATGAAACCACCCATACTTCGGTGAAATGTAAAAGGTATAGAAGTTAGGGAGTAACAGTTTCACCACGGAAACAGCAGCAAAATTTGACATTTTGATATTGTGATTTGCCACCTTTGGGAATGAACAGTGAATGTCAGTACTGAATTTAAAGAGAAAAATCTTCAGTTTGGAAAATGCCAGGTAAAGATAGGCTCTGCCAATGATGTCAGCTTCTTCTGCTTGGAATGGCCACAGCAACATGTCATCCACTCGTGAAAATGTCAGAAATTGTGCTGTGGAGGGGAAACACAGATTTCCCCCCCAACTCGGCCCATTTGCAGGTCACTCTCAGGCAAGAAGAACACATGTCCATCAGAGATCGATCCACACAGCTACAGTAGGTGGCAATTTCCACTGTACATACACCACGCAGCTGGCCTCTGTATTACAGATATTTATCTTTGCATTCATCCTTGTATTGTTGGTTAGATTATGAAGTGTACGATAGCAAGGTTGCATCCTCCTCTGTGTATTTTAACTGAACCCGGCGCCAAGTGGTTAACTAAAGAAACTCAACTGACAGTTACCTCTATTCAAACATAAGGGTACAGTCAAACAAAAAGAGCAATGGGCAACGTATGCCATTACACATCCAACACTGAACACTGAAAAAGTTTGAAAAACAACATAGGTACGAGAAGACTGATTACAGAAACAAACAAATACGTAGGCATATCCATCCTTTTTTAACCCTAACCCTCCTCAATCCTTCACCTGTTGGAGGACTGAGGAGTGTTAGGGTTAATGAGGGCCCCAAATGGTCAGCTTCTGCTAAATGGGTTACCCTCAATAGAGACGGTTGAAATAAAACTACAAAAATCCTCTTTGATGGCTCTAAATTTGATTGCATTAACTGGAAAAAGACATTGGAAATGAGACTGAGAGTTGGTAAAAATATGGTCTTCAATGAGAAAGAGGCTTTATGTAGACTAACTAACATAAACCCAACAGACCAGACCAAGACCTAAAGCATGTGTGCACACACATGTAAGAACAAAGAGAAATACTGTACAGAACAACTTCAAAAAAGTAAACGTGGAAACAGGAACTAGGAACCCCAATCTGAACAAGTGAAGCAAGATATGGGTTTGAAAGCATGTTCTTGAAAATAAACTTCTTCACGACTGAACTTGGCTGGGAAAATTTAAACTACATGTACATGTACGTGTATTTCAAAAACTTAAACAGTAATATCTGTAACTAAAATTCTGTTGGATTGACATCCATGTGCACTGTACATACTCCTGCAGAGAAGACCCAATAATTCTCACTAAAGGGGTGATGAGAATTGGGTTACTTGAAGAGCAGCAAACCATGAAACATTAATTACAAGTGCTGCACAGTGTTGAGGAAAATATTGATCGCACGGCACTGGCCGCGAAGGTAACATCAGTACGGTAAGTTCAATCGTTACCATGGCAAACAGTTGTCCGGTTTCTGTGCTAAATGACTGAAACATGTGTATCTTGGAAACATTCACTCAGGCATTCAGGACCACTTTGAAAAATAAAATCAATTACTGATGGAAAAATCATTGGCAATGGGCACAAGGCAGTTGACACCGTACTGGGCTATGTGTAGGCCTAGAGCTGCCGACAGTGGTAATACAAAACAGTGGTCAGGCGAGCAGAGACATCATTCTTCTCCTGTCAAACATGCTGTGTGACAACTTGACCATGTTGTTCCTCGGGCTTCTGTTCATAGGGATCAGCGTGATCAGAGTTGATGCAATCTGCCAAACCTGTCCACAAGGCTGGACACAACATGGCCGGTCCTGTTACGAGGTTCCCCCTCCCAGCGGGAACAGATTAACCTGGGTGGAGAGCCTTGAGATGTGCAGAAACCTGGGCAGCGAGCTGACGGTGCCCAATAGCCAAGGAGAGAACAGTTTCATTTGGGACATACGACAGTCAGGAATTGATGACAGAGGAGACAAGCACACCTGGCTTGGCTGTCTGAAAGTAGAGGGTGAGGGGTGGCTCTGTGAGGGGGAGGACCGGTGGCAGGCCCAGGCAGTCACCAACACCAGCACCATTTGCTCAGTCCACGATGCCAATTTCAGCATCAAGTGGACGGAGGAAAGCTGCACCAAACGCAAGCACATCCTTTGCGAACGACGGCTGGAGAAGTGCATCCCCTCCCTGCGCTGCACCACAGCCATCACCAGCACAGATGGTCATCTCGCCCGGCCCGGATGCCTGTTGGGCTACGCCTACAAGCAACTGCCGGTGCCACACCCATTGACGTGCTGCATCGCTTGCTACAAGGATCCTGACTGTCACTCCTTCAACATGTTCGGGGAGACGTGCCAACTCAACAATGTCGCTTTGTCCCAGGTTGATGCCGGAAACTTTTTCATAGAATCGGATGACTGCATGTACTATGATTTCTGAACCAAAGTTCCTAAAGTCTGGAAGTCTCAAATGCTCCAAACACACATCTCAAGGGCAGAGAGGAAAACATGAACACAACTGGTGATAAAAAGGATAACTTGTGTCCCTCATCATGGTGGAGCAGCTATTCTTCTTTCATGCAAAGAGCATCACTAAATTAATAAACACTGGTTAAAGTAACCAAACATGAGAATGGGAAGGACTTGTGCCCGTAGATGTCATCTTAAAAATGACATGAAGAAAATACCTGTATCTAGTTAAAAGGTATGTGGACGTGTATATACACACAACAGGCTGACATGTATTGCAAAGATGTTTCTAGCGGAAACAAATCTCGGAATGAATTGCTTATTTCTTTCTTATTACTGACTAAAACCTTTGGTGAAACTTAAGTGTACCAAAAATGTAGTTGTAAAGTAACAGCCATTCAATAACCAAAACTGCTTTAAACTTGTGGACATGAACTTGTGTATACATTATAAGGACTGCAACCTCTGTTCAAGTGCTTTACAATGAGAGTGTGCATCACAGATTGAGCATTAGCCTTGAGCCTCCTGGACCCTGGGAAAGGCCATGAAACTTCAGTAAGGTTTGGCACCATGAAAAACTTTGAAATCTGAAAAATTTTAGTCACTCAGAAATCATTACCTTTTACTGCCAATGTTATGGGTACAGTGTAAGGGATCTTTGATAAGGGAATAAATACATGTGCTGTAAGTGCAGGGCCGGTCTTAAAACATGTGTTTAAGACCAGCACAGGAGAATGGACGTGACAAATGCCCGAGCCGCAGGGCTTTTTCAAGTCAGAGAGTCAAAAAAAGCCAATTTACATGTATGACAGATTTTGTTCTAGAAATATACACGATACTTTCATTTTCCACAACACCTAGGTACATTTTACAGTATATTCCTTGTGCAAGTTATCCTGAAGAATCTCCATATATGGACTTGGTGTGCCCGTGGTCCGTTTTCTGTGCCGCATCGCAGGCAGATTCTTGACCAGTAAGGATGGATGAAACTGTTTCGTAACCAGGTGCCAGAGTGTTTTTTTACACAGCGGGCATTATCAAATTTCAGTGGGAATGATCAAATGTTAAAAAAAGGTCAAATGGTGCATTGTTAAATAGGGAAATGGTCTGAGGTATACATGAATACCATTTCCCTGCGTACAGGTACATGGTAAAAGCAAACCTTTCCGGTGAATAGCCAACTTCAAACTTTGTTGGATAACCTGAATATTACTTATTCCTGATCATGCTTTTGATTCTGTTAATGAAATGGTAAATTTTGTGTTAAGTGTAAATTATGTAAATGAAAATTTCAAGAGAAAGATAAGCTTAATTCAAGTTCTACATAACAGGTGTACCGTACAGTAGTTGTCTAGTATGGTTATCTTAACATATTTGTGAACTTATACATGTATTCTTTATCAAATGCCTTGTCTGGCGATGGTAGTTACAGGGTCACAGGCTGCTCTGGTGTTTGACTTTGCACATTGATTTGTTGTTTTAAACATTACTTCTCGTACTATATTAATGCCACGGTAATGCCAGTTTTAAAAAGTCTGAGCACAACTAAGATCTATGCACTAAATGATGTGAAGTCTGATAGGAAACATCCTTTTGATATTGCTGATGTATACATGTATATGTACCTCTTGGATCAGGATTTCTAAGCAAATGGTCATTTTATTTATTACCTGAACAAAGTTTGATATATGAAAACATTTACCTGCACTGCTTCATCCTAAAATAACCAAGCTATACAATAGATTTTGATACTTTTACTAATACTTATCCTTTTAGTAATAATTTTATCAAACTTTGAAAATACAATGTCATTCAATCGTTGTGCACTTACCAGTACAAACATAACCTAGGATATCCATGCATGTACATGTATGGGCGTGCATAGCAATGTTATATTTTGGCACCACAGATGGATAGCGATTCAACAAGACATTTTAGTTCGTACATGAAGCATCTTTATAACATCGTTGTTAATATCCCGGACAATGTACAACTTAAGAAGCTCTTGGAGCCTGTATAGGACTCATTTGGGTATACACGTACGTGTATGAGATGTGCTTTGGCTATGATGCTGTATTTGTTGTTATGCACAAGGATTCTATGAAACTGATTATTAAATATTGTCATTAAATAAGCACAATTTGTTATGTCTCTGCAAAGAAACATTTCTGTAATTAATGAAAATGGATCTGTATACGGAATTTCTTTTTTCCCCCATTATAGACGGATTGACTGATGACTGTTACTTTGTGTATTTGTTTAGAAATAAATTGATTGATCCTTAAATTAGAACATTCCTGTATAAAGTTGTCACTATTTCTGCTTGATCAACACAAGCTCAGTTACATACACAGTATGATGTGCTTTCATCTTATAAATGTTGAAACCTGGAGTGGCGTTTTGGTTTTTCGTGACTCACGATTCTTGTAGGGTCAGGGTTGGAATCCGATGGCTAGGCATGTTGAGTGTTTTGGGCAAGTCATTTACCACAGTTTGCTTCTTTCCACCCACGGCGCAAAATTTGGCTCCAAAAGCAGTTTGGAATGCCAGAAATGTATCACGGGAGAATAATTTTCTGTAAACTGTTTCCTGCTGAGAAAACATGATACCACCACTACCATGCAGATAAACACCAGCTCTATTAACTAAACTGGCTTGAGACTGGCATTCCTTGCTTGAACCAAACCTTCCCAAATCCTACCAATTCCAACAGTTTTTTGGAGTCTTTTGCAACATTGAGGAAGGTATAGCTGAGCCTGGCCATTATTCCTTCACACAGACCTTGTCGACGCCCGTTGGAAGCTTAAAAACAAACTAGAACGGCAAAGCCCCCCTCACTGCTTCGTTTGAATCTCAATTTCTTTAGCTCAAAAGCAGCTCATACCTTATTATGAGTCATCCATGCAAATTACAAAATGTGCTTAAACAAGGAATCATGCTAACCAAGGAATCATGCTAACCAAGGAATCATGCTAACCAAGAAATCATGGTAACCAAGGAATCATGCTAACCAAGAAATCATGGTAACCAAGGAATCATGCTGACCAAGGAATCAGGCTGACCAAGGAATCATGCTGACCAAGGAATCATGCTAACCAAATGCAAGCTTGCCACACTTTTTAAAAACAGCACGTAACGAAAAATAAATGACACTTTAAAGGTTTCAACCCCCCCATCATCCCATCCATCTCCCACTCCATCCCATTCTATCATTCCATCTTTCTCTGACTCTGCCCCATTCCATCCATCTCCAACTCCACCTTCCCCATCCCATCATCCCATCCATCTCATACTCCATCCCATTCTATCATTCCATCTTTCTCTGACTCTGCCCCATCCCATCCATCTCCAACTCCACCTTCCTCATCCCATCATCCCATCCATCTCCAACTCCACCTTCCTCATCCCATTATCCCATCCATCTCCAACTCCACCTTCCTCATCCCATCATCCCATCCATCTCCAACTCCACCTTCCCCATCCCATCATCCCATCCATCTCCAACTCCACCTTCCTCATCCTATCTACTCTTTCCCCTTACCCAATCATACACACCTGTTTCCCTTTACATGTGTGGCACACATTGTAATTGACCTGTACAATACAACTGTATGCATACGGTACTGTATTATACATGTATGCATGGGTAACACAAAAACTTTTAACACTTTGGGTTTAATTTCTTTATTAAATATGTACATGTAGGTGAACAACATTTCAAAGCAATAATCCCACATAAAGATCAGGTGCTAATTAACTCAAGACTGAAATAAACAGGCACAAATGACACATACTATACCCACACCTAAAACTTAACACTGAGCGGGCCACCAGACATTCGGCCTGTGCAGATGGACGGACAGACAGAAATCTGTATTAGATCGGCTAACATTTGCTTTCCAGCTTACCAAAAATATGTCACTGATTTCCAGCACGTTAGAAGATTTTGGACAATGTGGGACAATTCAGAACAAAAAGGGCTGAGGGAGTGAAGGTTAAAAAAGTGGCTAGCAATGAACGACTTGGATCTTTGTCTCTTATCTTCATGACTGGATTTCCTCATTTCAAGCAGATGCACATCATTCCACAACAAGATACGAAGGCCTGACACGTCCTGGACAATTAAGATTAAAATCTGACCACTCCAAACAGTATGAAAACTGCTTAGCCACTAGAATCAAAATCCACCATTTACCTTGCTCGAGTCTGACTGAAGTATGCTCTGCTGGATAAGCCTTATTCGATCCATATTGGTGACAAAACAGGTTCTCACTAGAAGTGAAAGGGGAAAAAAAATTGTCACTGCATTTTCTTTCAATAAACAAAATCTTTCCCTCCAACACAACAGTCATGTCACAGTTGGATTCATTGTAACTCTCCAACAGACTACAGTGCACACAGTAATGAAGTGACTGAACCAGAGGCATTCCTTCGCTGCCGCTCGTCGTTCATTTACTTGTTAGCATTAATTTATGAGGTAAACCAACCAGCTATCAGACCTGCCACAGACTCAACAACTACACCCGGAAAAAACAATATTTTGGATGTTACATGTATGTCCAAAGTTTCTTATCGTTGTAAACGGACTGTGGATGTATCTTGTTATTAAAAGAAAGTATTTGGGGATGAAAATAATACCACGCCTAGGACAAATTCACTGTGGAATAATGCCTTGGGCAAGTAGTTAATAACTGGCTCCTCGGGTTCTGCTGACTTCGACCAGTTTCCCTTGTCTATACAAGTGTGAGGCGGCCCATATCAATGATTTTAGTGACACCTAAGGCTTTTCTGTTGAATTTTACCACCTCATACTTAAAACAGACAAAGATGGAAGGAATATGCCAAATAACTTAGATATGTCACTAACAATAGATCAGTTTCAAATTGCCCAGAGTGATAAAGAGGGACACAGAATACAAGATTGATGTATTTCAGAGGGGAAATTTGGAGTAAATATACTATTAGAATATAAAGAATTTCATTTTGACCTTTTTGAAAATATTCGCTTTTGTTTCATGCTCTACTAAATTTTGGCAAAATTTGTTTGACCACCTCACACATGTCAGTGCCCCAGGGGAAACCCTGGACCATCAAGCAGCCAATAAGCAAACAGTACCAAGGAGTTTGTGTGACTTCTGCTCAAACCATACTGCATTTTCTCAGCCCCCCTTTGGCCTACAACGCATCCCTTCATCTCTATTGTCACTGGCAATTTGTGGCCTGTTTGGCAAAATGAGTCAAAAGTCGCCAGAACCACTTTAGAGCTAAAGGCCTTTGAAAAAGTCCTGTGCTATGGAAAGCAATAAGAACCCTCAACATTTTCATCCACAGCAATATTCATATTCATCAGGATACCAACATTTCTAAAAAATGGCCTTATTCACAGAACAGGTCACATTTAAAGCCTCATTTCACTGAAACAGTACCTTGAAGTTGATACCAGTGAGCTCTTCAGCGGTATGATGCTATAATGGACCAACTGTTGTATGGCATATTGCTCTGAGCCAGTCAATAGTCAACTATAGCCTCATTTCACCGAACCAGTACCTTGATACCAGTGAGATCCTTGGTGGTATGATGCTACACTAGACCAACTTTTGTACGGTACATTGCTCTGAGCCAGTCAATAGTCAACTATTACCCACCTTTGATGTCCTCTAGTGTCTCCTCTGGGATGGTGCTTATGACAGATGACAGCGGCCTCTCTCCATTCCCCTGACCCTTTACCACACCCTCTTCTAAGAGTTTCGCTTGCAGGTTGCTGAAGAAAAAAGGTAAAACTTTAATTCAAATATCCAGGAAAGAAAAATACCTATAGACTAATCCTGGCAAAGTCAAGCCATTACTGTGATGGTGACCATAGGCATCTAAATGAAACCTAGAACAAACGAGTCATTACAAACGTGATGCCCATTTCTACTGCACACAGAATGATATCATACGCATGCAGGAACACTAAGACATACATTAATGCCGGGTCCACTGCGTCCGCTTGATAAGTATTCAAATTCAAAGAGAAGGATTGAGCGTGCGAAAACGCACCTCACTTTCGCCTGCACACAATGAATTGGGACATGTCTGGTCTCGGCTGTGCTTACATGTCTATGGTGGTACTAGGCTCACCTGGGGTGGTATGCGCCCACTGCATTCCTCTTCTACCAGTTTGGTCCGGGAGAGACAAGTGAGGGCGCCTTTTTATATAGAAATAACGGTCCTTTGGTGTGAACTCGTCGTGTGTGTACACAGGTTTATGTGCCCTTGGTGTAAGACACGCTGAGCATGAATTACCAATGTATATTGGAATGTACAGTATTTGCTTGTGCGTAATGTGCATGCACAAGCCCAGATGAAAAACTTGCCGCCAGCCCTTGTGTCCTTTACGGTTGAGGGTACAAACACATGCATAAGTGTGATAGTGCTGCAGTAATGACATCACCTTTGCATTACCGGTAGTGCATATACATGTAAATACACTAAAAAATCTGGGACAATATTTACATACATTGACCGTAAACTGAATAGACTACTGATTGCCTGTTCTCATCAATAGACTGATCTGATTAGACAACATAAGGTTGTCCGCACCGCACTCACACGCACATTCTTCAGCTTGACGCGTGCATGCATTTGGCAAATCATGACACCCTATTGGCCAAAGAGGCATGTAATGCGCGCGCACCACCTGTCCAAGAGCGTTGTGCCATCACAGTAACGGCTTCTTATTCTGGTTGTCAAATTACAATATAGGTACACCTGCACACTGGAAAAAATATCTACGACTACTCTCCGACTACATAAAAAAATTCTTGTCAAGGCTCTACTGTATTTGACTAGATTCAGGACAAAATTATGTAGACCTCAGATTGCATTATGTGGGGCAGGTGTTGTGTCCAATTGTTGCAATTCGCGATGCAGTGAGCCCCCGCATCTGCCTCAAAGAGGTCCGTTTCCAATTTTATCGGCTGCAAGTACAAAACTGCTTTGAAGGACAAGGTGTTTTACAATCTGCTTGCCATAAGTCAACAAACAAAAGAACTACTCACTTGAATGATAAAAAAGCAAGGGTTGGGATGTTTATATAAATCCTTCACAGGAACAGTATTTACCAACCTGTGAATGGCATTGCCGCCTAGAGGCAGGGCCTGTACACCCTTGATTATGGGCACTCCTTCATAGATCTGGGCATCCCTGTAGTCAAGGAACACTGGGAATGTTTCAGTTCCATTTAGTGTGTAAAAATAAAGTCTTTCTGCTGTCAGCTTTGTGTAATGTCGAAAACGTAGGTACGTATGGTAGAGTGACATTGCCTACTGATCCAATGACAGGATTTTAGCCACAGGGGTGTCAGTGAGTCTTCTGGATACCTTGTGGGGTATTTTGGACCCATCTTTTGTAATACAAATGTACATGTATGTCGATGCATACTCCTTTGACAACTTTGATGGCAGCTTTTTTTTTAACCGAAGCAAACTGGTCAGCCAATTTTTAAATGCTACGCACATGTAAATACATGTACATGAACTTCTGGACACCATGTGGGCTATTTTGGACCCATCTTTTGTAATACAAATGTACATGCATACTCCTTTGACAACTTTGATGGCATTTTTTTCAACCGAGGCAAACTGGTCAGCCAATTTTTAAATGCTACGCACATGTAAATACCTGTACTTTCTTGAAAAAAAAAGAAATAAAAATGCTACGGGCCAAACTTCAGATAACGTACTAACTTTATTGCTCTCCTGTTCACTATTCCCAGCTCCAGGTTGACAAAATGTTTTACCTTACGGCAAATTAACTAAAGTTTACAAAAGGGATACTGGCAGGACAACGGTCTCCGAGTAACCAGCATCTAGGACAAGAGCTGTTTCAATGCCCAGGGTGAACAAAGCCAGGAGATGAGATGGAGCAAAGAGAATGGAAGGAACCTGCCAACAAATCATAAGCAAATATTTACCAGGGGGTGCAGCAATACCACTCACTTTTTTCTTCAACAATACATAAATGTACGTTACACGAACACGAAGGTCAAGGTACAGATGCACATGTGGGTAATTCCAGAAATCAGGGGTCCAAAAGTGTGACATTTTCCTGTCCCTGTTACATTTGACCTTTGTTTTTTGACATGGAAATATCACAGGAATTAATTTCAAACTATTACTATTTGTTTGGCAGGGAATTTGCATTAATTTATCACTCTTGGAAAATAGAAAATGTGTTTTGAACTTACAAAATCATACGTCAGAGGTGAAAGGGACACGAGATAAAATGGACTTCTAATTTCTGGAATTACCCATGTACCATGACACATGTAAAGCACCTGTGACAAAGTTTTTATACTTGAGTGCAACGGCTGAATTCACTCAGGAATCATCACCATTTGGGTCAGAGTTCCACATTCGTGCATCACAAACTTCCTCTGCAGTGCATTACACGTAAAAGGTATTAACCCAGAAAAACATAACACGTCCCATAAAGTCAAATTAAGCAGGGAAAATATTGAAGCACTTAATTAGAAAACACAATTTTTCAGAGCAGTCTCAAAGGGTTTACGCACAGGGTGTCGAGTGATGTCCGAATACGGATCTCTTTCCTTTGGTTTAACACTTGTTGCAATTCTGCAAAATTGACGTTGCTGCTTGTTCTCAAATGATCGGAGTGTTCTCTTTTTCTTCAGGTCGCAGAAGATTTGGACAGCAGTTCATACAAAAATGTTTGTCTAGATTTATTCAGAGCCAAACAGTGCAATTCCAAGTTTGTATTTTTGTTTACGCCAAGTCATAGCAATCTGTGTGCCAACATTTCAGCCTGCAGTCAGTTCAATCACAACTTATGGGCCTTGAGCTAGACCGAGAGAGGGCATGATTTTCCTGGCAAAAGAGGCTCCTTTGGTAGGAATTTCACTAGTTCAAGAATGACCACGACGTGCACGCAAAGCATGCACGTCCCTACCAACAAAACTACATGTAACACTCCCAACCAGCATGGCTCATTTGAACCAATGAGGGGGTGCTTCTGCTCGAGGCAGATTGTCAGGTATAAAATGACAGGAAGCGTACCTCATAATGCTTGAACAAAACCTTGGCCAGTGTTTCTCTGAACTGTGTCGGGCACAGTACAGATTCACAGATGACCAGTCGTCTGTCTCTGGGGTTGACCAGTAGGTGGCTGGAAAAAAAAAGGGAGCAGTGGTCAAGCAACCTTTTGACTTCCTTTGCAAAACAGTCATATTTAAGAAACAAATAATACTTGGCTAATGTACAGAACATAAAGGCCCTCCCGCATTGTGTTTAACAGTGCAACTTCCATGCTTTATATATAAACAATGAAAGATGTTCAGTGAATGCACACTATCTGTGTTACTGAATACACTGATTCACCAGCATGGGAAGGGGGAGGAGTCAACCCCCCCCCCAGGACTGGCCCAATCATAAGGATTTACACTGAAGGTGTACACTGTTTCCTCTGCAGTTACATTTTAAGAGAATTTTCTCACATACAAAGTATACAGCAACATACTTCGCACAGCATGAAGACAAATGTAAGCAAATGAGGTGTTCATCCAAGGCATGTTTCCCCCAATGTCATTACATTTGTACAAGGAGCTGGAAGGATTAATACATTTCCTAGAGTTTTACGAAAGAAGTAGTGTACACCAAGAGCTACAGATGTGCAAAGCATCACGAGTTACATTAATTGCTGCCTAAATCCACACATGTACATTCAGTGCAGTGTCACATGCAGATCGGTGTTAGGCCTACTGTTAAAAATGAATTTCATCCAGTGAGCACTTGACAAACTTGGATCGTGTTTGCTCAAAATATGTACATGTAGCTGCCCTTTCCGGCACCCTGTAAAGGTAGGGGCATCTACATTACACTCTCCACAGAATGGCACTCTTCTGTGCAACTCACCGGAAGTACACAACGTGGAGGAAGTCCACCAAGACATCGTACAGTTCCTCAGAGTTGGAGAAGTCCCATACCCTTATCAACTTTCCTGAACGTGGCTGCTTCACAGAGGAAGCAATGATTGCACGCGGCCCGGTTTCATTGGCAAAACCGATTCTGGGAGAGGGACAGAGAGAAAAAAAAACATCATGGAAGCAACAACATTTGTCTACTCTATCTTCGCGACTTGTTAGGACTTGTCTGAAACGTAGTAGGCCTGGCCCAGATGTCAATAAAAAAAGGCCCCAAAATAACTTTTCTTCATTGTGTACAGTTGTTTGTCGTATTGTATTCCATCTTCTATGACTCAAATTGACTCGAGCTCAACAGGCCTACATGTAGTCTTACTGAACTTAACTCGTCTACACAGTGTGACTTGACTTCTTTACCCCACATGACTCCAGTCACTATATTAACATTATCCACACGACTGTGGGGTTCTTTGTCTGCCATGAACCCTACAGTTCAGGGGACAGGCCTACATGTACATTAAAATGACTCGACTCTCAGAGTCACAAAATTTAGTGACTCATTTTTACAACTCCGCTACATTTGGTGATGATAGGTTACATAAATGAATCTGACGTGCGTGACCGTTTGTTTGCCCTTTGCCGGGTCCCTAATTTCGCCACCTATTGTCAAGTCTGCTTGGTTTTCACAGTAAGAGGCAAAATAAGGGACCTGGCGACTATATGGTCATACAACAGTGTTTGAAGTGCTAAGAGTGAGAATGGAAAAATTATCATGACATGAATGAAATTGTTAGGCCCCAACTACAACATCTGTCCCAACTAAAACTGGGATAGTCCCAACCGTAGTGCTGCAGTTGGGCTGGCCCAACTATTGTTGACCAATTTCTATAGAAATTTTCTCAACCTTATCCAAGGTTTAGCATCTTACACTTGACACAATTCATCTAAATATGGCACCTCATCTATGTCACGACACTGTAAACAATGAATATGAGTTTGGCACATGCTGGACCTCTGTGCTATAGCACTGTAGTTGGGATGGGCCCAATTACAGTTGGGACTGATATTATACATGTAGTTGGGGCGTAACAAAACTTTGTATAAATGGTATAAAATGGTATACTCCTCTGTAACATTAGGCCTCTAGAGATATTGACCAAAGATCGTATAGCACCGCATAGTGGCACAAGATGAACACCTTCACCGTAAATATGGCTGAAATTCTGTAATCGTGTGGGCGCCATTTGAGCAAGCAATATTCCTGCGCAGTGCACGTTAATGAACAGGCGCAAGTGCCGCAACAAGCACCAACACTACCCTCAGAACTGTGGGGTCCAATGTCTGCCCCAGTCAGGGCGAATCCCACAGTTCTGGGGGTAAACGCACACCCGCTGCACCTGTGAATTAATTTGTACTGTGCAGGCTTGCCCAAATGGTGCCCATAGTGATTACACCTTTTGGGCTGAGTTATCCATCCTGTCATACTAAACTACCGCCAACACGCAGCGGACTGTCAACACATCGTCAACACAGCGTCAACACCTCCAAAACACGTTAAAAAACAAAAGAAGTGGTATTCAACAGTAAAGTGTTTATTGAGAGGATATTTTGGCTAAACATCAACAGATTTAACTCTGGAAAATTGCCGTTTTCATTTTGCTGAAATCGCCTCCCTCAATTCAGCTCAGAAATCAGCAGCCATGTTGCCTTTAGAGCAGCTGGGACCATACCATTATGTTAGACGGGTGGTAATATTATGAATTAAAGAAACAGGACAGTTGGATCATCCACAAAACGTACAGATTCCATGACGGGAAGTCATTTATTATTTTTTTTCTTGGGAATCACAACAAAAGAAAAAAGAGAGAAAAACATCAACATCCAAGTAGACGGCATAAAAAAGATAAAAAAAGAAACCAAACAGCTCACAAAGGAGGGCACATTGTAGTTAAAAATTTTTTAAATGATTGAAATTTACAACATGGCATTACCTCCATACCCACACCTAAATGGTACAGTGCAAGTTTCATGAGGAAGTATGATGGCGGCAAACCGCTACGCTGCTAAAGGATCTTCTTTTGTGTGTGTGTGTGAAAAAAATCCATTTTGAAAACTGATTTATGACCCCGAACTACTGGAAAGTCTCTTTCAATCCAAGAATTACACTTCTATGCCTCTTTTGTCAAATTAACTTGTATTTTCGGGGAGTTGACGGTGTGTTGTTGACGGTAATTAGTAAGACCCTTCTCCAAGCTTGCAGTGTGATAACATTCAACATGATGAATCATGAAGGCACTGGCTCTCTGTTACTTGTTTAGTGCAATTGTTACGCCCCAACTATAGCATAAGTCCCAACTATAGTTATATAGCCTGTCCCAACTAGAGTGCTACAGTTGGGCCGGCCCAACTACAGCAGAGAGGTCCTGTGTGCATGTGCTCAGCATGTGCCCAAGTCATATTGTTTACAAATGTCATGTCATTGGTAATGGTGCTAAGTGCCACATTTTTGATGAATTGTGCCAAGTGTGACGGACACATTGACTTGGATAATGTTGAGACATTTCCCACAGACATTGGTCAACAATAGTTGGGCCAGCCCAACTGCAGCACGACAGTTGGGACTGTCCCAACTATAGTTGGTACTTATTTATGCTATAGTTGGGGCGTAACACAATCATGTAGGTCCATGATGCAATTCAAGGTCGGGTCTAGATTATGAGTATGATATGACGATTCTTACTTTGTATACGCGGCGCCAATATCAAGCACAACTGTGGTTTTTTCCACGGCCGACCCTAGTCCCTCGAAAAATGACATTCTCGTCTTCCAAATGTTAACAAATCATGCTTTATGTGCAGTGTTCGTTCATGGCTAGACAGTCATTGCTCCTAGTCAAAGATAGTATAGCGCCGCGTTGGTCCTAGTCTTGGTCCAAGACGCTGGTGCTGGCGGCATGAATTTGGTTCATAAACTCGCTGCCGCTAGGGGGCGTTATCATAATCAACCATCATGCGGCCACATTATTTTTGAGCAAATGACACATGGGTACGGACACTTTCATTTATTATTTTTATTTCTTGGGAATCACAACAAAAGAAAAAAGAGAGAAAAACATCAACATCCAAGTAGACGGCATAAAAAAGATAAAAATAAGAAACCAAACAGCTCACAAAGGAGGGCACAAAAGAAACAAAGCCTCTGGTGCCATTTGCCGGCCACTATGATTTGGGCGTACAAAAATATGGACCTCTACACCGCGGGCGTTCTTTATATACAGGGCATGACATTTGCATACAAATGGTGGTGGTCATGCGTACAATAATTGCTACACGTATACGGGTATGAGTCACGGACGTTCATCTAAACCCGTTGATTGAAGTCACGTACAAGAAATTTCTAAACTAACCAATGCAAACCCATGGAAGACTGCCATCACCTTTGATATTTTTGTCAAAAATATGAATAATATCAGTACTCCACACATTTGATTACTGCCTGATGAGGGTTATCAAAGTGATTAGCAGGAACAGACTCAACAGCTGTGATTTTAGGCAGTTTGTGTCTTTTCTGCATTTTGAACATGTAGCACATTCAACCCATCATATCATACACAAATGTTGTAGTCGTATAATTTTACAAAATCCATCTGTTTCAGGCTAGACAAACTCATCAGAAGCAGTTCAGTTTCACTGCATGAGCAGTCCCGTCCTCTGATAACTCAGTTCACATTCAGATAGTATCATTTATTCTTGAAGACCCTTATTGGACAGAAAGAAGTTAGGTTATTGTTTATCAACTTGCAAACACATCAATTCTTTAGCTTCATGTACTTTGTGATACATGCATGTTTGCTTGGCTAAAGTGGAAATTTTCTTGGCAAGAAAACCAGAAAAGGATCTCGAAAAAATGCACAGGAGTAGTTGAGGGGGTCTGTCTGGCACACTTTGACCTTTTCTTACGGCGAAATATGAACAGGTCACTAATGAGGTTGGGCTTTGGATACTGAATGACCGTAGGGAAAATTTCTGGCGAACCGCGTGGGAAGGAATGAAAATGGAATAAGTTTACAGGTGATTCTGGCAGAGTTTGACCTTTTATATAGGAAAGAAACAGTGATCTGACGAGGTAAAATATACGGGTTTGCAAACATGTTAATGAAAACAAGCATTTCATGGCAGGAATTGCTTAGAAAACTATAAACGATATGTATTTCAAAACGTTTACACTCGACACTGAACACTTCAATAGGGCAGGCAGCCAATTTTTCCTTCAAAAGAGGACATGTCTGGCAGTTGACAGGTAAATGCGTCCTTAATTCGTTAACTAAATGAGCTTAATTTCTTTTTTGGTCCCCAAAGCGGGAAACTCCATTTTCAAGATGTCTGTTATAGAATGGGTAACATGATTTGCCCATGCACAAAGCGATTTAGGCATGGAGGCATAATTTATGGTTAGGGCTTGTGGAAGCAAACACAGCGTCGTGGGTTCGAACCGAACTGCTGGCTACATGTGAATTTGAAAGCTAGTGAAAGACGAAATAAACACATCATACTCATGTACGCGATTTATACATGTACACAAAACAGCAAAACGAAAACTAGTTCTAAAAAAAAATCAGTCATTGAACAATCGAGTGAAACACCTCCTTTCGATTGAAACGTTTGGGACAGGGATGCCACAGGGTCTGCTTGAAAATACCAGGAATTTAAAACACTGACCAACGCAGCTATGTAACTGAGTGTAACTTGTTATTTGAATAATTAGAAAGGGGTTCCAGATCTTGTACAAGAATTTGCTTCGTATCTGAAATCCTCATCTTTTTTTATTATTATATTAAATTCATGTGAGTATTTTATTTAAACCTGGAAACACATTCCGGTAAACTAAACTAAACGTGAATTTTGTCCCCCTTGTTTGGCAAACAGAAATAGTTTGTTACCGTGTTTTTCGATGAATTTAGATAAGATTCTTCTGCCTTCACCAAGCCCTACGGCATAAGCTGCCAAACATCCAAACATTCCATTATTCTAGAAATAATTTATTTGGAGCGCACGAAATGATTTCGAACAAACAAAATTATTTCGAGCAATCGAAGCGATCTCGAGCAAACAAAATAAATTATTTCGAAGGAACGAAATAGTTTATTCGAGTGTACGAAATGATTTCGTGCCCACGAAATACAAACTGAAATTATTTTTGTTTTCTGAGTTTGTTTTCAACGCATGTCCCTTTAGGGGCTCCGTACTCTGAGCTTCGATGGCTTCAATTTGATTGCACCAACTGGAAAAAGAATATAGACTCAAAACCAAGAGACGATGTGGCATCCAATGCCAGCGATGATACTGTAGACTGACTGAAACAAACCCAACCTACCAGACCAAGACCCAAATCAAGTAACAGATGAATTTGGTAACTGGTACTAAGAAACCATGATCTGAGCAGGAAAAAAAAATTCAAACGAGTTTGCAAATAAATTCAAGGGAATGAACTTTTTCATGACTGAAATTGGTTGGGAAATTAAAATTTAAACTATACGTTTATCAAAACCTGTACAGTAAACTACATGTAAATTCTATATGTACTGTAGAAATATCAACAGAGCTGACCCAATAATTTTTACTTAAAATGAGACCCGGGTTAATTAATCAAAGTGAACCGTGACGTGCGGCACAGTAACAATGAAAACATTGACTGCAGAACATTGCGTTGTGCAGATCACATTAGTAGGATTCATCGATATCATGGAAACGAATGGTTGGATTGCTCTGCTGAATGAAGAAAATAGTCTACCTTGAGAAAAGTAGCTCAGGCATCCATTACTGGTGGAAAAGCTACGTGCTCAAGGCAGTCGTTATCTGCCTACGTGCCGACATTGATAACAGGGCCTATGGAAATGCAGCAAGGTGAATTGACATATCAATCTTCTATCAAACATGCTGTGTGACAAGTTGACAATTTTGTTTGGTGGGGTTCTGTTCCAGTGGATTCGCATGATAAGTGTTGATGCAATCTGCCAAACCTGTCCACAAGGTTGGACACAACATGGCTGGTCCTGCTACCAGGTTCCCCGTCCCAGCACAGATAGATTAATGTGGGTGGAGAGCCTTGCAAGGTGCAGAAACCTGGGCAGCCAGCTGACGGTGCCCGACAGCCAAGAAGAGAATGGTTTCATTTCGAACATGCGGCAGTGGGCCATCGCTCCCTCAGGGGCCAGGAACATCTGGCTTGGCTGTCTGAAAGTAGAGGGTGAGGGGTGGCTCTGTGAGGGGGAGGACCGGTGGCAGGCCCAGGCAGTCACCAACACCAACACCATTTGCTCAGTCCACGATGCCAATTTCAGCATCAAGTGGACGGAGGAAAGCTGCACCAACCGCAAGCACATCCTTTGCGAACGACGGCTGGAGAAGTGTGCCACGTCCGTGCGCTGCAAAGCAGCCGTCACTGGCGCAGACGGCCATCTCGCCCGGCCTGGATGCCTGTTGGGCCATGCGTACAAGCAAATGCCGGCATCCCACCCGCTGACGTGCTGCACCGTTTGCTACAAGGATCCCGACTGTCACTCCTTCAACCTCTCCAGGGAGACGTGCCAATTCAACAATGTCACCTTATCCGAGACTGATGCCGGAAAGTTTTTCACAGAATCGGATGACTGCATGTACTACGAATTTTGAACCAAATTTTGTAGTGCCTGGAAGCCTCAAACGCTCAAAACAAACACCCCAAGAACAGAGTGGAAATACATGTTAGACCTTCATCCAGGTGAGGCAGCTATTTTGCATTCATGGAAAGAGGATCACATAATAAATAAACCTTGAAATCCAACATAATTTATTTTAGTCACTCAGAAATCATTACCAGTCGTTGACAATGTTAAGAGCACAGCGTAAGGGTTTTTTATATCATTTCCTTGTGTACAGACACATTCTATGAAGCAAACTTTCTGTTGAATAGAAAACTTTAAAGTTGGATACTAAGCCATACCAAAACCAAGCCAAAACAGCAGCGGGCAAAGGGTTACGGATCAACGACAGTAATACTTACAACTGACGTTGCTTTTGATTGCGTTAATGAAATTATAATTTTTGTGTAAAGCATAGATTATGTACAGGCCTATTTCAAGAGACCAGAAGATTTCTGTTGAAGATAGGCTTGATTTAAATGCTACATAATAATGTACAGTAAATATCTGCTTTGGTAATCTTAAAATTTGTGTAAGCTTGTATTCTTTATTTAATGCCTCATGTGGCAAACCCTAGTTATCCAAGTGTGTTGACAAAGTGTGTAGACAAAATGAAGTCTGTAATGTGATAATGCATTAAAAATTGAATTTGGGAATTCCAAATTTTTATTTTAAACAATGTATTTTCCAGTAAACTATACATGTACAATGTAGATGATTTCAGTGTTTTTGGCTATTACCATTTCAAATTGTACATTTTATAGGATAATGCAGGATATACATGTAAGCAATTAATTCACTCTTAATACCGTCATCAGTCTAGCTTTGGCATAAAATAATTCTGCAATATTAGGTTTTTGGTTGGCGCAGTTGACCAGACTTAATAAACTTTTTAAGTTTTGCTGCCAGGTCCTGTTTGCAAAACTTTCTTTACAGTCTGTAAATCTGCCTTTGACCCTTGCGTATATCTAATAGCGTCCGCAATTCATTTCATGTAAAGTTTGAATACCGGTACATGGACTGTAAACGCCTTGTAGCGTTCCCCATTCGATAGTATTCCTAGCATTATGTGATGGGCACTTGACCGCTTGTCCTAACTACAGCCAGGCAGACCCTGTTTTCTATCCAACCGAGGTTGTCTCTCTACGGGCGAGAGTGCGCCTCCAAGAGTTTGCGACGCGTTGGCAAATCTCAACATGCGAAATCTGTCGACCTTTTCCAAACGCCCACTGGGTCGACAGATTTCGCGCATTGTGATTGGCCATAGCGTTGCAAACTCTTGGTCGCGCACTATTCTGAAACGCTCGTATGGCATTCACGGTAGTATTAATAATAAAGTGTGTGCATGTGTACGTGTCTGGTTGTTACGGGTACACGTAAACGTGCACACGAATGCGTACATGTTCCCCAACTGGAGGCAAGAGTATACGGGTCGCAGCTGCTCTGGTATTTTAACTTTCCACATTACTTTGTTGTTGTTTTAAACAGCACCTTACTTTCTGTTTTAATGCGGTGGAAATCCTGGTTAAAAAGTATGCACACAACTCCGTTATTACAGATTAACAATTTGTTATTATGGATTACCTGTACTAACACTACGAATTAGTAATTCGTAATAACGCATTAGTAATTCGTAACAACGTGTTAGTAATTCGTTTACCAAAGGTTTTTTTTCAGTGGCACGATTGGGCGTTCGTAGATGTGCGTTAATTATAGTGAGCCTGTAGATGTGCCCATCAAGAGTGCTACACATTAATAAAAAAACATACTGATTGCAAAACACTGCTCGTTGAGGTAATCTCATTATGCTTCATCGTTACCACAGAAACGAAGAGTTGGATTACCGGGCTCAATGAGGAAAAATAAGTTCCCTAGGAAAATTACTCAGGCATTCAGAAACACTATGAATGCAACAACTAGGCCTACTGATAAAAAAAAACTGATTCAACCTCTCCCTGCGCTGCGCTGCACTGCAGCCATCATCGGTGCAGACGACTGTCTTCAGGGCCAAGTCAATTCGAATAATTTACTACTCGAATATTCGACCTTCAACTCGATCGAATATCTGAATATTCGGTCTTACCGACCGGCAGTTGCTAAATCAGTTGCTATAACGTACACAATTGTGCATTATAATCACTAAAATAGCTTCTCACGTCTGTTAGCAACATTTAAGAGACGAACAATACTTCTTGCCCTGTTGAAAATTTCTCTTCCTTTTACATTTGTCCCCTAACCCCCTGGGGTGTATGTACAATCATACTGAAATCAGAGGAGTTACCACTGTTAGAAGTGAATAATTTGCTTTTTGAGTTGTTGTAAGATTTCTGTCACTTAACATTTCAATCTGCTTGAAACTAACCTCCACAGTGCAATTAATAAAACGAAAGAAAATTCTCCCTCCCTTTTCATGAATGTTGCATTCGAATATTCAAATTCGGAAAATAATATTCGCATATTCGATAATCAATTGAATTTCGGATATTCGGCCCAGCCCTCGTTGTCTCGCCAAGCCTGGATGCCTGTCGGGCCACGCCTACAAGCAAATGCCGGCGCCACAGCCGCTGACGTGCGCTGCACCGTTACAAGGATCCCAACTGTCACTCCTTCAACTTGTCCGGGGAGACGTGCCATCTCAACGATGTCACCTTGTCCTAGGTTGGTACCGGAAAGTTTTTCACAGAATAGGATGACTGCATGTATTATGAATTGTGAACCAAGTCTCTGGTGCCTGGAAGTCTCAAAATTTGCTCTAAAAAAAATTAACACACAATAAAAAGTGTGCCTGGAAGAAGGGCGTAAGCGCTTACGCACTTTTGCCTGGAAGCATGATTAATGAAAAAACAAACTTTTTCCGACAAAAGGACGTATGTATGCAACTGTTTTATTTTAAAGAAATACAAATATTTCTTCGCAAAAGTTTTAAAACGTTTTTCCCAAGTTGTTTAATAAGTTGTTAAAAGGTTGCTTTTTGTACAGCCTGTGTTGATTTTGGAGTATATTTATGCGTTTTTACTAAATAAAGAAAGTGTGGTTCTTACTCCGTTTTTTCTCTTTCTATGTTTTATTGATCATAAAAACGCAAAACATACATTACAAAGAATTCTTCCTCCCTTTTGCCGGGAACATTTTTCTGCTGTGATCATGCTTCCCAGGAAAAGGGCGTAAGCGCGCTTATACGCCCTTTGTCCAGGCGTACTAATGAATTAGCACAATTGGTGATGAAAAGGGTATTTTTGTCCCTCATCAAGGTGAGGCACTCATACCACTTTCACGCAGAGAGGCATAACTAAATAAAGAAACACTGTTTAAAGTAACCAAAGTGAGTATTGAGAAGAATGTGTCTCTGGGTGACATTTCATGAACTAGAAAGAAAATATGTAGCTGAAAATTATATTTTCGTACGCGTGACGGACGGTGTACAGTAAATAAAGGATGCCAAGTTGTGAACAGGTCATGAGCACCAACAGAGATTGATCTCTAACATAAAGATCTGCTTTCCTTACTTCGGGAAAGTAATTTTAATTGGAACTTGGAATCATGAAGCCCTATGGACACAGAAGTCTGACCTGACAGCAGCGCATCTACAGGATCCCCGGGGGCGCCTGTACGATTCTTGAGATATCCTCTCCTGCTCAGCTACGCTCATTTGGCCAAGAGTCCAAAAACTGTTCTGTAGGTTGCCCTCCGTTTGGAGGTGGTGGTGGTGGTGGGGGTAGGTAGGTATAAGGGTATTTATTCTTGTTAATAATTTGGTTTGTACTGTTTTTTAATGCTATTAAGACCATAAAACATGCTAAAGATGGAGTATGAATTTTTTTACATGGGTATGATAAATTTCCCGTGATACATTTATATTTTGAAAGACCCCAGAAAGTGCCATTACAGCGATGCAAATTGTTGCATAATTCATATTTTTCCTTGACGCCAACGCCATTTGACCTGAGCAGGAAAGGTGATAAAATAGTGATGTCAGCATAAATTATTATAAGTGCCCTTCCTCCGGTTGCGAGTTGAGATAAGGTGCTGCCACCCGGAAACAAATGTTTTAGTCTACTCGACTCTTACATACTAACATCTCATCTAATACTCTTAATCTTACATCGGACCGTTGTTGAGGAAGCTCATCAGTCACGTTACACATCAAACCTTCAGCTTCCCTTCCAGCACTTCATCGGAGGTATGGAAAAGAAGTCAGTGCACAGACATCACATGAAAGTTGAAACCCTTGGCCTAGTAGTAGTAGTATGCGCAAACTAGTTTGAAAAAAGACCTTGAGCCTTGTTCCTACTTGTCCTGCTTAGTTCTAGTTATGTAGATATATATAGTGTATTTCTGATGAACGCCGAATAGACCCTAAATATTAATGAAAATAATAATATCTCTGCTGAGTACATCATATGGAGATCTCTCCCCAAAGTGTTCCCAATCACAGTATTATTATTATTAAAGATTAGTAATGTACTGTAGCCTACATAACCTACATCTGTTGCAGTCTGTGTATGTAAATAGGACTGCATGATTTGTCACATTTGGACATGGTCGGAAATAGTAGACCCCTTGAACCTTCCGTAGGTCTTCCTTACCATTAATTGATTTCATTCACAATAGCTCCTACAAATCAAAATCCTCAGATTTCACCATCAAAAGTTTTCAACCCTACGTCAACCCTGAGATTTGTCTAGTGTGAAGAGGCCTTACATGTGCACATGTACATGTATATTATACACGCAGCAAGTTCCCACCAGAGGACCGCCTTTGTTACGTGTATATAAAAGCACATCATTTCTTATTTGTGCAGTGAGCAGGTGGAATTGAGTCCCAATGAGCTGAACCTAAATAAAACAAATGGGCCAGAGTTTTTGCATAAACATGTGTTTTACCTTCACCACTGAGTTCCCCAGCAAAATGAACAGTCACTCAGCCTTTGACAGTGTGTACATGTATATGCTTATGCTTATACAGTGTTGATTCGGATTTATGGTGACCTGACCACCAGAATGCCTAAAAAGACCATTCAGCAGCTGGACAAAGACAACAAGGCAACCGCCATCGTGTATGACTACTCCAGTGCCAAACTTGGCACCAGAAAGAGCAAAGTCAGGAGATGTAGAAGGGAAGCATTCCTGTCTTTGCTTCCATGTAGGAGGTCAACTTCTTCCCGTTTTCATACTGACAACAAAGCATTGTCACCATTAACTGCACGTAAATCAAAGAGTGCACCTGTCCAAGAATGGTAAGAGACTACACTCATAGAGACAAGTACAACAGATTTACATGAGCCTTTTCAATATATTCGTAATTATTTTTACATATTATTTGTATCAGTGCTGTTTGACAGTGAAGAGAAATTGTGGCTTAGTGGCATAATACTTGTTGCTTTTGAGAGATTTTGCGTTCTGTTTTAATGTTATTTAACAGAGCAAGTTCAACCATTATTTGATGGCCTTTCACCAATGTGCATGCGTAATACGGTGCCATTTAATCGGACCAATCAGAACTATGCATGATGCCATCACTCCCATTTTGCCATTGGTCGACATTGGCAAATTGTGGAACAAACACGGCAAAGTTAACCAGCAGTGCGAGTTTGCCCCAGGGCCTCATCCCAATAAGCCATTTGCGAGTTAAATTTGAATAAAATCTGGTACACTGAGTTCTTTAAATTCATGTGAACATAACAACTTGAATTGTCCATACTAAACCACCGTTGCTATACCTCGTGATTCAGGGCAAGCTTTTGCTTAGTTACATAAGAGACGCCTTGCAACAATACACTGTTGTCAATGGATATGAACGGCACAAAGGAACCAGTCCATTCCAGAGATGGTGGTCGCTATGCAAAAGCTTGCCCCGAATCACGAGGTATAGCAACAGTGTCTTTAGTCTGGAGAATTTAAATTGTTACGTTTCTATGCAATCAGATAACACAGTGTACCAGATTTTATTCAAATTTAACTTGCAAGTGGCTTATTGGTCAAACAGTCCAAAACGTCCATTGTTCAAGCAACACTGATCCAATTACAGACCTCCCAACATTGGCTCTCAAGAATTCAGAATCCTTCTCCCTGAAACTCGGAATTTTTCATGAAAAATCGGACTATTCTTCGTATTACCATGAACAAGTAAAAATCAGTGCTGCATTGTACAAGAGTCAAATCCGTGTCCGTGATGATGTACAGTATTGCACATACTCACTGATTCCATACAATTTTGCTTTCCACAAGAGTTTACAGCTGAAATGGTCTGCAATAAATTTCATCTCCTGAATGAGTTGATTCACTGCAAAATTCAGCGAAAAATTTACCACATGGTGCTTGCACACTTGACGTGATTGTGGTCGATTTCACAGCAGTACCTAGTCTTGGATCCAAATGTTCTTAGCTGTGGTTCCATGCAAAACCAGGTGCCACAAGATGCATAAAGTGTCAGTTACAATGTCGCTTGTCGATAGAGGGCGTTTTTGTCCATGAATGATTTTGGTATCATGGTATCAAAAGAGAGCGCTGCCATAGACGTAGCTCACACAATGTATACTGCACTGACTGTTTGGGTAAGTCAGATAATTAATTTTGGATTTTTGCCCTGCCCAACGTGTATTTTAGCATTGTATGCTCAGTGTGTGCCCCCGAAGGTTTTGGGAAAAAACCATAAGCGTACTCGGGTGGGACTCGAACCCATGACCTCCTGCTTACTAGTACAGACATCTTAACCACGCTATTTCAAGGAACAACTATTTCAAGGATGGATCCTTGAAATTGTTGTTCGCGGTACCCACTGCCACATCAGATTCGAACCAGCCAGCCGACACCGGCAATTAATTTACATATTCCCGGTGCAAATCCATCCTTGAAATAAGTTGGATAAGTCGTATTACGGTACATGCACAAGATTACACGGTTTCCAGTAATACATAGGCGTGTCACAATTGCGATTTAATGGAAACTGTAGGGACAAAATCAGGATTGCGGAAATGAAGTGAAAAGCAGAAATTTTCTGCCAAACTCGGTTGGGTTGGGAGGTCTGCAATTACATTTATCGCCAAGTATGATGGTTCCTCAAGCTTGCCCTTAGCCAAAGAACAATTACCGTGGCTCATATAACAACAACGAGGGATGGAAGTTTCAACAGAGACTTTTGGGGTCATTACTATGCGTGCTATTCTGCCGAAGAACTTGCTGAAATGCAAAGTACTTGCACTCCATTTTCTCCATTACAGTGGCTCCAGTAACGCCAAGCAGAAGCTGCAGGTCTCTGTCCAGACTCGCCCTCCATGTGGACCAAACATACTTTATTTTGAACTGGATCCAGAGACATCCGTCTCATCCTTGAAAGAGAAGATACATAGGAGTATCGGTGTTTTGCCTATGCATCAGCATCTGTACATCCGAAGAAATGTTGAGGTAATGAAGACAGTTTAAATTTAAGCTTTGCTGTCTGATCCATAGGGACGGACCAGCCAAACTACAGAGGGTGGGATTCAGCAACAGTTCCGGTGGAGCCTTTGTCATAGTGCACAGTTTTACTGTTGAAGGCAAACTGCCAACTCTTAGTTAGAGCTGTGGCAAACATTCCACCTGTCCTGCCTGTGACTTTCAGGATGTGAACGGCGCGAAGACAGCTCTTGCAAGGTTGAATTCCAAGCGACATGGGGGGAGGGGGTGTGTTTGAACATCCCTTTGCGGGTTTCCTGATGTGTCTGCATGACCCGTTCAACTGTTGATGAAATAAAGCACCAGTACGAGTACTGTCTTTGAAATGAAAGTTCAGCTCACATTGTGTGTTGTAACTACACCATGTATGCTCTAACCGTGCATTCGTTTGGACTTGTTGCTTTGTCAGCTCTGCGATTTACTTACTCTTCACGAAAATGGTGTCGACAAAAACGAAATCATCTCACTATCAACTGAAGATGAGAATCAAGATGGACCAAAAGGTAAGTGCTGAAGCTAATGATTGCTAGATTGGATTTTAGAGGAGGATTAAGTTACAGTAGATTAAGACCTTCAGATTATTTTTACATGTAGAATTAGAAATTCTAAAGGTTGACAGTAGTTCTAAGTATAATGAGGTAAAGTATAATGACAAACATTCATGCATGTTGTACATGTACAATCTCTTTCATACTTCAGTATAATTTACCTATGTAATGGACTGATCCATTAAGCCCCACCCCCATTGTCTTTCATCCAATCACAGCCATGTGCATGTACATCCAACATGTGTGCACAAAGATCCAATATGAATGCGCACATGTATGATGTGCATGGCTGCAACTTGCGGCGTGGCATGGGAGAGAAGCAAGTGTTACATGTAATTGCCCATATGTGCAATGGACAGGGCTGACTGGATCAGTCTTGTACTCGCCATCCTTGGAAGCTTTAATAAATGGCCTTTTCAGGATAGAAAGGTCAATTGTGAGAAACGTGTCCAATGATGGTCTCATGTACAGGTATTCTTGTGCTTTTCGAAGCTTTGGGACATGAACGAAAACCATGTCTTCTGGTGCTTGCTTGATACATTCTCCAAATGTAAAAATCTTCACCTCATTTCAGAATGAAATCCTGGCACTTGGAAGTGGATAAGCTAGCAAAAGTAACACCTGGGAGATGAAAAAGCAGAAATCATAACTACCAGCAAATGCACATCTGAAGTGATCCTTATCTACTCAGTTGGTGGGGAAAAAATACAAAAATCAAGATGAAGTTTCTCAGAAGCCGAAACAAGCATTGGCAAGCTTTTGGTTTGCTGATTGCCCAAAAAATCAATCAGTCCCAAAAAATAAAACTGGGTAAAGCGAGCAGGTGTAGCTGATCTTAGAAATATTCAGATTGACTCAAAGCTTTTTTTGGCCTTCTTTAACTCTCCTATGCTGAAGTCACTCTTTGGGTCATTTGGTAAACACCTCAAAGAAGCACTGCTGTGTTGTGTTGTGCACTGCACCAACAGTCCCTCACAGGAATATCAGATTGCACTTTTGTGCTGCCCAACAACTGTGCTTCACTGTTTCCTGTGCGTAATTGTGCAGTAAACCAAATGCAGTGAAGAGGACTGCACAAAAGACCCTGGGTCATTTTGTGCTGACAATCTACTGTGTACACACTGAACCTGTGCATGTTTGAGTTCCATGTAGAAAATACATGCCCACCAGTGACTGTGGACATTTGTGCACATTTGTGCTGTAAAACCAAAGGAGGATTAAACCAGATATCGCAGGATCTTTACTAACTACCTGTTTTATCCATTGAACACCCCCAACAATTCTGCACCAAAGGAACTGTTACATGAATGAATTATATTTCTTGCTTAGACTCACCTCAGTCACTGATTTCTGTTAGAACAGGTGGGCTTGTAAGACGCAACCGAGTGAAATACTCTCTTGTTAGGAATTAGGCAAGTCAAATGATCGTGGTTATAGTTCAACACATGTGGTGTCTTTGTTTGTTGTTTGGTTCATAAGCTTTCTAGGTTGTTCTGACGTATTTTCCGGCCGTAATAACCAATTTTCCAGTGGGTAAAAAAGAAAGGAAAAAAACACAGATCTTGTTCTTCTTAGAAAAGTCCTAGTAACTCTGCACACAAATGGCCTTCATCAATCAGATAAAAAACGGCAAGCGCGTTCCTCTCTTATTGAATTACATTTGGAATATTCATTGGTCTATAACATTTTCACGGTAGGAATTGATTAAATCAGTCATTAACCCAGTCCAATGTTTCTTCATTTCACCAGTGAACTGCCAATTGGGAGGTAAAGCAGAAAAAGTCCAACCAGGGAAGCCCAACGAAACAAGATCAGAGAGGGAGCAACATGGAGCAACACCACACGAGGAACAGGAACGGGGAAAGAGACAAGCTCTTGACAAAGAAAAACCTCAGACTTTCTGGTAAAGCACTGTACAATAATGGATAGCCGACTTAACATATTTGAACATATTTATGGGTTTTGCCCTTATACCAACGTATAACAGTGTGTCCTCTGTGTCAAGGAGTTCTCAAAAAATTCACAACCCATGACCTCCTACTTACAAGTGCAGACTTCTAACCAAAGGATATCTGTGGAAATATTTGAACATCTTGACCTGAACTCTTGAAAAATTTTCTTGTTCTATAAAAAGTATCAAATCTTCAGAACTTCCCAGTGGAAAGTGTTTTGAAAATAAACATGTAAAAGACTGGTGTGTGTGAAGAAAAAAATCTGAAAGATAAAAACAATGTTTCAGCAGTTACAGACGCGTCAAACAGGAGTTGCAGGTCTTCGTGCAGAATCCCCTCATCCGTGGACCAAAGACGCTCTGCTTCCGACTGGACCCAGAGATATCCATCGCATCCTTGAAGGAGATGATACACAGGAGGATTGGTGTCCAACCCCAGCATCAGTGTTTGTACACATGGAAAAATATTCGCAAATTTCAGGTACAGATATGTTTTTTTAATGTACACTCCAGCATAGAGGAATTCTGAAAACCTTGATTAGGAATTTTCAATAATCACTTAAAGGTAGTAAACACCATTGGTTTTTTGTCGTAATTTCTCTCAATTGGCTATGGTGTATAATATTCACTGCAAGTTACATTCCACTGACTTGTTTCACGTTTGAGTCAACTGCTTTGTGAAAAATTTAGAAAAACTGGGCGGCATTTTCAACGCTTAAATTGAAATCTTGTTTGAAATCCATAGATTACAGGGCGTTCCTAGTAAGTGAACATCCACGGGGTCAGGGTGGGAAACAGGCATGACAGGTTATCATTCCGTTAAAAAAGGATCAGTTTTCATTGGCTAAGAGTAATCAGTGAATTTACCTTGGACGAATGCGCCTCCTTGACAATGTAGCCTTGCAGATTCATGAAAGAACTTCATCCAGGAACACAGTTGACTCGTGTCCATGAACGAAACCAAAACGAGTAGGCCTATATAATAATACAGCTGCGTGCAATCGTGCTTAATGACCACACATTCGCGTCAGTTTACACATCGATGAAAGTTTCAGAACACCATTCTTAGTTGATTCACTAATAATTTTGACCAAAGAAGAAATTATGTCTTGAAACACGGGAGGTTTAATGTGTGGAAATCATACTTTTTGTTGATGAAAATCCCTTTCACCATTTTGCTTGGAAACAGTCACCTTATTTGGATCATGCCATTATGCTCTGGGGGTGATTTTGAATTCGCAAAGTTTTTGCATGTAGAAAATCCTTAACTTCACACGGATCCTATTTATTTTCTGCTTTACACTTTACACTAAGGATCCTGTAATTTCAGTTTACAAGAAAACTCAGTGGAAACACTCTTTTTTTCTTGAGCTGATTGTTATTGGTTGTTTTTGTCTTACCAGCTCCATGACTTGCTTACACTCAATGACTGTGGAGTTCAACAAGACGAGAATATCTCACTCCGTCTGCTAACTGATGGCCTGCCTGGCGGTGGACAAAGAGGTGAATAGTCATTGGAAACTTACTGTTACGTTGATGTGAAAAAGTTGTGGTTAGTGTACGCATTGTGATTCTAAAATTAAAAGCTTAATTGCATCTTGTTATTAATGTTGCAAGGTTACATTAATCAGTGCATTCAAACCACCATTCTTGCAAACTGTACTTACGAGGTTGAGGACTTTACAGGCTTCATCACTTAAGCCTTTCCAAAGACTGAATCTCGGCATTCAAGTTGACTTCTCTTTTTCCCTGCAGATCCCAATAATGGGGCAAAACAAGGTGTGAATAAAAAACAACAGGACAACACTGCCAGTGCACCGGCTACTTCAAAATGTACATGTACAAATGTGCCAAACCTTTCTGGTCACCCATCTGTTGGCATGTCAGAGAATCAACCAAGAACATCAAATCAACCGACCACACACTTTGCTGTCTCACAATTACCGCCACTAGGTATGCAGACATGTATGACCAATATTTAAATGTGCGCTGTACTCCCCGGTCGGAAAAAAAAAATCTGAAGCCGTGTATGCAAGAGACTGTATTGCATTTTGAAAGTTGAAGTTTCTTCTGCTGCAAAATGTAGAGTGTCTGTGAAGTTCTTCAACCAATTTTCAAATCTGAGAATAAAGAATACAAAAAATCCACAGGTCAAAAGTGTCCCGGCCCACTTTGAGTTTGATTCTTCGTGGTTTGGATCGGGTATGCAAATAACAAGGTGAATCTCTTCTGTGCCAGTCCAGCTAGACCTTTGCAGATTTCTGAGCAGGCTTCAAGAAAAGGTCAGATTAATGTGATTTTTTCTCTGTTTTGTCCAACATTTCTCTACCTAGGATGCACTGCGTCTGATGTCCAATCCCCATCTGCTGTCACTAAATGTAAAGATGCACTGAAGTCACGCTACAGAAGCAGTGGTTGTCATGTACAGCTAAATCCATGGTTGGATGAAGACAAGAGACACATAAATCACATGTACACAAGGGTACGCTTAGTAAATGCCAAGTTAATAAGAGGGAACATACTGAAATCCTATGATGATATGTTACTCCTCAGAACAAAAGAGGGTGATCTGGTCTCATTAAATGTATTAAGTGGTCCCACTGGTAGCGGAAAGACCACTCTCTTGGACAAAATAGCCTATGATTGGGCAACTGACGGTAGTGAGGTACTTAAGAGGTATGAACTGATCTTCAAGTTAAACATGCGTTACTTGGAACAGGGGTCAGACCTGGTTGATGCAGTTTTTGACCAGCTCATTGGAAAAGACAGAGATATAGGAAAAGACGATCTGTGGTCCTATATCAGGAGGAATTGTGACAAAGTCCTCGTTCTGTTGGATGGCTTTGATGAGTTTGTGACCGAAAATATGAAGAAGCCCTCTTTCGGTTCCATACTGAAAATCCTGAATAGAAGTTTGTGCAGGGGCTGCTCTGTAATTGTCGGCACCCGTCACACACACTTCCACTTACTGGTAACCAGGGAACTGCTTCAGGAACCATTCACACATGTCAAGGTCATGGGGTTCCAGGAGGAAGACATGGTGAGCGAGTATGTGCACAGATTTTACTCTGATGAACCAGACAAGGCTAAAGGGCTTCTGAAGAGGATTGAAATCTGTGACGACCTGTCCACTTTGGCAGAAAGTCCAAAGCTGCTTCTTTTGATGTGTTTACTGTGGAGAGAAGATTCCACACTTCCAGAAACAATGTCACGCTTTTATCGAAGCGTATTCACATACACTGGCAAAAGGAAAGGCTTGTTGGAAGAGGATATCTCCAGAGTCGTGATTGCACTCGGCAAGGTTGGTTTACGGGGTCTTCTCTCTCAAGGTCAAGAGCAGAGTTTTAAAGAAAGTGACTTTGAGCGGAGTGACTATGAGCTGGCTCTGAAAGCAGGTATTCTGACCAGAAAGAGAATCCCGAAGAGACTGATCCCTCACATCTTTGTGTATTTCCTGTACAGGACCTTCCAGGATTTTTGTGCAGGTACATACTTGCGAAGCCTGTTTGAATCAGGCTCAGAGGAATTTCGAAACACTCTGAATGAGATCATATCACAGGGCCCATGGGATTTCAAGTGTCTTCTGCGCTTTTGCTGTGGTGACAATGAGGCATGTACACTGGAGATACTGAAGGTATTTCAGGACAGTTACATGTATCAAGACGACTTGTCACTCGACAGTTTGGTGGGTCATTTGGCACTTGACTGTTACTTTGAAGGTCAGTGCAAGTGCTTGCCTCCTGAGGAATTCATACGTTCATTTCTGACTGACCACATTAGCATCAGAAGCCTTAACATTGACAGTGAACACTCGGTGAGATACTTTGTGCAGCGCATTGTTAAACAGACAGAGATCGATACCAAAGCTTACCTTGCTCAAGTAAAGAGAGTGGATATCAAAATGAGCGATGTATGGGATGTTGAGCCACTCGTCAGTGAGCTACCTAACTTGGTTACGTTGGATCTCTTTCAAAATGACCTGCGTTGTACAGCGGCATTGTTGTGCAAGCAGGTGGGACAGTGCAAGGCACTGCAGCACCTGCACTTGAGTTACTGCTCATTGAATGGACAGGATGTGATTTGTGTTGCTGAGGCACTGAGTGATCTACCCAGCGTGGTTACATTAAATCTTTCATGGAATGACCTGGGCGGCACAGCAGAATGGTGGTGCAAGCAGGTGGGGCAGTGCAAGGCACTGCAGAACCTGCACTTGAGTCACTGTTCGTTGAATGGACAGGACATGGTGCATGTTGCCGAGTCACTCAGCGGTCTGCCCAACTTGGTCACATTGAATCTTGCTTCTAATCCCTTGGCTGGCTCGGGAGCATGGTGGTGCAAGCAGGTGGAGCAGTGCAAGGTACTGCAACACCTGAACCTCAGTTTCTGCTCATTGAATGGACAGGACATGACACTTGTTGCTAAGTCACTCAGTGGTCTGCCCAACTTGGTCACATTGAATCTCTCTTTCAATGACCTGAGTGGTGCAGCGGCATCATTTTGGGCCGAGGTAAAGGTGTTCAAGGCCTTGCACACCCTGGAGCTCATGGAATGTGAGGAGACACAGGAGGATGAAAGGTACAGCAGTGAGTTACGGGGCAACCCTGGGACTCGTTTTACACTCATGTATCGCTGATTCTACCCGTGACCAGGTATGATTCCTCCCAACTTCCAGATCACCAAGTCAGAATCCAAGTCCCAGGCTTTGAGCCCTCCAACATATATAAGTCCAATCTTGCTCATGCTAGTCGACGATGGTTGGACTAGTGTAATCAGCTATTCGCCACCAGCCTTTCGAGTTCGGTCGCATCGTTGGTTGCCGTAAACCGTTTTTAATAGCACAGAGCAGAGAGGACCAGTTACAAGCTAAATGCCGGGAAAAAAAAGTATGTCACTTGTACATGACCATGCTCATATTTTATTTTTGCTATTTTGCCCTTCTTGCAGCCACCTTTTCTCCTCTTCGCCGAATGACCTGACAGCAGTTGTCTAGGGTCGTTCGCATTTTCAACTTCACTGCACATGCGCTAGGTACATCACAAACCACCCATGAGTTAACTAGTGGTGCTTGATCGATCTTGCCCAATGCTTCTACATCTAATATTTACACAGACATTGAGTTATTATGAATACTTGTGGACATGCACCATGTCATTACAATTTTGAAAGCATCACAAGAGTGGATTGGCAGACATTCCCAATTCAAAGTGTTTATAGTGCCATAGTAGAGAATGGATTTCTCTTTGTTGACCTTGAAGATTTTCAAATCCCAGTTCAAAATAAAAACTGGACCCAAACAAGTACAAGGTCAGAAAGGGACAATTACAACTGGTTCTTGTTTCTTTATTCCTTCCACCATAAATGAGTCAAGGGCCTCAGAAAGTGGATTTTAAAAAGCACAATTGAAGCAAATTGAGAGAGCAAAATGATGGATGTGGATATTACTAGAGAATATGTCCCACTGATGGGGTTGGTTTGGCAGTAGAAATACAACTTGACATGTGAACGAGATACTTATTTAGATTTGCATTCTAAAACCAATCAAGTCCAGTGTCTGATCCAGTGTGCTGTGGTTTCAGCAGTGAAAGCATTGAGGGACTCTGACAGCCTTTTCTATCAGAAGTTGATGGGATCCACTGCAGAATGACAGGTGAAGATGTGAAGCGATGCACTGAACACATTTCATTAGTGCTATGCTGAACGTTAGTTAGATGACTCGACTCTGTTTACTTTGTCTCTGTGCATTGTTGCTGCATTGCATTTCTCCTTGGGGAGGGAGTACCAGTCATCTACCAGCCTCTGACTGAACACAATTCTGCCTATACGCAGTGAGGTGATCTTTCCTTGATTGTGTCTCCAGATGTTTCTGTGGTTTTGTGATTTTCCTGGGGGAACAAGTCCCAGTCATCTACCAGCCTGTGACTGAACACAATTCTTCCTTTGTGTGTGTGTGTGTGTGTGTACTTGAGTATATCACTCCTCATGTGTTTGAATCATGTATGTCATATACATGCTCCCTACATCCCCCATCTCACATGGGTACAGAAGGAAGCTGTGTCATTTTCTGACAGTTGAAATGTCAAACGCTCTGGTTCGGAATTCTCAGTGTAAAAATGGTATATCGATTCTCGTTATCGTACTGCATGAAACCGCCTTGGGATTGTAGTTGGGAGTACAGTCCTTTCAGCCATGCCTCACTGTGAGGTTTTGTGGCCTTTGAAGCAGCACTGTCCATATTGAGGATTTAAAAAAGAAAAAAAAGGCAAATAATCTGTAACAATGGTGCACCGTAGAATATGCTTGATGTCTCTCGACCCTGCATTGATTTGACTGATGATACCCTTTAACAGAGGAAGAAAGAGGGAGGTAGTTGAATTAACTGATAAGTAATCTGTGAAGGATTGAGAAGCTTATCACATTATACCAGCGATTTGACTGTGACACCTTGTAACAGTTGTAATTACATGTACATGTATAGTCAGGGCTTCATAGTGTGTGATTGGGGATATCAACACTGTACAAATGTATTCAGATATACGTGTATAGAACCAGGAGTTCAAACAAGTTTGTGATAATGGAAATAATGCAGATATTGAGTTCAACTTGTGAATAAGAGAGAGCTTTATTTTTCTGTTTCATCCTATGTAGATAGTCTGACATGCAAAGAGGTGTTTGCCTTTTGATGATAAATGTAAATAATAATTCAACTATTTAATTCTAATTTGAAGGAACAAATCATCCTTTTTATTTGATATCAGTTGTTAGTACATTTGACATACATGGAGTAAAGATGATAGTTTTTTGTAACCAGAAATCAGAACCATGGAACTTGCCAGTAGTTAGTTCTCTGCAAGTCTAAATGTGTTATTTCCTATTCATAAATTGCCACCACTAAAACCAACTATAACCTACAACGTATGTACCATTGCAATCTTGTATCACAAGTCCCTGTCAGTGGAAACAAGAGCACAGCCACAAGATATATGCATCTATGTTACCTGTAGTTATTGGAAAGCTAGCGTTATTGATATAAAATGCTGTACATTAACTGAGTGCAGTAGTGCTGACAAATCTCTAGTGGTTGAAGTCATAATGTTTGTCACTTTAATGAACCTCTGCCGAACTTAGTTTCAAAAGGGACTTGAGCGACCGTTGCCACAGATTTCTGACATGTAGTGAGACAAACGTCCTCCATTTTTTGTTGGTTGGTACGGTGTACTTTGTTTTCAAATTTCTGGCAATTTCATTTGACAAAGTTTTGGTTGTATTTTGAGGTGATGATGCTGCAAGTCCAGTGAAATTAGTTTATACCAAACGTAAGAGGAAATTTTTTTTTTCACCGTCTGGCTATAAATCATCTCATTTATTTCAAAAGTTGAGGAAATGACATGCACCGCTTGTTGCCAAGTGAATGCGCTTTGAAACGATAACACAGCACTGTAACACTCCCTGAATTTTGGGGTGTAAATAACAATAATTTTACCACGTGGAAATTTCCAGGAACCAGGAGAGAGACTGATCCTACTTTCAATGCCCACTAGACCAAAAAGATGGGGTGTACCTCATTTGCATTTTTCACTCATATAATGCCAGATTAGTTTAAGAGAATGTTACATATCAATTGCAAATGTCATGTTGAACAAAGACGACAGGTGTGTAGTGTATACAAACTAAGTTTGGCATCTGCACATTGCATAAATGCATTGGTTGTACATTTAATGGGCTCACTTGTAAACTTTGAATGTGTACAAATGTATTTTGTTATGATTGATAATGTTTTCTTGTATTGGATGAACTGAAATATGACTCGACAATGTTTTGTGTGTGTGGTACTAGCACATCTCAGTGGACTCCACAATATGTTCAGACTTTGATTGGTGATTCCAAACAGCAGCGTCAATGAAATATTTCTCTTGTGAAGTTTGTGCAGAGACCATGCAGAAGTGAACCCACTCTATCATAGTGAGGCATGTTCTGATAGGTTTGATTCATTACCTCCAGAACAATACATTCTATTAATGTATTATATACAAGTATAACACTGCCTTGGTGTTTTGTTGTTGCAGATTATGCTGGAGTGTCCAACAAAGAATCAGTTTGTCTCTATTATTCTTGTGTCTCTTGATCCATGTATTACTAGTTAAAGGTTGATTGGATCAGAAATACAGAGTGTGATGATGTCACCAATATGAACAAAAAGCACACTTTTAGAATATTTTACAGGTATTAGATTTCTTCTTGACAAGAAAGCAGTCACAGATTCGTCTAGTAATGCTGAGTTGCTTAATGGCAAGCTGAGAAAGCCCTGGATCTGATACCAAATCAAAACATCTGCTGAAGTTGTACTGAACAGAGATTCATATTCCCCGGCCATATGGGATCTCAGACTTAACCGGGCGCTTAATTTGTGGCTAGCTCAACTGTGACAGTGGCCTGTAAAACCATGTCAGTTGAGACTCTCCATAACCTGACTTTGCACTCTACCGAATTGACAGTATTGTAAACAGATTGATTTGACATAGTATTTGGTATCAGTCCCGCCCCTCTTTTGTTTGTGTACTGTTTTCCGAATAATTCGATAAGTATTTCCCATTTTGCAAGGCTTGAACCTGTAGCTTAGTTTGTTGAAAATACAAACATGTTTTAAACATTCTATCATTGATTAGCTATCAAGCAAATCCTAAGTAAAATAAATTGCACATCTAATGTGAAACTTGCAGTCAACTTGAAGGAGCATTTAAAACATATGATCTGATTTTGAGAGCACCTGTTTTGAATTTTGGAATGTCATTTTTATTTGAAAGTTTCAATGTGAACGGAATCTTGGTTTTGGCATTAAAATTGCTCATGAAATTGTTACATCTTTTGTAACATGCTACTTTCATCTATAGGTTGTATCTTAGCAATAACCGTGAGTGTTTATCAGGTGCTTTATCACAGAAACATCAAAAGTGCTTTCAATAGCTTTTGTGTGTAGGTTCGTATGTTGAGTTCCATGGAGGTGGATGGGCCAATTGCCCAAAAGGAATTCATTAATACAGAAACAATGAAGTGATACAAATCGAGACAAACACAAAGATGGTTCTATGAGGAACGTCTGGGAAAGAGTTCCATGTCTCGGACAACACTAGAGACCCCTGTGCACAACCTATGACACTTCAGCCAACTTCAGGGTCTGAAAAAAAAATGCTTCGGTAATTTCTCAGATAAATTTCACTTTTGGGGACACGTCATCACTTTCTGACGGCTGTTATAGCATTTCTAACAAAAAATAGTGTCGTCCGTGTTTAATCCAAAGTGTTAGAAAAAAAAACTTTTAAAGACAAATAAGCGGACACACTGTGACTTGGACCGCATGCTTCCCGAGCTGCAGTACGTTGGTTGAAGGTACTAGGTAAGCGCGCTTGGCGTGCATTTGTGTGAATAATTAGAAATGTAACAAGCTAACCCACCAAAAATTGGAAAGAATGAAAGGACTAAGGACAAGACAATGATTTCATTGTTGTTTGGGAAACTTCATTAACGTTGGCTTGTATCTTGCTGAGCCCTGAACTTTGCTAATTTTATACTGTTCCAATGGGGCCTGCAACATCGCCCTCTCTTGACAGAGGTCAACAACCGAAACCAGGAAATAAAATACCGAGTTGCGCGCGGCTCGCCCTCTGCTCGACTAGGGCGGCAGTATCACAACTGGGCGATGGTCGCTTATAAATATTTACATAATTTCCGTGTAAAATTAAAAGCGTCACGAACAAATTTCAATTATACAATATGTGCGCATCAGACGTGGATAAGGCACTGTGTCCAGAGCCTTCTCTGTACCGAATCGCTCGGTTTTAAGAGGACAGAGAATTTCGAGCCAATTTCCTTCGCAGCGTGGCTTGAAAGTAACTTTATAGCGGCTGATTATTCAATATCTTGATGAAAATGGACTGTCAAAGGATAAATTTAATTCAGCGAAATGCGTCTCCCCGGGGCCGAATATTCTCACAAATTGTCTGTTGAATTTCCTCATTGGGTATGACCCACTTCTGGGCAGACTTTTACCGAAAGTGTGGAAGGTTTACGGTAGCTCTTTGGAAGCTAATTGTATGGCTCTGAAAAGAAACATTGTTTCAACTCCAGAATTGAAACTACTGATTCTTCTGGTTTCATTTTCCCTTTCCAAAGCATGTATAAGTCGAAAATCTAGCCCCGCTCCTCAGAAAGGTCCTGAGGTAAATAAAGATAATCCTAAAGGGTGTGGCTTCCCCCATAACCCCCCCCCCCCAGTTTTTTGGTTCTGACAAAACTGTAAGCATGGGCGTCTCCGAGAACTGAGGGATATCTCCTTTGGAGGGGAGGGGGGATCATTCAAATGAAGGAAACTGTAGCACATTTTGTTCATATTTCAATTTTTATGGAGGTGGGGAGCACTCCCTCCTATAGTCATCGACGCCATGAATGTGAAAGAAACTGGCACCCAGCAGTGGCTTATCTGGGGTGTGTAATTGCTGGAGGGCACCTAGAAGTAAAAACATTTTCAAGGGGCACTGGAAGCACGCATACGTGTACTCGATGCTCGTACCCTCGCTTCTTGGTACCCCCCCCCAAAAGCTAGGGTCCTCGAAGAAGGGGATATGATGGGTGGGGTGTATACGTTCTGGTAGTAACAGACCTAAAGGACGGTGGCCCATTCTTGTTATCTCTCTTGATGCCTCTCCATAAAATCACGGATGCCTAAGCGACGATCAGGGCAAAGTCTAGCCCGTGGGGCCGTCCATAAAGTACGACGGGGTATACGCACTGTTGGGGAGGTGTGCATGCGCACACCTTGCATGTAAGGGGAGGAGTCCATGTCAATACGTACATACAAGCACAGAAATTAAACCATTACAAGCGCCACTGGTGTAATATGTCAGAAGACAACATGGAGTACGTATGCGTACAGGGGTAGGGAGTCAGAACCACAGCGCAAGTCATGTGTAGAGTGGAAAGGGCCTGGAAAGTAAACATTTTGTGTCCACGTACATGAATTTTATGGATGGCCCACATGAGCCCATGAATGGCCCATAAGCTTTGCACAACGGGTACGCGACACACACAGCATGAACTATTCATGATGTTAGCAAAAACACAGGAACACAACCCGACAGGACTAGCGACGTCTCCTCTCGCGAATTGTTTGAGTTCTGATATGAATAATTAAATAAGTGTTGCAAAACACGCGCGTTGTATCCTCACTGTTTGCAAACACAGCCATTCAAATCGTTTCTTTTCCACTAACAATCAATTAAACACAAGGCAAATGCACGATGCTGGTGATCTTATTGAAAATTAAATTGAAAAGAAACTGAAATTGCCAACAATACTTCAAATTATGCAAAACATGATGGTCATAGTTACTGCGCTTTACCGGATTGAGCTTTTCAACATAGTACATGTACTGTTAGTTAATGGGTTATAAGTGTTGAGCCACCGGGCCAGTGCCCCTCCCCCCAAAAGTCTCTTTTATTCTCTGTGCAAGGCATCAGCTACACATAGTTTTGGTTTTAATATTACAATGTGGAAATAGCGCGCGATATTTCTATATTGCTTCCCTTTCACTTTTCCGAAAAGAAAGGAAATTTTCTCAAGTTTCCTTTTTGATGAGTCCCGGAATTTGGTTCTGGATCCGCCCCTCCACTTATGTCAAATACCGCGCAGTCCTGCGTGGTACTTACATGTATTTCGTGAAGGGATTGTGTTGAAGGCAACAATGTAACTGCCTGCCTCAAGTTGCCACAAATTTGAAATAGAATGGAGAAAGCACCCAGAGAGAAATATCGGCCAAAGGAGTGAATTTATACATGCAAAATGTATATATGTATACAGATGACAGTAACATTGTATGACAAAACTTTAACGAGACAACTATGTTGGAGTTATATGTACAGATGCATGATTAGAACTTGGACGAAATGCACCAGACCTAAAATTTCAATAGGCCTACATGTATACTTATCATTATTTACGACTTCTATATTTGAGTGCGGGTGATTAATTTTCCATTTTTGTTTTCCATGTGGACTGGGTGTTTGGACATAAGTGAAGCGGGTGTTGGCTCATAACTGGTGTCGTTTATTGCTTCCCAAGATTCGACCACGAATCGTCACATCTCTGCACCTGTCAATGTGTCAATATGTTGTGAATAGGCTTGTGACATTTTCTGGGCAAAATTAAGCACCGAGTTCACTTTATGCAGGTTTGGGGCATTTCACATCCCCTGTGGCAAGTCTTTTGGGCAAAAAAAAAAAACTTCTTGGAAAAGAAGCCGATTGTTCATATTCATGGGCATTGCGGGGGTGCTTCCCCTGGGAGAAAATGGAACAAGAAAAGAAAAGTTTGAGGGAAAGAAAATTAAACATTGGAAAAGAATGGAGGTAAGGGGAGAATTTTTAATTTTGTCATTTTCTCATTATGATAAAGCCAACGTGTCATGACGCTGATTTACGCCTGTGCTTGGCTGCGGAGCCTTCTATTAGATCATCAGCCGACCGATTCACTCGATATTTTCATCTTGAACATCCCGGATGAAGTGTAGGGACATCACCTCTGTTCATAACAGGACATCCTTCCGTTTGCTACTTGTTTGCGGCTCAACTCCATCGTGTGTACATGATCATAAGCAAACAAGACGAACAAAATACGTTTTACACGGCAACAACCACAATATGTTATATTTGAAGAGCGCCCGCTTGACCAATCACCGCAATTAGGGTCACTAAATAACACCCGCTGGAAAAATAACTAATCTGTCGCTGGTGTCAACGTGTTACACCCCTATGGATATATCTCGGCTTTCCCCGCTGAGGATACTTAAAGCTGTGCTTGGGGGAAAGAATACACCCTTTGTCTTTTTCGCTCTAAAATCGATTTTAATTCCCTGTGTGTGCTGCCACCCATGAAAATTCTGTGTGTTTTGTTTTAACTCCCCAGAAGCAGATAGAATTGGTCATGAATGTATTGTGGCCCCCTATTCACAATCCACACTGAGCCGCAGCATCAATAAGCTATTTATGGGGAAACAGGCTGATTGAATTGTTGAGGGGACTTTGTTGCTCGTGTGTGGCGGCAGCAGGAAGAAAGCAAGCCAACAATGACTGTCAACAAATAATAATACACATATTTCATTCCCTTTCAAAAGTTGGTGCATAATGCCAAAAATTATGCATAATGACAGCACTGCGTGTTTCTATAGCAGCATAAAACAACACTGTGCATGCATAATTAGGCCTATGTGCATTTTTTTTAATTTGGAGGAAGGGAAATGATGCTGCTACAGAGATATATAGCTGTTGGAAGAACATCTTTTATTTCTAATAAAAAGGGAAGATGCAGGATGAGATTCAATGACAATCGTTTTCATCCAAAGCAAGGGAATTGAATAAATTCAAATTATTCAATTGGAAGGAAGCTAAACGTGGAACTTGAAGCCTCAGCTTGTGGGACAGGAAGGTATTCAAGATTTGACAGACGGGTTAATGTACACAGACAAACCACAAATATTACTTGCGTGCCGTTCCAACACATGCACTCGGAATCATCAGAAACTCGGAGCTTCTTTTGAGTTATAGGGGCCCTCACACAAAATAAATTTTGCCCAAAAAAATTTTTAAAGTTACAGACGAATATCTGTTAAAAGCCACAAATTTATCATGACGAGTATTAGCGCTTGTCCGTTAGATCACTCGCGCATCAGTCAGAATGTTAATGCCACTGGTGCTAGATCCATTTTTCTCACGATAATCCTTGCCATCTTTCAGAGCATGCAAGACGGAGGCTTACGGTTACATTCGAGCTATGTTTATCCACTAATTCCAAGTTTCATCGAATTGAGATGAGATTATAGCAAGCCGCGATGTTCTCGAGAGGTGACGAAACATGTACGGAGGCATGGTCCATAAAGATCGTCATCAGCAGTCATGGAGATTTTAGTGTTTATATTAAGAATATTTTTTACATTAAAGGGGAAATTTCACTTTAAAAGGATGTGCAACTGACGAAATGCCGATCAGCGTTTCCAGAGTATACCCCACTTGCCCCCTGTCGTGATTTGCTTTCAATGATGATGGGCAAACCTAACTCTCAAAAGCTTTTTAAAATTCCTAAAGTACCGGCGACGTTCATGCCACAAATTAACCCGTTTTGTATAAATGAAACCTTCCCGACAAGCACAACAAATAATAAAGGGGAGATCTGAAAAGGTTTGGAGATGTTGACGTTGTTTAAATACATTTAGCTTATGATGCCAGTTTCACTCGGAAACGTGTTTTATGCAACTTTTAACTCCTCTTGAAACATATAAAATTGTGTAGCATCTCTTTTTTGGTTCAATACCCAAATGAAGAGTCCCATTTTAAAGCATCAAGAATTTTCATTTTGCCATCGAAAAATAAAGGTGACGTTGCTGTGAAGTTATTGCAGAAAGATACTGCTCAGTTTGAGCCTTTGCGATAGCAAAAAATTCCGAATTCTAGCAAATTTTATTGCAGAAATCCAGCTGTATCACCGAAGTTTCTGCCTCGGATGGCCCTACACTTTTGCTCATAATGATACAAATTCGCATTAGCATAAAAAGTACCAAATGTGCTTTAAATTACACAGCAAAACTTTACAAAAAATCAGGTTACATTGGGCACAAAGAAATATTTCTAAGAACTGCATTAAAAAAATTACACAGCATAGAAACGTCGAATGTGACTCTTCCGGGATGTCTGGCTACCCCCTTCTTCTCTTACAATCTTCCCTGCCCATCATCCTGTGGGTTCCGCATCATAAAAGAGAGAGAGGCCCTAAACCTGACTCCCAATACAGTTAATTGTGGTCAGTGCGTTATTAACGTACCTGCAATTACGGGGGAAAAGATGACGAATACCAATTTTGGTGTTACCTTCATCTGGCATGTGACCATGTATAACATCTGTTAATTAAAGTCATAATACCAAAAGCGTCATCAAACGACCGCGGGTACTATTATTTACGGGCACACTCTTTATGTGGGGGCTCTTGAAGGTCGATTATCTGCACAGCATAATTCAGCAAGGTAAAATTTGCAATACACGTCACCAGGAATCGCTTTGTTTTGATAACATATAGAACAAGGTGCGCTTGTCTGATGTAAGGAAGAGACACGCTATCAAAATGGAATAGTATGGCGAGCTTCATTGGACTTTTTCTGGCTCGTCTGTGATGTTTATTTCTGCCCTACACAGCAAAGGGCGGATCCAGATACAGCCGGGGGCAAACATTTTGGTTTCTTGGGTGGGTGCTAACAATTTTGACATTTTAATGTAATATTTTATGCCCTTTCCAAGGCGTTATAATTCTAGGGCTTTTGGCACGCTATTGGGATGAAAGGAAATGAAAAAGACCAGAGATCGCTTTTTTTAATTGTAGCCAGTCCTTTAATTAAGGGCATCTGTACCGTCCTTTTTTTAACTCACATTGTAAACTTCTTACAAGGTGTGTTGGCAGTCCAAAATAACCATTGCAGCCCCGGGAATCTTCACGTCTTAGACTGGCACGTTTTTATTTAAATTATTTTGGGGATGTGGAGAGAAAGTATGAAATCCTTACCAATTTTGGCAGTTGAAGGCGGGTGAGTTTTCTAATACGCAAGGTGTTCTAAAAGCAAGGATGTAGGTGTGTAGCTATCACAAAATACTGACCGTTTCAACATGCTGCAAACGCAAACTCAGTGCATGTACACAAATTGCGAAGGGCGTGGGTCCGCGTATACATTAAAACAATTGGTTGGTGACTTTTGCTCATTTATTTCTTAAAAGTACACAAGCGTCACGGCACCACCTACAGTGCTAAATAAAACATGAGCGTACGAGGACATTTACGACTTTGTTTAGGACAAAAGGATCTCGTATAATGCTGACTTAAGTCTTCATCCAACAGTTACATGATCACCTGTACAAGGCTCACTCACTTCCTGCATGTAATTCCGCTGTCTACAGCTGCAGCTATAGGTGCTATAAGGACATTAGGCATGTCCACAAGTACTTGAGAGTCTTTGCTCAAGGGATAAGCAGACAAGTCGGAAAATGATCTGCTATTTGCAAAAATGACGCGTGGAGACAATCTGTTTGAAATCCACTTGAAATGCCGCGTGACAGCTCTTCTGGCTGCCAAAATCACAGACGACCACAGAGTAAATACAACTTGGGGTTGATTTCGACTACTGTTTACAGTGGAACTGTAGTACCGGTGCTGTTTACGCACACGGGGATAACAAGATTGATATGTGCAACGCATGTCAGAAGGCAGATTTGTTCAGTTTAATTAAGTGCATAGAGTGTAGCTCCCCCATAATCGAAAAAAATTAGTTTAATTTCTTATATCACTCTACGTGTGTAATGGGGGGGGGGTAAAAGATTCTACATTAAATGTTCATCGAAAAAGCCACCATAATTAGTTTGATGCAACACAACTTCGCAACAAGTTCATAAATCACCGAAAAGAAAGTGACATTTTAGCAAGAACGCCTATCTATTCGTGTATCTTCAGACTTGTCCATCTGCATATAGGCCTACATGTACATGTATCGTGAAACTGTTTGAGTCGTTTCTTCACGTACACTCACTTTTGAGAAGTGTTGTAAACTCAATCGAGAACCAGTAATTTCTACGGTTTCTTTTTTAATTTCTGAAGCCATAAAACATTTTGGCTCTCACGGGACATTGGGCAGTAGAAACTTGCCCCTTTCAATAAAACCTTTGCTTTTCAAAAACGTAAAACGTGCTAGTTTTGATTAAAATTTTCTTGAAAATATTGTGGCTGTACATGTACTGAGTAATACAATGTTTCCACCGTGCACTACTAGGATTCACAAGGTTTAAATCAATCAAACATTCATGATTTGGCACCTTTACATCATTATGAAATAAGCTAGATGAACCAGACACGGTTGAACACCATTATAACAAAGTCCTTGGGAATTGACAAATTTATATGTACATGTACCTGTATTGTCATAACAACAGCCTTGTATTATCAGTCATGCAAAACGAAGAAAAAAAAGACTTGCCGTATTGTCTTAGTATAAGCAGTTTGTAGTTAACAGTGATATTGTTAACATATATTGATACGAACAGAATTCATTTTTCCAATGCAATTCAGCACAGTGTGCTTCTCTAGACCTTCTTTCAAAACGTTACACGTTTAATCGCTTGGAAATGGTGGGTTTGTGTCCCATGAACAAGCAAGCCATGCCGTCGTGATTAGTTTCCACTATAGCCACACACTGTCATTAAATTACATTGGCAAGGGAATTTTTTCTCGCAGAACGTGATTACGGTGTCATGTTGAAATGAGCTTGAAGTAAATGTCAACTCTGACCAGTCGCCAACACAACTTAACATAAAATGGACAAGGTAAAGAAAATATTATTTGAAAAACACGCAGATCCATGACACACAATGTTTAGTCAATCACAAAAACGGGTGATTTGGAAGATTTCCATCGTCACAATTTGAACATTTAGCCTTAGTGTAACATTCAAATTCTTTGTTTTTCTTTAAATAATGCTCATATAGTAGCAAATGTAACATATCAGAATATATTAGTTTCGGATTGCAATATGCAACTTATAAGCACCACGAATAGCTCAGTAAAGAAGGCATGTGAAACCGTGCCTTTAAAATTTAATACACGTTTTGCTGAAGTGTAAGAAGGAAAAATGTCAGTACACTGTATGTGAAATTAGTGCGCAAATGCAGAAGAAAACGTCAAGATTAATTACCATTGCCAAAAATAATGCCAATTAAGTTATTTGAGAAAAATCCCCAGTCGATGAAATGGAGCAGAATTTCCAGCTAGGTTTCTTGTCTGCAGTATTTGCATAAAATTGACGTCAATATTGTGAGACTGGCATATGCATTAGCATTTTGCCAACTCCCTCAGTGCTGACGATGTTTTGAAAAATGCGAAATACATGTACGCAATGTACTGTGGAATCCATTTTAGAAATACATGATCATGGAAAATTATAAGTTGTGTCTAATCGTATCCCAGTGACTTTTTTAATCACTTACTTTCCCAGTTCACCATAAAATTGAGAATCTGGAGCTCGAACTTCACGCCAGTGTACTATGCAAAGTATTCCCCACAGATCTGTTTCGGGTAAGTGCTAAGTTTGCGAATAATGTTACAGTCTGTGTTTTCTTAGTTTACACGAGGTTCAGCGGCGGGTGGTGCCAATTGGTCAGTTGTTTCCTCCTGATGACCTTCTGTGAGCCAGGTCATACACTTAATATCTGCTTGTGTGGTGTCTCGCAAGAGATGAGGCCTGTCCTGCTCCAGAGACACCTGCTTCTTCTGTTTCCGTTTCTTCTTGCTCCCTTTGGTGGACGGATGATGGGAGAGAGTGGAGAGGTTGCCTGTTGGGTCGGTAACTGATGGTGTACCCGCCTCCTCCGTTGCTGACGTCTGCCAAGGTGATGGGTCCAGGGCGCACAAGTTGTCATTCAGCCCACTTGTGAAGTCCACCAACCCTGGAACCAAATAATCCTGCTCACTTCTCCTCTCAACAGAACTCTGACGCTTGGCAAGTCGCTTCTTCGATTCCCCCCTCTGTCCATGAGTTGTCTGCTGAGTGTTCTGGGTAATTCTCAGAGCCAGACCGTTCGGTACGAATATGTCTGGCAAGGTTGTATCAGGCTCTTTTGTCTTTGGGGGCTGCTGCTGGTGATGATGATGATAATGTGAGCCGTGGTGACTGTTTTTGCTCCGAGGCGACTCAAGCTTGGCCAGTTTGTGAACGACACCGTCTGTGATATCTTCTGGATGGACTGAAGACCCACTGTGGTTCCCACTTTGGCTCCCGTCACGTTTGCGGGCGGTCACTGTGTCTGCGTTCAACGAAACCGATTTGATATCACGTAGGTTGTCGCTCTCGTCGAAATCGTCGTCGTACTCGTACTTGGCGTCCGGCGAATCCCCTCCCAATGTCCGCCGCCGTGGATTACTCATCAGGGCTGGGCAGCTCTTGGAGAGGGTCAGGCAAGGGTCCCTAGTCCTGGACGGAAGGCTCAGCGAAGTCCGCGACTTGCGGTCGTGATGTTCGGCTTTAGACTGCGACGACGAGCCGTTAATTCTCGGCAGCACGAAGCTATCAGACATGGAGGACTGGTTCACCTCGAGCCTGCTCTGGCCTTTCGGAGGTTTGGCCCGCCAACGCGTACTGAGGAACTGGGAACTCTTTGCCGTGTCTTCGTCGTCGGAACCCTCGCTGGGAGCGCAGTTATTCACCCCAGCGCATTTCCGATGGGTGCTAATCGGAGGAAGAAACACATCCTTTTGCCGGCCGTCGACGACGGGACTGTCACTAAGTTTAGACCCGTGTAACATCATCCCCGGATCTGCAGTCCCATTACCCCCTTCACAGTATGATAATAACTGCAATTTCAGCTTGTCATGTGTAGAGAATTTTTCCAACAATTGTAACACGGTTATTTCCAAGTATTTCCTCGCTCCTACGGTGCTTGGTAACTGCCAACTTAAATTAACCAAAACAACGCACTATTGGTCACTTCATGCACCTCCATGATTCTTCGCAATATCTTACGGGGGCAATAACGCCACAGTCAGGATACCAGAATAACGATTCTCCAAGATGACAGTTACGTTCCACAGGCAATGTTTTACTCCGTGTAACATATCGCGTACATGTCAGTTTCAGGCTGCGGCCGCGTGTAAGTCTCCGCTGGTGTATCACTAGAGATTTCCTCAACAGGGTGCCGGTGATTCCTCTCGCTGAAACACCTATATTACTTGCCGCAACTGCAAGATGAAAATAGCATTTCCACTATCTTAACATCGGCGAGTAAGATGAACCAGACCGCAGTCCAGTCATGTATATTTAATCAGATTGTATGGAATCCATGATCAGCTGCAGCAAATCCAAAGTCCTCGTCCATGATGACAGATTTTTTTCCTGGGATGACAGTTGTGACATCAAGCAGCCACTTCCGGTGATGTAGCAATCCTGGAGTGTGAGCTTCTAAGAGAATTGCCTATCGATGGAATTGAAGGCCAGCCCGTAATAGCGCTTCGTCCTCGGTACATCGGCTAGTCGTATGAGGCCTTCCTCCTCGAAACAAGATGCTAACTCCAGGTTGCTGCACTCTCTCCCCCGTCCCGCTGTGTCGCCTGATCGATGGGAACACCAACAACACCGTGTTACTGCCACTCTCCCATAACCTGCAATACAGACGTATTAACAGAAGAGATATCGACTCGTTACGGTAGCTCATCACCTTAACCACACACGTTCACGGAAAGCGAGGGGAGAAAGAAAACATGTAATTCGCTGGCAGTGAGCACGCACGCACATCAAATATTGATAGTCAAATGGAGATTTTGTTGACTGGCTGTCTGGGGGAGGTCGAACGCGATCGATGGCGTAAGGGGCACAGACAATGGCCTTGTTGGCGTTCTTCGGGGGCTTCTTTTCTAAGTTGCCTTTTGTCCTGTCACCAAACCGATGGCTTTTTGTCCAGCAGCGTATGGGCGGATGAATGCATGTACCCGGCAGAGCGTCAAATGACGTGAATGCCCTACCGTATACTTGTTACACAATTGGTCATGCGCGCAAACGGAGGAGTGGTAACCGATACTTACCATTTCCTAAGCTCACAGGTTTGAAATAATGCACTTGTTGGAACTTTCATTTGCCCTTCAGACTAACCTTCAGTTAATCAAGTCACAGGGCAGTTCCAGAGAGTTTTCTTTTTAATTTCGGGGGGGGGTGACTTCCCTCCCGTTTGTCACCCCGCCCCGTTAACCCCTTATAATCTGGGAAAATAGGTTGTTCCGCAATGCTGGATGGGCCTTAATGCCCATGGCTTAAAATTTACGTTTACGATAATTCATTGTCATTATTACACTAGTTTCAGATCTCAAATGTCTTGAATAGTTGCGTGTTAAATCAAATTAAATACAGGCGATTCAAAATAGTGCGCCTCCAACAGTTTGCAACGAGTTGACCAACACAGTGCGCGAAATTTGTCGACCCAATAGAGCCTGAAAGTTAGGTAATATCGCCGGACGTTAAGAAAATTCGGGGTTTTTTTTACCCATCTCCGTGTGACTTTTCCTAAATATTACTTGAGGAAGACAAAAGTAAAATTCCAACATGAGTATTTCATGGGATGGTTTCAGTTAGGAGTTAACTTCCGGTTCCATGGTTCCACATAAACGGCGATCAATACACGTAACCCTACGCGCAGTGCACGTGTGCAGTGGGCGTGGTCTAAACTGAAGTGACGTCACACTTACGAACCGGATTGTGAATGGACCGTATTATTGAAAATATCTCTTTCCATGTGATAAAAGTTGATGATGGTGGTGGTATATGAAGTTGGTGGTGATGATAATCGTACAGACCTGCTGGCGATTGCCAGGCAATAAAAATAAGATAATGTAGTTATGATTGTTACAGAAATAACAATTGACCTTTAAAATATTTCCGAGTGTTAATTTGCTTCTTTTGCACTGAAATCCAAATTTGTTGATGTTCAAAGGGGCAATGAAGCTTTGGGAGCAAGGGTTCATATTGCAAGGATGTCAAATGGTGAGAATGAAAATGGAATGGCATTATTTAGCTGATGAACACAAAAAAATGGTAACCGCAGAAAACAGCTTCGTTACCATGTCAGCTTTCATGTCGCCCTCCACCTCGGTTTTATTTTCGCTGCTGTGAACTTTTCTTTTTCTGGTAAAAAGCACGGCACCGTGGAAATGAGCCTTCCAGTTGGTCTTAATTAAGTCACACAAAAAGTTTCTTGTTCCAAAGCGACCAAAACAACGTGCCAGACAGCGCACTCAACTCGATAGCCATTTCGTTGTTTCCGCGCCACACTCGGACCCTAGTGCTCCGACATTACCGCAGAAGCTGATCCTGATAAGATCACCGCAGCTAACACCTGCTCATAAGCGTCGACAGTCACGTTTCTTTGCCTTCCGTAATGACTTCAAATACATGTAGTTCTAGTAAGGTCAACGCTGAATTTCGCACTTTTCCACTCGCTTGCTAGAACATAGGCCTACGTAAAAACGACATATTTTTTAGGCATATGCCTAGCTGTATCTATGTTGAAAATGCGGTTCTCCTATGTTACTGTTTTCCCTGTGCTGTGCGGATGAAGAAGGCTATATTAGGTCCCGTACCCCGTTTTGATGCCTTTGGATAAAGGATAAACTTCAAAGAAAAGTGTGCATACGGTTTACAGTAGTTTTTTAAGAATCTGCATCATTGTCAGGATTCAATTTCATTCAATGACGGAAGAGGGCGCGCAAAATGGCGTGTGTTTTTTTCTTGCTTGTGAACATGTCTCTCTTGAAATCTGTTAAATTACAAGTTAAAAGTCGGAGGAACAGGGACCGTGACAAGGTATACGGTATCCCATTGAAGAAAACAAACTTGATAGGGTAAGGGATATAGAGATAAAACAGACGTCGAGGGAGCAACGACAGACCCTGAACATACCAGCCATCTCGGTGATTCGTGTTTTTTGTTCCACTCTGATTCACTCTCAGTGCCAGTGAATTAATAAAAACGGTCAAGATTACCCCTGCTCATACAGGGTCTCTTAAAGCCATTTCTTTGAAAAATAATTGGCATTAACACTTCGTTTACTTATCTTCTGTACACGTCTATAAAACACGTCTATATAATGTTCACACACGCGAAAATCTTACATGTTGGGTAACGTTTGAACGATGCATTTATTTAGGTCTAAATTCTATTATCAAGAACAACTGATGAATTACTCTGTGTTGGTGGACTTGGCTTTTCTCGTTAATACGGCTGTTTCACAATAGTGCGCCACCAAGAGTTTGCAACGCGTTGGCCAATCACAGTGCGCGAAATTGGTCGACCCAATGCGCGTTTGGAAAGAGTCAACAAATTTTGCGCATTATGACTGGCCAACGTGTTGCAAACTCTTAACGGCGTGCTATTGTGGATCCGGCCCGTATTGGACCGTACATTTCGCAAAAAATATTACAAAGCTTGTATGAAGCCTATACATTTGTTGAACAGTGTTCGTCCATCTTTTTGGCATCGTGGTCAAATGGAAATGGCACACGCAGCGCCTTTATCTTAGCAGGTGTGAAATTAATGTTTGCGGACTTATTATACATGCAGTTTTCAAGAAATCAGGCATCCCGCTGAATCGATCTTCAAATTGATTCAAAATTACCAACACTATGGGCCCCGAACTGGACCAGGAGAGGGTGCAAGTTTCCTGGCAACGAAGGCTCCTTTGGTCACAACTGCACATCGCTGGTTCACGAACGACTATGAAACGCAGGCGTTCCAGTCGCTACCAACAAAATGAACACTCCCGACCAACATGGCTGTTTTCAAACGATCGACCGTGTTATTTTGGTTGTTCCCACCGTTCCTCTTGTGTTGATAAAATTTTGTCTGACAGTTCAACATTCCAATCACAGATTTAGCCAATTCTTGCTACATTGCTCTTTCCTAAACTATTTTTAAATCGACAATTTCACGGCGAAATACTCACCTTCTCCCATACATCAAGTCAATAACTCAGTGCGTCAGCCTCTGTCGATTAACCCAAGTGTTTTAAACCCCTCATAAGGCTGGAAATGTTGACCAACTGTCTCGTTTTTCTTGAAACAAAGCCGACCACACCTCACTAGTATAGATTACTTTTATTACTAGTAGTTTGCCAAGTTGTCACCCTACACGCAGTAGGGGTCTGTTCTCGTGAGCAAGGTGGCTGAAGAGGAAACCGGCCCAGCCACCTTAATGGCCCCATTTACAGCTACAACTTGGCGTAAATGTGCGGCGACCTTTAGATACCTATACGATTACAGTATAGATATCATTTTTGTATTTGCGAAACGTGATTTATGACTGCTGAACTGAAATCCCTGATAATCTCGAATATCCACATTCCAGTATCGTCATGGAATGGGTAGACATGTTCTAACAACTTGATTTCATCATTCTAACCGTGGACAAACATTAGGACACTGATGTCAGATAACGAAATCTGGTAGCTAGTGTACTCCACCGACTTCAGCCTGACAAGGTTCTCTCTCTCTCTATATATATATATACAGCGAGGTTTTCTACATTCACGTTTAGGCTTCTTTCACATCACATTGTACTTTGCCACAACTGATAATACCGGTAAAACATGCGTCTGTGGGAAACACACGAAGTCAGAGCTTTTGAGCTTCCATTGTGCTCATCATTTCCTGCAATAGCTATACTTGGACCTACGAGGCTGGAGTGCGATACCTGCACCTCCAAAGCGTCCTAGGCGCGGGCATTTTTGCATAGGCGTGGTATGTTTGTAGATAAGGCAGAAATGAATGGCAAAATTATACGTATAAGTGTAAAAAAACCTTATTATGTAAATGTACTTTTCGTTTAATACTTCTGAAATTTTGAGCTTCTCAGTAGATGTCCATATATGTTCACTTCTTAATAACCCTTAAGCCAAACCAATCAGACCCAATCCAACCTAACTCTGCTGACTCAGCCGCTGCATGGTTGAACTGGGCGGCGCCGGCGGAGGAGGGAGGGCGGGTAACCTACAGCAAGTAATTATAGACTTAGCAAGAACATAGTGTGGTTGTACGATTTTCATTTGCGCCTAACAAAGTAAAATCTATTCTTCATTCTGACTGATCGATAAACCGACTGACTGACAACTGGCCCAGCCAAGCCCTGATTTTTTTTAGTGCAAGCATAACACTGGAAGCTATACCCTTTGCACGAGCACTTGACGCAAAAGAAAAAAAGCGCTCAGACTTTAAACACTTGTTTGTACCCACATTATGAAAAAAAATCATATTTCATACCGAGATGTGTTTAGGATTTTGTTAAAATGGACAAAACATTTCCAGGATGTTCGTTATTTAACTTTCTGAAATCTGCTGGGCATTTAAAACACACCCTTAGTCTTACTACGAATTTCACTAATTATATATATCTGGGTTAAACGTGATGAAAAGTGGGTACAAAAAGTGTTTAGGAATGTGCTTTAATCTCTACGCACTTTTTATTTAAACAAAAAATATATGAACTCAAGATTCTGTACAATATGGTACATCACAAGAAATCAACATGCTTGGGTGCAACCTCCAATCTCTTACCTCAGCCCGCATATGCGTCATTACCGGCTCTGACGTTACAAAATAGGTATTCTTTCCTTGCCGACAAATTGAGCTGAGCTGACATCCTGCACCAACCTTTCTTACTGCCCGATTATTGCTCACAGTTCCTCCGGTGGCGAAGGTCTCGATCACGCGCAAACGCTACATTGTTAGTACATAGCATCTTTTCAAGCAGAATTGCAGATTGACGTCATGGTGATGCCAATCAAGCTGTCTTTCAATCGGACTAGAGAGGGGGCAGTGTTCCGTACGTCTACTTTATGAATGTAAATTGATGGCCACCTGCGGAATTCGTTACCGTCAAAGTTATTTTGTCATGATCATAATAATTTTCCCCGTTCATTATGGCTAAATACCCAAAATAAATACCCAAAATATATACAGATATTTTTACATATTCAAAACTTTGAAAAGGCTGTCTTAAAAAAAAAATTGTTTTTTTGTATAATTATAGACCCTCCGGCTTGAAAAATTCTTGTTATGGAAACAAATTGGAGGTCGATTGTTTGGAGTATTTTCTTCAGTTCTGACCATAAACGTTTAGAGACGAGTTTAGAAAGATGTTTCGAAACATGGCTTTGGAGGGACCGCTGTCATGAATTTCTAATTGTCATCACGAAACGGCATCACAACGTTTAGACGTCAACGGTTGCCTTGAAGGGACATTTTCGTCCTGAATTTTGCGTTATAGAAAAGAAAATCCGAAAAAGGCTTCCAGAAAATTACATGGTCGACCGTGAGGTCTTTACTGAGAGCATTAACAATTACCTTCGGTCGCCGACGTGCGACGTCGGTCGACTGTGGTCTGAACGGCCAGGGCCTTTCTCCAAATTTCGGCTGACACCACAAATATTTTGAAACGTTCACTGTTGAAAGCAATTGAAAATGTTTGCAAAGGTTAAAATTTCATTCGAAAGTTTGATAACTAGCTGTCGTAGAAAATGGACCTGTACCAAGTCAGGTAGACGGTGTCACTCAGAGAGGACAATGAAAGTGACTCGTAAAAATGACTAAGCCTAAAACCAAAAATGGAAACGAACCGATATGGGCCTAATTTGAGAAACCCATCTACCGGAAGGTCAGCTTTGCAAATAAAAAACAAACCATAAGCAAAAGTGCACATCGCACACCTTTTCCTTCACACGTCTTTGCAGTAAAGGACGAAAATCATAGAAACAGACACCGTAAAATAAATCACGGTATATGGAAGTAACACAATACCAACCCGTTGTCAACTGGAGCAGGTCAATGCGACTGTTGGGCGATTAGTAAGGCACTCACCTCAAACCAGGGACATGATGGATGTATCGTGTGAGGAGTCTTGGTCCAAATTCGTCCTTTCACATTGCAGCAGCTTTCACCTTGTGATACAGTTGCACTTGGTCGATATACACTTCGTCAACAGGCTTATGGTAGGCGGCCGACCTTACAAAAGGCAATAATGTGTAACTCATGGCAATGTCTGGCTCTCCCACGAAGGCGCAGGTTGAATTTCAGAAGGAAATCGTTCCGATTTGGTGATCACGGCTGGCTGATAGCAAGTTCAACAATATGCCTTACACCATACCTCTGCTTTTATTATAAATGTGCTTCTGTGCAATCAGCTTAGCCTATCTTGGGTGCCGCGGACCATTGTGAATACTTAAAGGGACCATGTAAGGCACTTTTGGTTTAGCTATTTTAAATATATCTTTTTTTTCCCGTACAACTAAAAAATTTCAATATCCATGAGCAGAACTGTAATGCCACGGTCATCCCAAGTAGAAAATCTAACTTGCCTTGATTTCATACGCAAAACTATTGGAATTTCAGATTTTCTATTCTAAAGTTACTCTTTTTCAGTAATTTATCAGCGAGTAAGTGCATGGCAATAAGCTAAACGAACAACTCTTTTCCCAAATATGTTTTCAATTACCAAATTTTTGGTTCATAATTTGAACAGAAAACATGTAAACTGAACAGTGTCTGCCCCGATTGGCATCACGGCAACAACGCCCTCAGTTGTCCAGCAGACACGGTTCAAGAGCCAATTTGTTGGGGGGGGGCTAGACCCTTCGAACCTTTAAACCTTCACCACTGCTCTTCCAATTTTTGCATTTTTTTCGGGGGGGAGGGGGCTCGAAAAAAGTTTGGAAGGGGAGCTAAAAGCCTCCCTCGAGCCCTCCGTAGAACTGCGTCTATTGTTGTCCATAAATGCACGGACAATTTTACGTTCTAAAAGTACATTTTTCAATGCACTTAATCCCAAAAGGAGGTCAAATAGTTTTCATACACTGAAGAAGAGATAAAGAAGCCAAAAAAATGTGTGCTGCAGATAAATTTATCTCATCCCATGAGACGGGCCTTCCCATTTATTTGCCATTCATCTGCGTGTTTGATGAGGAGTCAGATGCAGACGAGAGACATTCCAAGACGTCCGTGTAAAGGTGGGCGGCGAGGAGAGCCACCCTGACTCCCCAAAATATGTAAATGAATTTTCTGAGACTGGAAAGTGTGCTTTGTATTTCATGTCCGAAGTGACAGATCAGGTTAGATAGTGACAGATCATCATAATTATATGCACACGCCTTCATTTTTTCACCCCCTTCCTAAAAGATCCATAACGTGGAAAACCTTCCTTTTCAACGTGTTTAGCACCATAAACCCGGTCTGTCCCTTTGGAAATGAAACTAATTAGAAGAATTTCTTTATTCTTTATTCAAAATCCGCCTCAATTTTTCTCACCACGAAAAATTGGGGAATATGATTCAATAGATCATCCTTCCCCGGTCAAAAAAGTGAGAAATATATGCTCCCATCCCCGGGGGATTTACGCCCCTGCTCATCAATTTAGCTCACCTTGGACATCTCTTCTGCTATCCACCTCGAGCAGAAACGCCCCCTTGGAAAGAGCCACTTTGGTCGGCAGTTTTCATTTTGCTAGTAGCGATGCGACTGCAACGCTTGGGTTTCCTAGTCGTTCGTGGACCAGCAAAGCGCAGTTAGTACCAAAGGAGCCTCCGTCGCTGAGGAAATCGGGCCCCTTTTTGATCCCGAAGATTTTATTTACCATGTAGTTGACAAACAAAATGGCTAGCCGGCCGTTGATACAACAAACGCACTGAAGTAAAGCGGTGTGCAAAATTATTTGAACACTTGACGTAGGCCTATTAAGTACTTACAGTAACTTGCTGGTGACGAAATGGCAATCAATATACCCATCAAATGTTTCGTATACGTATGCAAATTATTTTAACACTTTTCATAAGCGAGAATGAAGTTGCTAGTACTGGAAAAAAAAACAGTTATGTAATGTTTTCCATTTTTGACGCATTATCCAGACAACTCTAGTAACCAGCTATTCGTACACCCCTTAATCAATATTCTGCAGTTTTTTGTTTTGTTTTGGTCCAAATCAATTGTAATACTCTTTGCATGCATTAGTTGATATTTGAAGCTCTTCATGGTGGTACTGGCAAGTAGAGATTATACTGTAGGTCTGTGATAGCATCGTGCAAAAATACGGAAACGTATTACAGCCACGCATATAATTCTTTTCAAGTACGTACGTACGTGACAGTTTCACTTACGTACGTGATAGTTTTCACGTACGTACGGACTCAAATCCACCAAAACCAGACCGGGGGTGTGCGTGCAAGTTACACGTGACAACGGTGTGTCAACCTAAACGGACGTAAAAACTATCACGGCTTTGAGTACTCACCGGTTCCTCTCAGAACCACACCTTTTCTGAAGAGATAATTTCATTGGTGTACCTGCAAACCTACAGCTTAAGTCTGAACAGTAAGTTGGAACGAAACGGCAAGTGTGCATACGCAGAATGTCGAGTGTTCAAATAATTTTGCAAATGTATATTGCATTCAAGCACTATAATGCTGAAAATAACAACATTTTACGGATATATATGCTGTAATGATTGCCATTTCATCACGGGGAACTAAAATACATGTACGTGTACACTGTGCCTGAAATATGACGTGTTCAAATAATTTTGCACACTACTGTTTGTCATCATAATTCACAAAGAGTTAACAAATCTCACGCTATTACAAAATGTACTTCGGGTTGGGAAGATAATAATTTTGATTAACAGATTTTAGCTCTTAAGGGTAACTGCAACAAAACATCACGCAAGCTAATAAACACTACAACCAAATACCAGTTGGAAATATCCCCACTTCAACACTTATGGAGTAACTGCGCATTTTGAGGCAAAACTAGTTTAAAAACGTACATGACGAACTTTCTGGAAACTGACTGCCCCAAACGACGAGAGAAATGTATAGCCGCGCTGTCCCGGCAACTTTAAAATGCAGAAATGGAACTCCTCTCAAATTAAGCCCATATTTACCAGGCATGAGCTCTTGTGTATCAAATGGTATGCTGAACGAACTCATTTAATACAGGGTATTATATTTTTGTCAATCTCTGACAATTTTGGGATCGAGAAATGTGAAAATAATTTCCGACATTGAAGCAGTAGCTCATATCAGCTCATTTCCGTTGGCTCCCTCTCTGGCTCCTCGTTAGAAAGGTTTCAAAAGGAACATGTGCAGCCTGTATAGAACCTACCACTTCCCATGCAGAGCTTAACTAATTGCTGGAAATGCTTTGCTGCTGAGGTTTAATGGACTGAAATTCTCTCTCAGATAGTTAACAATGTCCATATCACATGACTCGGAAATCATTTCAATATTATAGGGGCACTACACTATTTTGATGCGCTGATGAGGAGGATCAGCTGCTCTTTTAAGGGTTTTCAGGCGCAACATTAAAGGTAGAAATAAATATGACGAGTTTCATTTTAAAATCTTTGAATGTTCTCTTAATGTTGGACCTTTGGTGCGTTTATATGAGGACGATCAAATGACCATGTGGGTTTTCGGGTGCAACATTAGGAAAAAATTAAATTACGAGTAAGATGACTTGTTCCGTCTGAAGATGTTCTCTTTTTGAAGGTCTATAACTATTCCCTTTTCTTGGCGGGGAGTTGGGTTGCTTGTTAAGTTTCAGGAGCCAAAATTTAGGCCCTAAAAAGCCCCCCCCTCAAAAAAGGGTACAAATTATAAGAGTTTATCGAAAAGAAAACTGTTATGAAGATATATTATTCATCATGCGATTTTCCTGCAGAAGCAAGAACTATTAGGAATTAATACGGTTGACCATGCACCTACGGAAGCGTATAAGTGCCACTTGCAATTTTTTTCGAGTTATTACCGGTATCTCGCCGCGGCGAGATAATAACTCGAAAAAATTGCAAAGTGGCCCTTATACGCTTCCGTTTTATGCACAAATCCCCAACCGAGATTTTTTTCACCTCATCTTAAAATGTATGAAATCCCAGCGGATTTTAATGCTATGCATTTCAAATTACTCCATTTAAAGTCGAAATAAATCCTGTTCGTAGAAATTTAACTGCCTGGGATTAGTTGGAACATCGAGCTACTTTATATGCAAATAAAACCAGTTCTAATAAGCCCATGAAATCCGCATGCATTACAAAAAGCAGAGCTCTGAAACAAGAGTTTCTCCGACTTGGAGAGTCTGAGTTAGAGAACTTTGAGCAGCCAAATTTTAAGTTTTCTCATTTGGCAGCAGAGTGGAGCGATGTCGTGTTAGCAGTGTCCCCCGCATGGCAATGTGTAAATGAGAACAGTGCCTGCGTCGTAAAGGGGAGAATGGCACAAAATAGTACTGTATAAGGTTGGTCATTCGCATTACGTGTAAATACAATATACATGTTCTGAGGACAATTTATCATTGTTATTAATGATGCCACAATCTAATCTTACCATGCCACGCAATCTTATCATTGTCCTAGTCGTTGGTTTAATTGTTTATTTTTGTCCGTATGGGTGTTTGAGCTTAACTCGTGATGGCAATTCCAGCCAAATTTATGTTGTTATTATGTGCAGCTAGAGACAGAACGACTGTGTTGCCTTGCCATTCCAACGGATTACTGTGATTCTCATTTTAGCTGCACAATTACTATTACATCTTTGGCACAATGTGCACTCTCGGTTGACCCGTCCTCGCGCGTTCCGTATAGTGTTCACAGAGCACACTACAGACCGAAGGCAGTGGACACCAAGGGCTTGAAGTCAGCTTGTCAAGTTGATATTGCTGCAGTTGGAGCCCTTTTTCACACTCTGAAAACTCCCGGTTCAGACTGACCAGGGAAAAGGGTAAAACGGTCCAGGGCGGGATAATTTTTGATAAGGTAAATTGCCAGGCCCTACAGGTCAATTTGACTCCGGTTTTTAGGGGGGTATGAACCTCAGAGGAAACGAGGGTTAGCTTGCCTTACACCTATTGCTTTCAGTACAGATGACCGACACATTGTTGAAGATGACTTTTGAAGATGCGCGAGGTTTGGTGAGCGAACTGTCAGCTAAACGCTTGTATTACATTATCAAGTAATATCAACGTAATGACATTCTTGCCAGATTTTTCCTGGTCTGTTCAGCAGATGGAAATATGATGAATATTAAACGGGGGGAGTATATAGCCCATAAGTTCTAAAATGGGCCATAAACAATAAGGTGGAAGACAAAATATAACATAGAATTCAAACGGTGTTTGTTCAAATAAAAATGCAACGAATCGAATATTTCAAAAGCCCAAACCCCCCAGAGATACATGTAGTAGGCCTATACTAAGTAGTGAGAGCTTAACTCTCACCGTGCTCCTGCCGCCAACAACAACTTTGGGAACCATAAAGAGTGCTGTGTTTTTCACGTTCGATAACATCACCATTATTTATGACTTACGTGTATACGATACATGTAGTGCCCAGTCACTTTCAAATGTGCACTTGTTTGGAAAATCTTGATTATTGGGGATCCTTTGGCATGTAATCTTGTAAATTCAAACTACCGTATAGGAGGCGTTCTACGCCTGCAACCCCAACGAAAAAGAGACACCCGGCAGCAGCCATGCTGTAAGCAAGTCCCAAGGCTCCACATATGCACCACAGTAAATGCAGCGGGCCAGTTGTTCTAAACCGCGAATCCGTACCACAGCAAGTGATCTCCACAGAAACGCAGTCCGTCAAGGTTCAGACGTCTGTAACCCAGCCGGTTGACCACACGGAAGGGTACTGTCCACTAATTCAAGCTCATTGAAAACAGTGTAAAATCAGCATTATCCAGGGCCCAGTAACATAGTATAAGATTTCAACATCCCTGAGATTTCTGAAATAACGCAAATTTAATTTTTTCCTGGTTCCTAATCTTTCAATTTCTTTTTCACTTTTTTTTGGTGGGTAACCAATTATATTTTTAATTAGGCCTATTCCCACAAAACAAAATCACCCCCGGAGGTGATTTTTCCGAAGTCTGCTTGCAGCCATTTGTCAAGCGGCAACCCTCAACTTTCGGGCACATATACCATTTTTCAACTGTATGATTTTCAGATTCTGCTCTCAGATGGAAGCCCAAAGAAGGGAGTCAATTTCATTTCAAAACACGGCCCCTGCTCGGAGCGGATAGGAAAGAACATGCCTCGCTATCCGCCTCGAGCAGAAGCACCCCCTCATCGGTTGAAAAGAGCCTCGTTGGTTGAGAGTGTTCCTTTTTTTTGGCAGCAATGGGACTGTGAAGCGTGCATTACCTCGTCGTTCGTGAACCAGTTCCGACCGAAGAAGCCTCCGTTGCTAAGAAAAAAGCGCCCTCTCTTGGTCCACCTTGAAGCCCATTAGCACGAGTGGGTCCGGATTCATGAAATTGTTCAGTCGTGAGCTGGGTTGCAGCAGAGAGGAATACGAACACTTATTCCTCCATGGTTGCACATTAGGCCTATTTTTTTGTATCTCAGGACCGTGTCAAAAAGCATTTAGGGTAGGCCTACGACTTCCAAACAATAACATTTCATTATTCACAGGAATAATTTGAGGTAATTTAGCTGCACTTCAAGTCTTCAGTAAGTGTACGCTACCGCGTTTATCAGACAGAAATTATAAGCAAAGCGTTCTCTCCGAATGAGTACTATAGACCCTTGCTGAGGATTTATTAAAGTGTGGTGATCATCTGCCAAAATTAAAAGCACCATAAAAAAATGGTAATATCCTTTTAGTTCGCAGCCCGCGTAAAGGGCCATGTATTTTCCCCCAGTTTCATGAAGCATGGGCCTACATACTAGCCCAGACCTACTCTTTCCACCTCTACTCCGCATCCGTCACATGCTGAAGCTGTTTACCTCCACGTTTAGGCCTACTAAACTAATAGGAAAACCGATTATTTGTTATCATCATTCTAAACATTTTTGAAACTAGTTTAGATATATTGCTTCAGCCCCCTCTTCTAACGAACGATTTGGCAGACTTGCGAAAATGAGAGAGAAGGCACAAATGACTGGAATTCTTTTTCATTTTGAAATTAAAGCGCCAACATCATTGATAGACTGCTCGCCACCTTTTAATGTTGCCATAAGGATAAAGCATACGCCTGGGTACCATTTTAATGGGTATTTGGGAACTAGTACCTTGCATTCCCTAAAGCTACTTTTCATAATTAGTTTCGGGCGTATATTCTGGTAGCCATGCTAACAATAGCGCCGGTCGCACTAGCACTCCAAAGTTCGAGTCCTCATCAACACTCAGCACTTTTGGAAGCGGAAATCGGCTCGCACGGATGTGACTGTTGGCATAATCATGGGATCTCGAACATCGAGTTTGCTTCAAGCGGAGGAAATTGAGGAAATCCAAAAAGAAACAGGGTGTAAGTCAATGTTAATAAGTTAGGGTTAAGCAGATGCGGGCATTGCAGAACTCCTGGTACTCGTCGTAGGCCTTAGCCTAGACCCGTAAACAGGGCCCAACGAATACTCCTCCGTCGTATACTGGGCCTTGTCCCGTTTAATAGGGATTTCTTTCGAAAACGTTATCCGGGACATCCGGGGGGCATAATTAAACATCCGCTTAATTTTATGAGCTGAAATTGCACCGGTATGTTCACTACTTACGCTGTAAAAAATCCACTAGGTTGCTAATTGTAGAAAACTTGCCTTTTCCTCGTTTGGAGGAAAAAATGTTGCCTTTTTTCTACTCCATACGAATTTTCGCCTGACTTGTACATTACACAGACTCCTTTGTATGATTAAGTGATGGTACCCTGTACGAGAGCCTGTCTAGTTTGCACCCAGACTTCTAGCCCCACCAGTGTGGCACAGACTCTCACTCCCGATCCATCCTTAGCCACACATCCGTATGCGCAATTTCGTGTCGGCGTATTGAACATTTCGGCGCACCCACTTATCATCATGGGCGCAATTTCTTTTGCACACGAACATGATTCTTGACCTTTCCACTTTCTAAAAACCATTTATTGAATGATTTCACTCACGTTATTCAAGTATTTTCCTGTCTTTTTGCCTTTATCCATTCAATCTAACAGGTTCGCTCTCACAGTCGCCATCTTTAAAATAAGGTCATTGAAGAGTACGACACTTGACCCCTCATCGTCTCGACGGTGTGCAAAAGAAATTGCGTCCACGATGATAAGTGGGTGCGCCGAAATATTCAATATGCCGACACGAAATTACGTATACGGATGTGTGGCTCATCATCTCGATGGCTGTTCCATGTCAAAATATATAATACACGGACTGAGCGATAAGATACTACATGTACCAATGGGCTCTTCCAAAACTTGGGCAGCAGTTTAGATATGTCGTCGAGACGATGAGGGGTCAAGTGATGTAATGTTCAACGACCTTATTTTAAAGATGGCGACTGTGAGAGCGAGCCAGTTATATTGAATGGATAATGGCAAAAAGACTGGAAAAGACCTGAAAAACGTGAGTGAAATCATTCAATAAATGGTTTTTAGAAAGCGGAAAGGTCAAGGATCTTGTCAGTGTGCAAAAGAAATTGCACCCACAATGATAAGTGGGTGCGGCAAAAATTTTCAGTACGCTGACACGAAATTGCGTATACCAATGTGTGGCTAAGGATGGAGCGGGAGTGAGAGTCCGTGCCAGTCCGTAGGCCTAAGCCTACTCCGAGAACTTTGAGTCATTGCTCCGTCACGTCCATGTGGTTATCGTGGTGTGACTCAGAGGTGATGCCATTTCTATAAGTACTATATATAATGCTGTGTTTTTAAATCCAGTTTTGTAGTGAAGATCCTTTAAGGCAAACTCCGCTTTTTCAACCAAATTTTCCTGTGAGCATAGTGAGAGCCTACTCCCCTCTTAACACGCCAGAATGTGAGTTTCAGACCATAAGACTGGGTATCCACTGAAAAATCTGACATTTTTACTCACCAGTCTCTCGTGTGTCCACATGACTTGCGCTATGCCGATCAGGCATATTGGGCAAGAAAAATGTTTAGCTCATTGGTTGCACATGCATTGGGCCAATAGCCAGGCTTGCTCTGCATTTTGGTCAGGCCCATACCATTTTCGGTGCGTGACACGTGCGGCGCTGTGAGTCATTGACNTGCACACGAACATGATTCTTGACCTTTCCACTTTCTAAAAACCATTTATTGAATGATTTCACTCACGTTATTCAAGTATTTTCCTGTCTTTTTGCCTTTATCCATTCAATCTAACAGGTTCGCTCTCACAGTCGCCATCTTTAAAATAAGGTTGTTGAAGAGTACGACACTTGACCCCTCATCGTCTCGACGGTGTGCAAAAGAAATTGCGTCCACGATGATAAGTGGGTGCGCCAAAATATTCAATATGCCGACACAAAATTACGTATACGGATGTGTGGCTCATCATCTCGATGGCTGTTCCATGTCAAGATATATAATACACGGACTGAGCAATAAGCTCTTCCAAAACTTGGGCAGCAGTTTAGATATGTCGTCGAGACGATGAGGGGTCAAGTGACGTAACGTTCAACGACCTTATTTTAAAGATGGCGACTGTGAGAGCGAGTCAGTTATATTGAATGGATAATGGCAAAAAGACTGGAAAAGACCTGAAAAACGTGAGTGAAATCATTCAATAAATGTTTTTAGAAAGCGGAAAGGTCAAGGATCTTGTCACTGTGCAAAAGAAATTGCACCCACAATGATAAGTGGGTGCGGCAAAAATTTTCAGTATGCTGACACGAAATTGCGTATACCGATGTGTGGCTAAGGATGGAGCGGGAGTGAGAGTCCGTGCCACACTAGTGGGGCTAGGCCTAAGCCTACTCCGAGAACTTTGAGTCATTGCTCCGTCACGTCCATGTGGTTATGGTGGTGTGACTCAGAGGTGATGCCATTTCTATAAGTACTATATATAACGCTGTGTTTTTTAAATCCAGTTTTGTAGTGAAGATCCTTTAGGGCAAACTCTGCTTTTTCAACCAAATTTTCCTGTGAGCATGGTGAGAGCCTACTCCCCTCTTAACACGCCAGAATGTGAGTTTCAGACCATAAGACTGGGTATCCACTGAAAAATCCGACATTTTTACTCACCAGTCTCTCGTGTGTCCACATGACTTGCGCTATGCCGATCAGGCATATTGGGCAAGAACAATGTTTAGCTCATTGGTTGCACATGCGTTGGGCCAATAGCCAGGCTTGCTCTGCATTTTGGTTAGGCCCATACCATTTTCAAAGGCAGGGGGTCGTATCTTGTTTTCATTGCTCGACTGTTCTTGCTGTGTGACTTGCAGGCCGATAACATCAGAATCGGTGCGTGACACGTGCGGCGCTGTGAGTCATTGGCCNAGATACATTTATTTATTTCTGTGAAAGTCATTCAGTCCATTCCTTTTTTATTTCATGAGTGAGGAGTTATAGGCCTACAGCTTGTCTTTACACTGTATACCCTCCAAACCAAAAACAAGTCACGCAGCAAGAATGGTCATGCAGTGAAATCAACTTGTAATCCCCTGCATCTGAAAATAGTTGAATCGAAATGTGCAGCAGGCTTAGCCATTGGCTGGCCGGACACCTGCGCAATGTGATAAACACAGACGGCATGAACAGCGCAATCGATGTTGGGTGGACATGAGAGATTGGTGAGTAAAAATGTCAGATTTGTCAATGAATACTCGGTCTCATTGTCTGAAGCTCCCGTTCAGGATGTATAAGAGCCACAGTTACTTCACAGTTGCTCTCACGGGAAAATTTAATTGAAACAGCGGAGCTTGCTTTAAAGGATCTTCACCGCAAAAAATTGGCTTGAAAACACAAAGCCTCACAACCCTATGAAAATGGCACACGTATACTGTAACACCTCTGAGTCACACAAAGTAGTGACTCAGAGATCTCGAAGTATCCTGACTAGGCCCTACTCCCCGTGAGTTGGCACGGTTGGAGGTTCTCAAGTCACTTTTAATGGGTCCGTAACGCTGTGGAATTTAACTGCAGCCCCAACAATGACCTTCTGTCAGTCATCAAAACTGTACGTTCTCAATCAAATCTTCTCCCCTAAAGCCATCAAAACTAAATTGTATCTCTTTAAAATGCGTTGGTTATAGTTTTTGAACCGTGTAACTAGTCATATGGAGTAGTGACTTTGAGTTCTGTAAGTAGGCATTGCGTAGGCCAGCTAGCCCAGGTTGGACGCCAGTCTTCATTACATCACAACTAAAACCATAGCCTTCAGCAAATGTCGAACCCCACGGTTGGTGTATGCCCACATGTACATGCCATGCCTGTGACGGAAAGAATTCTAATATGGAACGCACAACTCCCTGTGACATGCGGGAGCTTTGTGATCTTTCACGTTAAAAACATTGTACGACATTATGATAAGTCAATGGGGTTTTCACCAAGCAACCGACGTACTGTGCTTTACAGTATCTTTTTTATAAATGTAGGATCCTTGAAGCCTGCAGGCTGTATTTCAAAGAAATCCCTGGTCTTTGTCGCTGTTGTGGTCGAGTACTTTACAAGTATCAAGTTCTCTGCCAAACATTTAACTAGTTAGGAAGGAACAAAGCTGAAGAACGGTATATGGGCATTTAATGATATGTGCACAAAGGTAAGATTACATAAGTACATCATGACTTCAGACTATTACTGTTCAATAAAAATTAAGTTTTTAGGACAAAAGTACTCAAAAAATACTCCCCGGTGCACTTTTTGAGTACTTTTCTCCTTAAACCTTAACTTTTGCAAAACTGGGAGTGTCTGAAGTCTTACATGTACAGTTTGTCATCTTACCTTTGTGCATTTTTCATCAAATGCCTACAGGTACGTAGTCCAGCTTTATTCCCTCTTACCTAGTCGATTATTTGGTAGAGAACCTTGGTACTCTAAAAGTGCTTGACTTGACTGTTCAGAAATAAAAATGGATGAATTATTTGTTGATTATTTTTCCTGCAATACAGTTTCCAAAAGACAAATTGTACGACTCTACAGTCGCTTCACGAGCTTGGACAAGAGTGACAATGGAGCTCTGAGGTAAATTGATGAGAGATCTGTGATATTTCCAAGTAAAGATATTTAATAAAAATGGGATAGTTACATGTACTTGCACCTCATTAGGTGTTACTTAGGTGCAAAGTACTATACATATGGATGTTGTGCTCATATATGAAGTGGTTAATTATTCCTGTCTTGTTGGCTTTGCTTTCTCTGCTAACAAAGGACATTGTTTCTATTGAAAAACAAAATCCTCTGGCAGCGAATGCATATTTTGCCATGGACAAATGGAGTTCCCCTTCTTTATTTCTGGCGTTTGTCCAGGGTCTGTTTGCATGGACTTAAGATGTGATAAACTCGCTTAAGACTTTCCTTGAAGTTTGTGTCAGCTACTCAGATACATGTCGTGGGAACATTTGAACCTGCTCACAGTGTTGTCGCATAACCCGTTATTTTTGTCTTTCGCTCTGCACCCTCAGTCGTGAAGATTTGCTTAGGATCCCAGAACTTGCGATCAACCCACTGGGCGACCGCATCATTCATGCCTTCTTCATGGACAACCCGGAGAGCAAGATCAACTTCCGTCAGTTCATGCGCACACTGTCACTCTTCAGGCCAATCAAGAGCCGAGACAAGGATGCGGAGAACCCTTGCAACAGTCGGGACAACAAACTAAAATGTGAATACATGTGTATGTTGTTAGAAATGAAGTTGGACTGTCTACTTTGAGCCAAGTCCCATCTTTGTAAGCAAAAGTACTGTGCTTACCACTGGCAGGACTTGGGTGGTATTTCATGATTAGCAGATTTAACCTAAATGCCTGCACATTTTAAGTAAAAATTCATTTATTAGGTCACTATCGCAGAAATCTGTGCTAACCAAGTAAACTAATAATCCTCAATTGCGGGATCATGACTTGATAATGCAATGCACATAATCCAAATTTGCTCACCTATTGAAATACACTCATTAATGTAAAAAGTTATTCACCCAGTAAAATCCATTCAGGTTTAAAGTCTGCTGGGTCCTTTATGGATGCTGCAAATCCTTCTGGTCAAAAGCATTTATGGTCTTCACATGGATCAACATGATCCATTAAGTCAAGGGTCTTTGAATTCTGAACTGGAGAATTGTGCACTCAACATGTTCTTAGTGTATTTTTGTAGAGTGGTTTGTTGCTTGTGCACAGTTGGCCTTGGTAACTGGACGTCACTCACCAGTTCCAACTTTTCATGCCACAGTTGCCTTTCGCATGTACGACCTGGACAGCAGCGGCACGGTGACTCGAGAGGAACTGCTGGTCATTCTCCAAATGATGGTGGGGTCCAACATAACAGAGGAGCAGCTGGGATCCATCGCGGACAGGACCATCGCTGAGGCAGATGAGGACAACAGTGGTGCCATCTCGTACGAAAATTTTGCCAAGGTGGGTGTTATGTATTCCCCTAATGTCCTCCTGCTTCGGGAGTGGCAGTCACTTGAAGGATTTGTCATCTGTGTTTCAGTGAACTCTCTCCACAAAACATGAGGGGCATTGAAAATGCATAATGCATCTTATTTGATAACTTCATGGGCAATGCTCAAGGAGAGAAAAAATAATCGTTCTGCATAAATTTTGAAAAGGACTCAGACTTTATAGTGGCCCGTCCAGTTTTACAATATCGTTTCCGTCATTTTCAAATGAGTGTACAAATTGTAAGCTGGGAAGGAGGGTGGAAAAATGCACATTGCACACTTCGTTAAAAAGCTGACCCCAAAATTGGATGACCTCTTATTGTCAGAAATATCACTGAAGGAAAGTTAACGTGGGGAGAGCAGGTGTTTTAAACTGATGAAGTAATTCAAACAATGCTACTTAATTTCTTCCCTGCATTTTACCACCAAGAAGGTGTTTTAAAAAACAAAGTTTTCAATTGCTGAATGTACTCGTTCTTGCTGCTTTAATAGAGAAAAAACCTTCAGTATCTCAAGAAATTTGGTTGTCTTTAAATGTGCTACATCGGGGATCTGAACCAGTCAGACATTTAAACCTGCCACTATTTAAAGTCACAAAATGTCCAGCCTAACAAAAATGTTTCAAGACGTTTCCTTTTTCTTGCCCACCAGGCTCTGGAGAGGACGGATGTGGAGCAGATGATGAGCATCCGTTTCCTGAACTGATTGTGCCAGGTTGATATGGCTGGATCCATGTTATCCTTTTCAGACAAATCCAGATCACGATCCGATCAGTAATCCATCACTGGTTCACTGGCATGAGAAACTGCCTAATGGGTGGAGGGGACCAGCATTGAGAAAACTGATCAAGATCTAAGCCCGTGTGAAACAAAAAGACCCACAGACTTTATTCACGAGTCGGCCACATTGAATTGACAGCTAGGTTAAGTTTCCAGTTTGGGAAACCTTAGAGTTAAAATGAGGGCAGCGAAGTAAAAGTTCTTTACACATTAATGCCAGTTCATACTGATTAGATAATTCAAAATTTGTGATTAATTATGTTTGCAGCCACATCTAAAACAAGGAAAGTGAGGCTTGGAACTCCAAATTGTCCAGCGCAACCCTACTTAACAGATCACATTTAATCATTTACATTTAGGGAACATGAACAAATGTGGCTTCTCTGTGAATGAAGTCTGTGGCAGGGAAGGGAAGGGGCAGTTTGTGTGACATTCACCCTCAGCGGTTTATTCAGCTCATCCATACAAAGTATCCGCTGTTTTCATGTTTTTAAAGGGTCTTTCTGCAAATTTCTACTCCTTGAATATAAGCCTATATTCCATTTTGGGGGCTTTTATTGTCTTTGAAAAGTGCACTTTTTAAAAATGATTCAAATTTTCTAAACTTATCCTAACAAATAAGAGCGCTGATGCTGTGATATTATCATGGTTTGGGGGATATTCCGTTTGAATTGCGAACCTCAAACCTGCTCACTGAAAATGTTGATAAGAGAGCTTTGCTCACATACCTACCCTCCTGAATAGAAAAAACAATGAAGCAGCAAAAGCAAACCAAATTTACAACAGCAAAAACATCCAAAACTCTAAGAAAATCTAGTGCTGAAATTGCTTTACCGCTGCGGTTTCTGCCTTGGATGACAACACACTTTTGCTCATAAATATACAAATTGTATTGGCATAAATATGAAAAAGTCACCAAATACCCTTGAAACTGAAAAAGCAGATATTGGAAATTGGGTTATACAGACACAAAGGAGCACTTACAAGAACTGCATGACAAAAATTACATTGCAAGGGCACTTGAGTATTAAATACCATCCATCCTACTGTCGACTCATTGATTCCTGCCCTATCCGGTTCGTGAGTGTGAGGTCACTTCTGTTTAAACCATGCCCTCCGCACGGAGAGTTACATGGAACCATGGAACCAGAAGTTAACGCACAACTTCATTGTTTGTCCAACAGGAGCCGGCAATCAGTGGTGTGTCCGCGTGCATAAGAACCTGATGAACAATATTTTGCTACTGTCTCTTGCAACAATACCATATATGCACAGCCAGTGTCAGTGTTGTATGTTTGTGGATTTCATAACTGGATAATCTTATACATGCATTTTCAATCTCTCTGGAGGATAACTTGTGTTTTTGTGGAGAATTTGCCTCTGTCTGATGTTAATCATTAATGATATAAGTATACAAAACATGATTTTAGGGTGCGTAGTTTATATTAGCTACCTGAGGTATTGGAAGTTGACAGATTAGTTTCAGAGGCAAAGCATTGGGAACTGGTTTGTAAACTTCTAATCCGAAGGGATAACGACCCTCTGCCCAAACTAAACCATGTTATATTTGTTTTACCATAGCTCTTACTTATTAATATTTCACATTCATGTGGGGCTAGCTTGATTGCACAGGCTCACTACCCACGAGCAACAGCTGCACAATTTCCTCATGGATGTTGAATGAACCACTGAGAATTTCACCCTCAATCATGAATATGCGTGAGGTTTTTGTAAGTTGTACTGTAAAGTCAGTGTTGTCTGTCAACGCATCATACTCACCGGGAGGTCATGGCTCAGATGAGCCAAGTAAGCTTGTAGAGATTGTTTGCACATCTTTCTTGGTTTCTTGGCATTTGATGTTTGTAATACGCAGACTTTACCAGAACATAAATTTTATACATTTGTGAAGAATGCATAAAAGGTGGACTGCATGTTCCTTGCTCTAGTTTGATAAGTCCATCTTTAGATGTGGTAATTGGTATTTAATTGCTTACACGTGTACATTGCTATGGAGCCAGTGGTGGCCCACGGTCCACTGCACACCATAGGAAAGTACACATGTAAACAATGTGGGGGCCTGATCAGTACAGAGGTCTATTGTCATATAAAATGGGGAATCTAGTCAGCAGTTGTCTGTGCATATATCCAAGAAGTGCTCAAATATGGATCTACATACTGAGCTTCTCCACCATTACACCATAGCTCAATGTACTTGTCTGTATTTCCTCATCTAGGGTTGCAACTACACGTGCCTGTTGTACCAATCTGCTACACCTGTAGATTGATTCCTGAAAATAGAATGTTTAAGTGCAGAAGCAAGGGCAACTCATCTGAGCATTTATGTACAAGATTCCACTGGTCTTTCTTTCCAAAAGCACTATTGTAAATGGGTTTCGCAATACTGTAACATCCATCTGGCATTATGTATAACACTAGGGATACTGACATAAACACACTCTGCCAGTCACTCATGACCTTTGTACCGAAACTATCACTAAATGGCGGAGTATATTGAAACGTATATGTGCATGTAATGTTCAACTGAGTTGAGTCGACCCCACATGAGCAGCGCCTCTGTGAACAAGTAAAGTTTAAAGAATTGCTTAATACATGTATATGCTTATGTTTACCGTTGTTGAAAGAGGAAAGCTTTAGAAGTTGATTTTATCTGAAACTGCTAGCAACCATACATTCCTCAGCTTGAAAAGAAAAAGAATCTTATCTGATTTCAAAGTCTCCAGACTGGTTCCACATACACTACTCAAAAAAAAGTTAAGGACCACATTTATTTTGTGTATACTTTTGAATGAGATATTTTACTGCTGAAAATGTGCATTTGATATTTTGAAAAATTTTTCTATTTTGTATGGTAATGAGAATAACATCTAGACAAACAAACAAACAAACAGTAATGCCTTTGCGCAAAATTGCAAAAAAGCCAAAAGTGAAAGAACTAGACCCCACTCATTGCTTGGAAAAAAACAAGTTAAGAAAAAAGTGGTCCTTGACTTTTTTTGAGTAGTATACATGGGCATATTGGGTTGAATAATCTGGGATGTGACATTGAAGTGAGTTTTTCATTCAGTTTGTTTTACATTGTGTTATGAATTTATAATTGGTTATAAATGGCCAAATTAAAAATTTACTGCACATTGTAAATTTCCCTCAAGAGACATATTAGAAATCGTTCATAACTTAGTTCCCAGAAGACCCAACAAGAAAAAAAAGATGCCATGCTGGGCTTATTAGAAATGAAAAAGCACAAAGATGAATTATATACTAACACCTTTGTTTTTAGAATAAATTTAATAATTTTTATTAAAATGAATATATTTTGTATTAACAAGTGCATATAATGGAAAGATTGCCTGTGTAAAAATAAATGTAATTGAAAATACGTTGTAGTACATCTACATGAAAGTATTTTGCCGTCTTTCGTGCATCTTATTAATTTGTTATTTGTGGCCATAATGTGTGTTCTTGTTGCCTTCTTTTTATCTGAAACATTTCATTTTAACTACATGCAGGGGAGACTCTAAAACCAGTAAAAACGACACCAGGAAAACCCCCGAACACTTTGGTCAAAGATTGTTCCAGGATTTTGTATTTTTTGGAAAACTTTAGATGACTTCCAGTCAACTCTTATCATTCATTTCATTGTCAAACATTTTTATTTGTTCAAGATTTCTGTTTGTCGGTAAACGAGGATAGACCAAGCAAACAAACTGAAAAGAGGCATATGGAGTTGATGTAAACATCACTGATACTCATAGATACATGTCATTTATCAGGCCAAAATTGCCATAATTAGTTTTGACAAAAAAATATTAAAAGTTTAAGCCCTTTTTTCCTAAGCGTTTTCGGACTCTTAATTCAGTGTTCAGAGAACTTTTCAAATTGTTTTAAATCCATGGCACCTACATATTGCTAAAATGAAAAAGTAGTCTTTTCAAGAGAAGTTTTCACATGTCATTTCTTCGTGAAATATTTAAGTGTGGGGGGGGGCAAATTTCTCTCGACAGAAATTATTTCCATATATTATCAATCTTTGAAAAATACTGTGAGCAGGGCTCTAAGCTGGACCGAGAGAGGGTGCAAGTTTCCTAGAAATAGAGGCTGCTTTGGTATAGTAGTAACGGCATATCACTGGTTCACGAACGACTATAAAATGCAAGCGTTGCAACGCTCACATCAGTACCGACACTGAACATGAGTACCCAACCAACATGACATTTTTCAACTGATGAGGGGGTGGTCCTGCTCAGGGCGGTAAAGGTGTCTTGCTCAGTCATCCACCTTCCTATAGGATAATAGAAAAGTAATCAACCATAATGCAAAGCATGTTTCTGCGGTTGTGACGTATTTCCATCTGAAAAAAAGGTAGAGGATTTTCAGTCACATGGTTTTTAACGGTCAGTGTTCAATTTACACGGACGTGTGTGGAAATAATGACCGCACTGTATATGATGTAACATTCTGGCATACATGAAATAATACCCAGATTCAGAAATGCACACGCCTCCACGGACATGGTACGCTTTCCGAAATGTCTTTGCCTGCCATATTTTACTATTGGGTCACGTGAAATTCCTCCATAGCGCATTTGCCATTCCCAGTGGCCTGTAGGCCAGTGAGTGGTTGTGGAGGAGTTCAGAAATTTGTCCAACCATAAGTAAAAGTATTATGAAAGGCAAGTAATTGTCTGGGCGATCTAAAGCGATTCTACTGAATGCTATCAGTTGGAATAAAAAAGAAGAATGCCTTTTTCGCAAAATTGCGAAAAAGCTAAAAATGGTCAAATGTCAGGTATGCGGAAGGTAGAGGTATACCCTCATAATTGAGCAAATAGCACAAGAGGACACACACCCACCGGACCATCGATAACTCTAGGTGCACATTTCATATTTACAATGGATCGGTTATTGGTTTTGCAATTCACGGTTGCCTAAAAGAATTTGTCAGTCGGGTTAGGGGCTCAAATTGAACTCCAGTACGATATCGATATCTCTAATGTATAAAAATTCCAATTAAACTGATCGCTGAATATCACACAATCTAACAGCAAAATATATATATATACGTTTATCGGCAGCGTTTTTAACGTTAAATGTTGCTCTCCTAGTATTTTAACCACAATGCATCATCGATCGTCAACCAGCTGCCTGCATAAACAATTTGATGTCGACTAAAACCTCCCTCGGAAAACCGTTCCCCAAGGCAGATGCGCATGCGCGCAAGACGCGGCTGAGTGTACACGGCGTCACTCACTGGCCCCCTTTGCTGGGATGTTAGCAAACAAGTTCACTTGTCCTTTCCCACACTGCAGATTACAGACACACTTTTGACAAAAGACTATTAATAGTTTCAGGTTGCCTTTACTCTGCCCTAACGCAAACTTTTAGGGTCCATAGTCATCTTAGATGCTTCTTAAATATGACTTTTTAGCTGATCGAAATTAAATGCTTGTTAATTATCAACGATCATTATCATCCCCCCCAGCCCAGCCCCAAATTTTTTCCTGATATTTGATATTTTGATGTTTCTAAATAAAAATCCAACCATTTTCAACCTTGGAGATATAGCTCCGCACGGCGAAAATGACTTGTTTCTGGCAAATGGACGCGGGTATTTCAGGAAGCGTACCATGTCGGCCGGACGGAGGCGCGCAGATACAGTTTAGAATCTGTGGTATTATTAATGAGTTGGCAAATCCATCATGCATGCACCGGCGGTGGAGGGGGGGTGCCTCCACCTTTGAAAAGGTAGTTATTTTGCCCCCTCCCAATTTATGGGCCTACTGTAATAATTGGGTTCTTTGAGTATGGTCGGGGCTTGCCCCGCCCCCACTTTAAAAACAGTTCCGCCGCTGTTGGTTGAGAGACATCGAAAGCACGCACGTTTCCGTGCACATCCTTGTAAATTGAACGCTGACGAGTCAAAAATCACGTGATCCTCTTTAGTCTGGCCATTTTTCCCTGTGTAGCGCATCACATTAATATCAATATCAAAGGCCCTAACAAGCAATTATTTTCGATCAGCTGTAAGTTCAAAAATGTTTTTAAAGAGTTCAATTGGAAATCAACACTCAGTATGCTAAAATTAGTATCACAGCAACACTGTACACGTATGTCCAAAATAGAAATTAATTTAGGGTGAAAGTTTTTCCTGGCCTTTTAAAAAAGAGTCAGTAGGGACGCGGTCATTATATTTTGTAGTAACAACATTCGACCAAAACTGCAGAGGGCGCATGTGCCCTTGTTAATATTACACACATCACAGGTCTGTGTGTGTATGTACATGTACACTGTACATGTACATACATATGCAAATCGTATCATGGTATCAATCATGCTCATGGATATGGCGGGGGCGTACAGTTTTTAAACACAGAAAGTGCCTCATTTTTCCGTTTAGGAAAGAAGGGTATGTACAGTCTTCTCCCCGCTATTCATATTATTTGGGAAAGACTCTTATATGCGGATGCCACTTGACGCCCCGAACTTTTGACATGAGTGAGACTGCAGTGCTGACTGCATGCAGTGACTGGTCTGAAAATTGATTCTACTCACTCAAATTCTAGTTAACAAGAAACAACTAATGTCTAGCACGAAAAGCATCATGAATGTTCATGATGTTAGGCCTAACCATTTTGGAGTAATTGCAGAATATCCCGCCACTCTAAAAATGAAGTGGCTATTGTTACGGCAGCCGTAACACATCTCCTATTTTCTGTCGTTACGGCACTGAACTGCGCAAGTGCGATGACGCAGCTGGTCATCACTACGGTTTATATATTTAAAATTACCTGGATGACCGAACGTTTGTGACCGAGTGGTCAAGGTGGAAGGTTTGGAACCGTTGGTGTCTGAGTTCGAATCTGAGATTGGACCATTTTATTTTTTTTTGCCTAAATTTCAAGTTTTATACCATAAATGTTGGTTTCTAATTGTATAGGCTTATCAAGCCTAAGCAGGGATATTTTTGCTTTTCTCATCGGAGACTTTGGAGGATTTTTTTAAAGGGAAATAAAGTCCGAAATCTGTGAGTAAGTTGGCGCGCTTGCGCTGTTGCAGTGCCGTAACAATAGAAAATGGGAGATGCGTTACGGCTGTCGTAACAACAGCCACGGCGCTCTAAAAAATGACCTCTGGAAGGACTGGTTACGTGAGTTCAAGGTGCAAATCCCTTGAGAGGAGTGTGACACTCGGGCCTACCTGGTATCATGCGGGGTGGCGGGGTGTTTCAATTGAGCCGTGATTTTGGGTCAGCTTGTACCCGAGTTAACTCGTACCCCAGTCAACCTGTACCCCAGTCAATTCATAACCCGGTCAACTCATACACTGGTCAACTCGTACCCCAGTCAACTTGTACCCTCGAAGAAAACACGCATTTGTGACCCAAACAGATTACGATATTTTTTCTCCCTTTATACCCCAAATGGATTACAATAATTTGTCTTCCCCTTTTTCCTGTTTTGCTCACTTTTTGGATGATGTTAGATGTTAGGGACGTTTATTCCTCTTATAGCATATGACAGCAAATGATTGCGATCCATCACGCTGCTTAACTGATCAATATCCCCTCTTCCCGAACAGAACTGACCGAAGCATTCATTCTCAGTCAGAGTTTATTTGACTTCTTTAACCCTAACCCCCTAGGCTCCTGCAGTAGAAAGCATACTGAACCTCACAAAATCCAACAGGTTCATGTACTTGTCCATGTACTTGTACATGCATGACCTCACTGTACCAAACCTGATAAACTCCAACAG